AGACTTTGAATTAAGAATTAACGTAGTTAAGAAATGGAGACTGAAAAAAAAAAAAAAACTTTCCCGGGCAGCAACTGCAGTTTTTGCCAGACGAAGCTCCTGGGGACACAGTGTCATTCAGCCTCCTGTGCCAGTGGCCACAATGTGCTTGGCATGTGGGAGGGCTGTGCTTGCCAGCCCAGGTCTGCAGCCTGATTCGGAGCATGCTTCCCGCAGTGCGCTCCAAGCCTGGCTGTGCAGCTCTCAGAGAAGTTCTGTTAACTATCTGATACACTTTCCAGAATTATTTCTTTTGCTAAATCAGCTATAGTTAGGCTCTTCTGTTTGTCTTTAAGAAATCTGGCTGAGGCCGGTGCCACGGCTCAATAGGCTAATCAGAAGGACTAGGCATATACTTATCAAGGGAAGAAGGAAAAAGTCTTGGTGGGGATGGAAGCCATGGCATCTTCTCTTTGGACATCTTCTCTAATGAATCAGATTATTTATCATTTGTTAGAAATGTGCTCACATGCTTCTCTGAAAGAGAGGACAAACACCATAGGATTCTGTGAGCTAATGAAGAGGTCACACCTGCTGTCTCTGGCCCCAACCCCTCTTCCTCTACATACCTGCTTATCTAATGCCTAACCACCTTTGGGTCACCTTTGGGTCGTTGGTCAAATCTCACCTTGCTGATACGGTTTATCTAAGTCATCTGTTTGCTACTACTGCCTGCCTCCCACTCCTGGTACTGCTGATTCTCCCTTTGCCATTCTGCTTTCCTTTTTTTTTTTTTTTTTTGACAGGCAGAGTGGACAGTGAGAGAGAGAGACAGAGAGAAAGGTCTTCCTTTGCCGTTGGTTCACCCTCCAATGGCCGCCGCGGCCGGCGCGCTGCGGCCAGCGCACCGCGCTGATCCGATGGCAGGAGCCAGGAGCCAGGTGCTTTTCCTGGTCTCCCATGGGGTGCAGGGCCCAAGCACTTGGGCCATCCTCCACTGCACTCCCTGGCCACAGCAGAGAGCTGGCCTGGAATAGGGGCAACCGGGACAGAATCAGGCGCCCCAACCGGGACTAGAACCCGGTGTGCCAGCACCGCTAGGCGGAGGATTAGCCTAGTGAGCCGCGGCGCTGGCTCTGCTTTCCTTTTTACATCATATTTACCACCTTCCAATATTCTGAGAGTTATTTATATATTAACTTTATTGCTAATTTCTTATCTTCCCTACCAGGATATAAACACCAAGAGGGAAGTAATCTTGGTTTTGTTTGTATATTCCAAACTCCTAAAGCAGTTCTGGCACAGAGCGAGGGCTTTTTCTCCAGGGGTGTTAGTTGAAAATCTTTAAAAATGGTTGTTTAATTTTGTAGCTACCTGAGGCAGTAGATAATATTTGGGGTGAAAAACAGTGAATTGCCCAGTGCCGTGGTTCACTTGGCTAATCCTCCACCTGCGGCACCGGCACCCTGGATTCTAATCCAGGTTGGGGCACCGGATTCTGTCCCAGTTGCTCCTCTTCCAGTCCAGCTCTCTGCTGTGGCCCAGGAGGGCAGTGGAGGATGGCCCAAGTGCTTGGGCCCTGCACCTGCATGGGAGACCAGGAGGAAGCACCTGGCTCCTGGCTTCAGATCAGCACAGCGCACCAGCCATAGCACACTGGCCGTAGCGGCCATTTGGGGGAGGAACCACTGGAAAAGGAAGACCTTTCTCTCTGTCTCTCTCTCTCTTTCTCTCTCTCACTGTCTAACTCTGCCTGTCAAAAAAAAAAAAAAAAAAAAAACCACACAGTGAATAATAAATGATTAAATGAAAGGCTAGGGAATCAGAAAACCTTTAATAACTTTAAGTAGATCTGATGCATTCCAGAGAAAGTAGAAGGCCATGCGTTTGCCTAGGGTTATACTCAATGACCCAAGAAAGCCCTTGGAAGTGGCACTGTGGTGTAGCAGATAAAGCTGCCACCTGCAGTGCCAAAATCCCATAAGGATCCCTAATCGAGTCCTGGCTGCTCCACTTCCAATCCAGCTCTCTGCTATGGCCTGGGAAAGCAGCAGAATATGGCCCAAGTCCATGGGCTCCCGTACCCACATGGAAGATCCAGAAGAAGCTCCTGGCTCCTGTCTTCATATCTGCACAGCTCTGGGTATTGTGGCCATCCGGGGAGTGAACCAGAGGATGGAAGACCTCTCTGTCTCTGATTCTGCCTCTCTGTAACTCTGCCTTTCAAATAAATAAATCTTAAAAAAAAAAAAAAAAAAAGAAAAGAAAGAAAGAGAGCCCTAAGCTCTCACCACAGCTGACTCTCAGATTCTACACAAGAAGCAAATGTTAAGGTACAGTGGTCAACTTCTTGGCTGAGTGTTGAAGGCATACCCCAACACACAGAGCACACGGAGTTCTGGGGTAATGAATGAAATATTTATAGGTTCCTAGTGTAAAGAAGTTTCTGTCTTATTATTGGCTGACCACAACATTAACTGAGAGACTTCAGTGGTCACAAATAACGAAGAATACATTACCAATATCCATAATTGTATCAAATAAATTTCTAGATTGATTGATCCATCCATCCATTCCTCATCTCCTCTTGGTTCTGCTCTCTGGAGAACTCTGACTATTACAATGCACTTTAACTTTCTGTCCTTCATGGGATCTTTTGTATGGACACATGGACATTTTTGATGTCAACTTCCAAAGATCTATGGCTCCTCTCATCACTAAGTTCCTGAGATAGTACTACATCTTTTTCTAAAAGAAAAAAAAATTTGAAAGGCAAAAGTAGAAAGACACACACACACAGAGGTAGAAAGAGAGAGAGAGAGAGAGAGAGAGAGAGAGAGAGAGAGAGAGAGACTCTTCCACTCACTGGTTCTCCCCCAGATGGTCATAATGGCCAGAGCTGGACCAGGACAATGCCAGGAGCCAGGAACTCCATCCAGGTCTGCCACATGGGTGGCAGGAGCCCAAGCATTTGGGCCATCTTCTGCTGTTGTCCTAGGCACATTAGTAGGGAGCTGGATGGGAAGTGGAGCTGAGTTTCAACCAGAGCTCATGTGGGATACCAGCATCAGAGGCGGCAGCTGAATCTGCTGTGCCACAATGCTGAGCCCTAGTATGACATCCTATCCATGGATTGAGCTAACCTGATTGGTAAGCATGGTTAAAAAAAGGTTTTTTTTAATAAATGGCTTTCAATTCTGTAACAGTGTCTTACATTCTGAAAGCATTGATACAGTAGAGTTATTTCCCTGGCATTAATGTTTGTCACAGAAGAACAATGACTTCTAAAAATGAATGAGATAAGAGAAAAAAATAGATTTGTCTTTCTGTACATAGCTCTATTCAAAAATTCCAGATGCAAGCATTGTAGAAATTACAAAAAGAAATAAAGAAAGAATAAAAAATGTAGATTAATGTTACATTTCTGTGGCCTTTGTGCCAGGTGGCTTCCCACACCATTCCTACCATTCCAATATCCCTACCCTACTATTTTCTAAACACCAGGAATTTGGGGAACTGTAAGCCAGAAAAGATTCTAGTAAGCAAGTGATAAAGACAGTAAGTGACCATCCAGGGTACATTCAATTTTCCTGCTTGTGCACATGTGAGAGTGTAACATTCCATTCGCTTTGGAGATGCAAGCCCCATAAAGGTGAGTCTCTTGTAGTCTTCTCTGTTCACCAGTGTATTTCAGAGTCAAACCTGTTAGCGTGGTAGGCACTTGGTAATTCTCATGCTCACTGTTTCTATCAGTCCAGCATCTGCAGATTCACACTTAGGGCTCAGATAGTATTGCTTAGGTATTTATATGAGTCAAGCCTTCTTGCTTTTACATTTTACATTTTCAGTAAGAAGCAATCCAGGATAAACCAAAAGCTCCAAATAAAATATGTTCAGTAATTGTGGAGGAAGGTAGGGATGACTGTTAACAGGCATCACACCTTTTGTCCTAACATGCTATTATTTCTCCTAAGAAAACCAAATTATTGATTACTCTTTTAATATCAGAATGAAATAATTGGTCAACTTATACTGAATACACAAATAGTCAAACCTTCTCCATCTGAGCTTATTTTTTGCTTTTTAGAAGAAAGGATGAATGAAGAACCTGAATGTGAACTAAAAAGTTCAAGACAACAATAATCTCTCTCTAGTTTTTAAAATTCTCAAATGTGTGATGACTACATGAGATATTTTTGGCTTTAGTCTTTTGTTTGGTTTTGTTTTAATCAGCCTCTGGTGGTGGCAAACTTTGCCTGACCTCCATAGTTCCATTAGAGTTGTTACATAATATAGGAAACAGATAACATATTACTTTTAGAAAATCATGGGGCCAGCCTGTGGTCTATGGGATGCCAGCATTGTGGCAAAGCAGGTAAATCCACCTGAAATGCTGACAACCCATATGGGCACTGGTTCTTGTCGCGGCTGCTCCGCTTCCCATCTAGTTCCCTGCTAATATCCTTGGGAAAGCAGAAGATGGCCCAAGTGCTTGGGCCCCTACACCCAAGTGGGAGACCCAGATGAAGTACCTGGCTCTTGGATTTAGCCTGGCATAGCCCTGACCATTGTAACTATTTGGGGAGTGAACCAGCCTTTGGAAGATCTCTCTCTCTCTAACTCTGCCTTTCAAATAAATAAAATAAATCTTTTTAAAAAATCTGAAAAGACCTGAAATTCAAAACTGTAATTGCAGCTCAATTGAGGTAACAAGAGATTAGAAGTAAATCATGCATATATATTAAGTCAAGAATTTAGGAAAATCTCAGTCTCTAATGTACTTATTTCTTCATTTGGAAAATAAATGATTTGGACTAGATGTCCCCTAAATGCTTGATGGTAATGAACCTTTATGATTGCACCTAAAAATTTATATAGTGAAACACATAACAATTTATGCTGAATTTTGGATTATGTTAGATTTCTATAAAATTTTAAGCATTTAACTCTGCCAATGATGTGTGACAAACATGGACTATTAGATGTGTCTTCAATGATCTAATATAACTCAAGTTTAGTACCTGCTGTGCCAAACACAGATGATATGCTTTGCATAATGTTCTTGTGGATATCAGGATGGGAAAGGATAAATCCAAGTGTCCAAAATGCAATCTGAAACAGAAAAATATGTTTCAAAAACAAGAACTTCTTTGAAGATGAACAAAAGCATATTTAGTAATAGCCATAAACATTTGAGAGAAACAAGGACAAAGTTTAAATTAAAGAAAAGAACTAGGTTTTAGGAATAAGAGAGATGTTATATATAATATATATATGGTCAAATTTTTATGATTTTCTTCTGTTACTATAGTTTAAGAACATTGTTCAAATACAATAAACTTAATGTTTACTAAAAGGTGGTAAAAGTTATATTCCTTTTTAATAACATAATAACATTATGTTATTATGTAGGCCTATATTATGTAGGCCTATATTATTCAGAAGCAACAAATTATGATAATTAAGAATGTTAAACCACAACAAAACCATTTTCTAGATTTAATTTTCTTAAAATACAAATTAATTTGTAAATTGTATATTCTGAAAATGAAATATGGTAATTTTTTTTTTTTGACAGGCAGAGTTAAACAGTGAGAGAGAGACAGAGACAGAGAGAAAGGTCTTCCTTTTTCCGTTGGTTCACCTCCCAAGTGGCTGCTCCAGCCAGCGCGTTGCGGCTGGCGCGCTGCACCAATCTGAAGCCAGGAGCCAGGTGCTTCTCCTGGTCTCCCATGTGGGTGCAGGGCCCAAGGACCTGGACCATCCTCCACTGCACTCCTGGGCCACAGCAGAGAGCTGGACTGGAAGAGGGGCAACCGGGACAGAATCCGGCGCCCCAACCGGGACTAGAACCCAGGGTGCCAGCGCCACAGGCGGAGGATTAGCCTAGTGAGCCGCGGCGCCGGCCTGAAATATGGTAATTTTAAAATGTCTAAAAACAATACCTACATTATGAGTGTATTCAACATCAAAAAGTATCCTTTCACATATGAATGATATTGATCACAGTATACTTGCGAGTTCTGTCTTGGCCAATCAAAATTACTTCACCTCTTCCCTCATTATGGTATTAAAAGATAAAATTAGGCCAGCGACGCAGCTCACTAGGCTAATCCTCCACCTTGCGGCGCCGGCACACCGGGTTCTAGTCCCGGTTGGGGCGCCGGATTCTGTCCCGGTTGCCCCTCTTCCAGGCCAGCTCTCTGCTGTGGCCAGGAAGTGCAGTGGAGGATGGCCCAAGTGCTTGGGCCCTGCACCCCATGGGAGACCAGGAGAAGTACCTGGCTCCTGCCATCGGATCAACACGGTGCACCGGCCGCAGCACGCCGGCCGCGGCAGCCATTGGAGGGTGAACCAACGGCAAAAAGGAAGACCTTTCTCTCTGTCTCTCTCTCTCACTGTCCACTCTGCCTGTCAAAAAAAAAAAAAAAAAGATAAAATTATATTGCTATATAGCTTAAAAGTTAACTTCCTACTAGGTACCTGTTTTGGCTTCTATACTTAGGTTGCACAACAAAGGAAACCTATTACAAAAAAAAAGAAAACCTATATACAACAAAGGAAAATCATTAAAAGAACTTTGGATTTATGTTTCATTGTTTTTCTATAAATATTTATTGCCAAAGAAAAATCATTTAGGGAAATCAGTTCTGAAAATGTCTCAGGCAATAATACTTTGTGCCACTTAAATCTTGTCTTTTTTGCGAGGTAACATTATGTACCTTTATAATCCCAATGCTCCTCCCTGTGGTCAAAAGAGGAACAGCAATGGTCTGACAGGAAGTGTTCAAGGGGGCCAAATGCAAGATATTTGTGGTTTCCCCCTTTGTGACATTGTGCATTGATATTACAAGGATCTATATGGTGCCATTTACATAAACAAGTTGAACAACCGAACCAAGGACCCCACAATTCAAGATCTTCCTTTGGGGCACTAAACAGAATAGAGACGATTTACTCTTAACCTTCTCCAATTCTTTTTGACAAGTGAAAAAAACAGATGCTTGGGGCCCTTCTCCTTGTCAGTGAAATGGTGCCATCTTATCTGAGGTGCCATCTTAAGCTCTGGGCGCCATCTTAGCCTCTGGTCTGGTCGCCATCTTGAATCCAGCCCAGTTTACTAGGAGTCAGGTGACCAAATGGCCCAACCACAGGCGTCAACTTCACCCCTACTCTAACAGGATTCACTGCTCCCACTCCCCCATCCCTGCAAGGCTATAACAAAGCCTATTTTCCCACACAGGCTCTCTCTTTTCATTCTCTCTGCCCTTTCCCTCTAGCCTGTCATCTCCCCTTCCCCCACCAGCAATAAATCTTTTCCCTTACTCCGGTGTTTGGTGTGTTTTGTGGTGGCCTTTCACTCCTGTCTCTCCATCAGGGGATCTTTCTACTATTATCTGGTGGAAGTGCCGAATACCAGGATTTAGTTAATAAGCACTCCATATCCAATCCATCTCAATTCAAGAGTCAGACTTCATGTTGGGAGAGAAAAATCTTAGTGACAGTAGATAGACTTTCAATTACACAGAAGAGGCCTAGTTCAGAGTTTTATGTGGCTAGCCATAATTTTAGAGATTGCCAACATTGGGTCATACTTATTTTTATGACAAACACAAAGAATTCAGCTTAACTCCAAATGTCTGACTAATGGTGTTATTCTTAAAGCCTCTTTTTTCTTATCAGATTTCTTTTTTTAAAAATCTGTTATTGCTTACCTTAAAAAATGAGAATAACTTTTTTTTTAAAAAAGGTGTGTAAAGAGCTAATAAAAAATTTATGAATTACAGAATCAATAAGCATAAACAGTGACCTTGAGATTTAGGAAAGGAGTCAAAATTTGCTGATGACAATACCAATCAGTATTTTGCCTTTAGAGAAATCAAGTCTGTGGTCAGACTCAGGCAAAAGGAAGGGCCTCATGGTTCAATGAACTGTAGGAGCAGCTACCACAATTCCTTTTCAACATTTTGGAGAGCTCAGAACAAAAAGTGAGGAGGGACAAGAAGAAAAGCTCTGTGTCTTTGTTGTGCCAAAGAGGAAGTAAATGGAGTATCTTCTTCGGGATTGTGCATTCAATCATTCAAAAAAATATATATATAACAAGTATTGATGGGGTCTCTATAACATGCCAGATAGTCTTCTAACTTAACATGATAAATACAAATATGCGCAAGGTTCTTCAAAAGTTTCGTAGAGGAGCAGAGGTTGTTGGCCTACTGGTTATGACTGCGACTAGACGCCTGTGTGCCACCTCCGAAGTAACTGGGTGTGAGTCTCAATTTCAGCTCTGAATTCCAGCTCTGCGACTCAAGTAGTTGAGTCCTTATAGCTACATAGGAGACCTAGCTAGAATCCCTGGTCCTGGCTTCATTCTGGCCCATCTCTGGCCATTGTGGGCATTTAGGTAGGTAGGGAACCAATAGATGAGACAGCTTTCTGTTTCTTTCTGTTTCCCTCTCTTTGTCTATCTCTGCCTCTCAAAAAATAAAAACTAGAGAGAAAATGCAATAAAAAGATGTCTATTTAGGTGTAAAACAATTTTGAAACCCATGCATGGGTTTTTTTTCATAATAAGCATTTTCCATAAACTTTTTTTTTAAAGATTATATCTATTTATTTGAGAGGCAGAGTCACAGACAGAGAGAGGGAAAGACAGAGAGAGAGGTCTTCCATCCGCTGGTTCACTCCCCAAATGGCTGTAACAGTCAGAGCTGGGCCAATTGGAAGCCAGGAACCAGGAGCTTTTCTGGGTCTCCCACACGGGTGCAGGGGCCCAAGCACTTGGGCCATATTGCATTGCTTTCCCAGGCCATTAGCAGGGAGCTGGATCAGAAGAGGAGCAGCCAGGACACAAACCAGCACCTATATGAGACGCCTGTGCCACAGGCAGAAGCTTAGCCTACTAGGCCACAACACCAGCCCTTCCATAAACTTTATTAAGATCCCTCATTTAAGACAATTTGTGCCCAAAGAACTTTCAGCTGGGGACATGAAATACATACACAAGAGGGAAAAAAAGAGCTAGATATACAAGACAGAAGAAAACGCCAACCTGTGGTACAACAATAACTTCTGTGAAGGATGAGGTGGTGATGCCTACTGAAAGTATTTAGAAAGAACTTGAAAGAAGAAGCATAGGGAAAAGGCAAAAATGTCTACTTTAGGACTGGTTTGGAGAAATGTCCTCAAAAGTTCAGTTTGCAGTCAGGAATTTCTTGGATCTTGGAAATGGTTTAACCATAGAAATAATTTTTTAAATTACAGTTACTGTCTTGGAATAATCCACTAAAGTCTAGATAAGCCATAGCAGATCCTCCTAGTGATATGAAGCTCATCTGAAGGCTAAGCCCTGACTCCCATGGGCCTTGAGGCAGAGTACAAAGTATTACACAAAGTATTACACAGTAGATAATAAGACAGGTCTTACCACCTACACTGCTGGCAAGGCTAGAGCTGCTCTTGGCAGTACCCGGAGGTACCAAAATCATGACAGCTGTGGCCTGCTCCACCAGGGCTTTTGAGCAATCAAGTACTTGGAAGCCAGATAGCCTATGTTCACTATTAATGGACCACTCAAAGTAATGACTATTTCAAATCAGGGCAACAATTTTTTTAAGGGAAGAATACCAACACATATTGAATGCTTATTCTATTGCCCAGGTACTGTTAACCATTTTTTCTTCCTTCCTTCCTTCCTTCCTTCCTTCCTTCCTTCCTTCCTTCCTTCCTTCCTTCCTTCCTTCCTTCCTTCCTTCCTTTTTTTTTAACTAATATAATCCTTACAACAATCCTTTGAGGGAGGTAGCAGTAATCCTATCTTACAGATGAGGACACTGGAGTTTGGAGAGGTTACATCACGGACCCAGTTCACCCAACGCAGGAAAGCAGGCTTTGGATTGGACTCTAAAGCCTTTCCAAAGGCTGTTCACTCACTAGACTGCCTCTTGGAGTGCCAACAACCTCCAACTAGACAGAACTTTTGCTAATCATCAGACGTTCTCTTTCTGGAATTACTGATTTCAATCTTTTCAGGACAGTGCCAGGAACAATTTCCAAATAACTGACTTCCCCTGTGTCAGATCAATGGGGCTTTGTGCAGCTTTCTTCAGAGGGACCTTTCTAACGACATCATGAAAATTAATCCTCTGACAGCAGAGGCTGTTTTATTGCTGCCTGGGGAGCTGTTTTGATGTCTGTTTTCAATTTTGCTCTAGCTTAATCAGTTTCCAAGAAAATGAGCTAAGGAAAAATCAGAGAATAATATTTGAGATGCACAAAGAAGAGGAAAGGATTAGACTATTTTTCCCTTGACCATGCCTGATGAAATACATATTTTACTGGCTTACACATACTTGAGCCAATTTCTACTTCTGTTTTCTACCCAGTAAGTTTTAACACAGACTAAGGGAGCACAAAATATTGGGACTGGTTAATAATCCAGGCTTTTATAAGAGGGAGTAATAAATGATACCTAAAATATCATTCTTATTTCTATTTGTTAGGGGAAAAAAAGGAGGAAAAATGACCACACTTTTCATTAGAGACAGAGTGAGGGCTTCTGTTTAGTAGAGTACAGACATAAAAAAGGAGTTACCCTTAAATACCAGATAATATAGGCTGGAGTTTAGGCTAGTGTGAGAGCCTCCTGTCCCAAAGAACTGGTGGGTATCAAAATGGAAGTGGCAGACAAATGGCTCTTATCTAGTTCATTTAAACTTTTAAAAAAATATGGGGGCTGGCACCGTGGCACAGTAGGTTAATCCTCCACCTGTGCTGCCGGCATCCCATGTGGGCGCCAATCCTAGTCCCGGCTGTTCCTCTTCCAATCCAGCTCTCTGCTGTGGTGCGGGAGGGCAGTGGAGGATGGCCCAAGTGCTTGGGCCCCTGCACCTGCATGGAAGACCAGGAAGAAGCACCTAGCTCCTGGCTTCAGATTGGCGCAGCTCTGGCCATTGCAGCCATTTGGGGAGTGAACCAATAGAAGGAAGACCTTTTTCTCTGTCTCTCCCTCTCACTGTCTATAACTCTACTCTCAAATAAATAAATAAATAATCTTTTTTTTTTTTTTTTTGATAGGCAGAGTGGAATGTGAGAGAGAGAGACACACAGAGAAAGGTCTTCCTTTTCCAGTGGTTCACCCCTCAATGGCTGCTGTGGCTGGCGCACCGCACTGATCCAAAGCCAGGAGCCAGGTGCTTCTCCTGGTCTCCCATGCGGGTGTAGGGCCCAAGGATATGGGCCATCCTCCACTGCACTCCCAGGCCACAGCAGAGAGCTGGACTGGAAGAGGAGCAACTGGGACAGAATCCGGCGCCTCAACCAGGACTAGAACCCGGGGTGCTGGTGCCGCAGGTGGAGGATTAGCCTAGTGAGCCACGGCGCCGGCCTAATAAATAATCTTAAAAAAAAAAAAAAAAAGACATATGTGTGGGGCTGGCACTGTGGCAGCATGGCAGGTAAAGTCACTGGCCTGCAGTGCCGGCATCCCATATGGGTGCTGGTTCAAGTCCCAACTGCTCCACTTCCTACCCAGCTTCCTGCTGTGGCCTGAGAAGGAAGTTGGAGGACAGCTCAAGTCCTTGGGCCACTGCATCTGCCTGGGAGACATGGAGGAGGCTCCAGGCTCCTGGCTTTGGATAGTGCAGCTCTAGCCATTGCAACCATCTGGGGAGTGAACCAGCAGATGGAAGACCTCTCTGTCTGCCTTTGCCTTTCTGTAACTTTGCCTTTCAAATACATAAATAAATCTTAAAAAAAAAAAAAAAAAAAAGGTGTGTCTGTGTGTGTGTGTGTGTGATTGAATTCCTACATTACCAGTTCCATATGTAGGGTAGCTCACAGGCCTAGACACTGAACGGGAATTGTGGACTGAAGGACAACGGGTACAGGAGAGGGAAGGGCACACATTCATTGAGTACCTGTTGGGCCCATGTCACTGAAGCCTCACAACTTTGTAGAGAACCAGAGCTACCACTTAGTGAGGACTCAAGTTAGAAAGCCCTGCTCAGAGTTTCCTGTAGATCATCTCCTCTTGACTAATAAGGAAATGGAGACTCAGAGAGTCCTCTATTTCTATTCTAGCTGTGAATGGGGATATAATGATTCAAGCCCAATTCTACGTGAAATTATCCATTTAGGCCGGTGCCGTGGCTCACTTGGCTAATCCTCTGCCTGCAGCACCGGCACCTTGGGTTCTAGTCCTGGTTGGGGTGCCAGATTCTTTCCTGGTTGCTCCTCTTCCATTCCAGCTCTCTGCTGTGGCCTGGGAAGGCAGTAGAGGATGGCCCAAGGGCTTGGGCCCTGCACCCACATGGGAAATCGGGAGGAAGTACCTGGCCCCTGGCTTCAGATTGCCGCAGCACACTGGTCGTAGTGGCCATTTCGGGGGTGAACCAACGGAAGGAAGACCTTTCTCTGTCTCTCTTCTCTCACTGTCTAACTATATCTGTCAAAAAAAAAAAAAAAAAAAAAAGAAGCTATCCATTTACCTACTCCTTATTCCCAGTCAAAAGTTGGGGCCAACGCATATCCATCTTTGTGGCAACAATAGTGAGCACTTTGCTTGACACACAGAAAATGGCCCACAAACAGGTGCTGTCCCAACAGCCCCAGAGGGCAGGCTTTTCCCTTGGCCTGCTCACATGCTGCCTTTCAAGGGGCAGTATTCACATGGATCTCTGCTTGGCCGCCTCTGTAGCTGAATCAGATTTCAATAGGCATTTACTTCTGTTTTTCATCTCACAACCAAGACCACTGTAGTCTCTTTCTTCCCCATCATAAGTGAAAGGACTGAAGGGGACTAAAAGGTAGTAAAGGAAGGGCGGGGGGAATGAAAGCAGAATAGACAGAAATGCAATCAACACTTCAATGTACTTACAGGAGCAGCGTTAGACAGAGAAGCCCAAAGCGTTAAGAGCCCATACTTGGAACTTTGTTCACTGGTTTCCATCTCCACAATATCCAGCACAGCCTGCATTACTGTCTGTTTAAGAGAAATAAACAAGGTTAAACTCTGGCTATGTGGTGAAGACTGTGGTTAATAAACTAGAGATCAAGCATTTTTTCTTATTCCTGGGCTTGCAGTTGGAGGCATGCTAAGGGATTTCCACACTTACTGCTGGGATAGTCGTTAGGAGTGGGGACCCTAGTGGAGCTCACCTGCTCTACTGTCTTAGGTCAAATCCTCGCTCAACTATTTAATAGCTGAATGGCCTTGGACAAGTGAAGTTACTTTATTTCCTCGTCTACAAAATGGCCATAATATAGCACCTACCTCCTAAGACTGTTACAAGAATTAAATTAGTTAGTGCAGTTGCCCATAGAGTATTTAAACCAAAATCTGGCACATGTTACATTTTTTATAAATGTTTTCTTTCTAAACAAAGTACTGCTGTTAGGAAAATACAACACAGAAACTCAAATCTGGGAAGCATTTGGAAGAAAATTCTACCTCCACCTGTCATGCAGATTCTCAGCCTATACACCATGGGACAGAGAACTGTTGTGCCAGTATGTTATAAACATCACAACAGTGCAAATATGCAGAGAAGTGACACTTGATGTGAATGGTGTTGGTTCAGAGCAGGTTCCTGGCCAAACCACCCACTATGGTTGTTCCCAGGTCACCACTCAAGTTCCATGGTTTTCCCAGGTTTGCCTTTGCCAGTGGTTGGAGGCATTCCTGTGCAGCATTTTCATTAAGTCACTCATGCACTTGTTACCTGAAATAACTCATATCTAGGCAGCAGAAATAATAGGAACTAACGTCTATTCACTGTTTGCTAAGGTCAAGTACTACGATAAGTGCTTTACGGGTACCTAGTCCATTGTAATTCTCACCACAACTCTAAGCAGCAGACATAGTTATCTTTAGCATTATTCACATGAGGAAACCAGAACACAATAAAGCCAGGGAATTTTGCCAGGGACATATAGGTTGTAGATGATTGAGCCAGGATCTAAACCCAGTGAGCCTGGCCCCAGCTCCTGAGTCCACTTTCTTAGCTACCATGGTATCCTGCACCCCGAAGAATCACATTCCATAGCTCTCATGGGCTAGTGATTAAGAGACCTGCATTGTATCATAATGTACTAGTTTTGTGTCAGATCCTATCACATAGACTATAACTATTAAATCATTAGTAAATAAACTACACGATAATATGTAGACTATTGCTAAGGAATCCAACTTTCTCAAGTGATTAAATACTCTAATTCTCAGCTTTCTGGGTTTAATAATCCCCAGTTTTGGTACAAAGTTGTTATGAGGGGCTGGTGTTGTGGCGTAGTAAATAAAGCCACCTCCTGCGATACTGGCATTCCATATGGGGACCAGTTCGAGTCCCAGATGCTCCACTTCCAATCCAGGTCCCTGCTAATGGTGTGGGAAAAACAACAGTGGATGGCCCAAGTCCTTGGGCCCCTGCAACCATGTGAGCGACCTGGATGAAGCTCCTGCTTCCTGGCTTTGGCCTGCCCCAGATCCAGCTATTACAACCATCTAGAGAGTGAACCAGCAGATGGAAGGTCCTTCTCTTGCTTGCTTTCTCTTTATAGCTCTGACTTTTGAATAAATAAATTAAAAGGTTGTTATGAAAAATAAATGAGAAATGACTATGCAAAATGTGAAACATAATGCCTGGATTAGGGTAAGCATGTTACCTGATTCCTTATTGCTATCATTTTTGTATTAATGCATTAACAAAGTTGAAAATAGTTTCAGTAGGAATTTCATTTATTTCTGGTCTCTATCATACTTACAATGTGACCTGATATAAGACAAAGTTTCTACCTCATTAAAATCCTACAGCTGTATTTCATTCCTTTGATATATTCTATTCTGTGATATAGTTATATTTTAAATGGAAATGCTAGTATAGTATTTACCTAGAAAACCCCAGCAGAAGAAACAACAAGAATATGTGTGTAATATTTTTTAAATTAAATACAACTTCTTTCTAGTCTTCTGCTTAACTAGGCCATTGAAATATATATAGTAGAAGCTAATGAATCTTTTTCTTCTGAATTCATATTAAATGTGGGTATAAAAACATAAACTCAGTGTGAAGGAAAACAGAGAAGCAATACATTTAAAAACGAGATTAAACCATTCATGAATGTTCAAAAATTCTCTCCCAAAGTCTCAAACACTGGCTTGGCATCAGCGAAATTCAAACGTTGCCTTTATTCAATTAGGAAGCTTGAGAACCTAATATGAAAAATGCCTCATTTCTTCAGAGTAAGAAAAGTCAACACTATTCCAGAGGTCTCATCAGCAAGGAATTTTAGCTGGAGTTGGAAAAAAATCCTGTTTTTTAGGCCCATGGATTATAGATCTATCTGGGTATATATTTCATCCCCAGGTGGTTTTGCCACTAAATCTTGGAAAATAATACAAACAAAAATGTTATATGGTGTCTGAATCTCCTCCCTAAGATAGAAGAAGCGACCACTGGCAGAGGCAAGACCGGAAAGACCTTCCTATGAAGAAAACGCCTTTGTGGGACCTGTCTGGTGAACCGGGAACAAGCATAGTATGTGGCCGTGGATGAGGCCCTGCTCTGAGCCAGTGCCGCCCAGGTCAGATGTCACTTCTCCACATGATTTACAGTAGTGTGGTATTGACAACACACTGGCATGGCAGTTCTCCCTCCCATGGTCTAGAGGCTGAGAATCTGCACAGCTCAGGTGGGTAAAGTTTTCTTCTGAATGCTCCACAGATCTCTGTCTGAGTCAGTTGTCAAACAGCAACACGAGGGAACATGGAAAAAGGAATTAAAAGACACATTTATTTTGGTGAAGAAAATTCTTGAAATCCATAGTTTTTTCATAAGAAAAGATACACTTCCCATGAGCCTTTGAAAGATCCTTTGTATTAGTTGAACTATTAAGGCCATTCAGAATAGCTTTCAGTTCCCTTTATTCAGGAGGGAGATAGCCACCAAAACACACACATATTCCTTTCTTTTTTTTAAGGTTACCTTCCTCTCTGGTGATGGGGAGCATAGCTCTTTGAGACAACACTTGTTGTATAACTAAAAACAAGCAAAAACATTTGACGTCATCTTTAAATACTAAAAGATTTGAAGTGATTTCAAAAAATGTGAGAGGCAGATTCAGAGAGAGGTGAAGGAGAGCGAGAGCATTTGCTCCCCAAATGCTCCCAACAAATGGGGCTGGGCCCTGCGGAGCTGGGAGTCTGAACTTTAATCCAAGTCTCTCACATGAATGGCAGGGTCCCAATTACTTTGAGCCATTTGCCTCCCAGTATCTGCATTAGCAGGAAGCTGGAGTCAGGAGCAGAGCTAGGAATCCAATCCAGGTCCTCTGATGTGTGATGTAGTTATCTTGACTGATAGGCGAACCACCCATTCATTCCCTTGAAGTAGTTTTTTCTTTCTTTCTTTTTCTTTTTTTTTTTTAATAAAATAACAATGATAAACTCTTGCCTAGCCCTTAATATGTTCTAAGTGCTTTACAAAAATAAACTCATTTAATCTTGCAACACCTTTCCAAGAACAGTGAGGAAAGCGAGGCTAAGCATTTAGATCTTGTGCCAGGGTTACACATGAGCAGACAGACCAGATAGACCAGACCAAAGAAACCCAGTTTTTGAGGGCCGGCCCGGGCACAATAAAGTTATCCAAAGCTCCCAGAGGGTGATTCTATGAGCAACTTTTGGTGAGAACCATTCACCAGCAAAAGATAGAATGATCTGAAAGGCTTGTAAAACCAGTCTGTTGGGCTCTACTGCAGAGTTTCTGATTGAGGGGGCTCCCAGCTGATGCTGGTGCTAATGTCTAGAGACTACAATTGGAGCATCACAGATCTACTCTTAGGACACTGACTCCTAGGTGCCTTGCTTTTTAAATTATGTCACTCTACCTCCTTGTATTGGAAGAGAGAAACAACTAGGGATAGTGGCATTAAGAATACAGTCTACTTTGTAGAGCTTTATTTATCTTTTACTAATTTGCCATTACTTTCATCTGTCACTATTGGCACAGCTGTTAAAAAATAATTAGAGAAGGGGCTGGCACCGTGGCTCACTACGTTAATCCTCTGCCTGTGGTGCCGGCATCCCATATGGGTGCTGGGTTCTAGTCCCAGTTGCTCCTCTTCCAGTCCAGCTCTCTGCTGAGGCCCGGGAGAGCAGTGGAGGATGGCCCAGGTGCTTGGGCCCCTGCACCCACATGGGAGACCAGGAAGAAGCTCCTGGCTCCTGGCTTCAGATTGGCGCAGCACTGGCCGTGGCGGCCATTTAGGGAGTGAACCAACGGAAGGAAGACCTTTCTCTCTGTCTCTCTCTCTCTCTCTCACATTCTATAACTCTACTTGTCAAATAAATAAATAAAATAATTAGAAAAGACCATTGGTTTTGAAATACTACCAGTTCACTCCCCAGATACTCTCAACAAATGGGGCTGCTGAGCCAGGCAAAGCTGGGAGCCTGAATTTCAAACCAAGTCAAATTGAAGTCATCACACTGAAGTTGAGTCTCTATTTAGAAAAATAACTGAAGGAATACTTACCAAAGAGTTACCTTTTGCAGATTTGTATGCTTTTATATCTGAAATGTTTTTCTCAAACAGCGTGAGGAGCCACTTTTTGGATTTTGACCAGTTTCTGTGTGAAGAGGGAAAACACACACACATACATGCAGAAATTAATTTGACAGAATGTTAGGAATAACGTGTCATGGCCTATAAAGGGGAGAGTCTGTAGGTCTGGAGTTTATCTGCATATCTGCTCTTTTTCAGGCAGGATCCCATGAGCAGTCTACCGTCAGAATTCTTAGTCCTCAAGAACAAAGGAGAGGACAAGGCAGTCACACTCTGGTGCCTTTTGCAAATGAATGTTTAAATCTCTTTTGGACTGGCATTAAATAAGAAAACAGGGCCCGAAGTCAAACTCTTCTTTTGCTGTGACTGTTATGAGCTGTGGAACAATGAAAGCCAGACCCTGGTCATTGGGTTAAGTCAGGTAAAGCAAACTGGCTATCATCTAATAAATCTTTTATGACTAGCCACCAGGGGTACGCTGCTGTGGCGCAAATGTTTGTAACCCCAAAATCTGTATGCTCAAATCCTAATCCCTACGGTAATAGTACTAGAACATAGGGATGGTTGAGGAGATGATTAGGTCATAAGAATGTAGCCCTCATGAGTGGGACAGCGCACTTCTACAGGAGGCCTGGGGGAGCCAATCTGCCCTTCCACCATGGGAGGACACACTGAGAAGGTGGCCGCATGCAACCAGAAGAGGGCCACACCTGAACCCAGCCACACAGGCACCCTGATCTGGGACTTTCTGGCTTCAAGAGCTGTCAGAAATACATTTCTGTTCTTCACAAACTACCTAGTCTGTAGTATTTTGTTAAAGCAGCCCAAATGTAGTAAGACATAGAGTAACTGTCAAGAAGTTAAAAAAAAAAATCATGTAGTCACTTTGCATTTGAATCACTGTACAAATATTTATCCAAGCCAACTGTGAGAAATTTTTTTTTTTTTTTTTTACAGGCAGAGTGGACAGTGACAGAGAGAGACAGAGAGAAAGGTCTTCCTTTTCCGTTGGTTCACCCAGCAATGGCCGCCGTGGCCAGCACGCTGCGGCAGGCGCACCGCGCTGATCCGAAGGCAGGAGCCAGGTGCTTCTCCTGGTCTCCCTTGGGGTGCAGGGCCCAAGCTCTTGGGCCATCCTCCACTGCACTCCCTGGCCACAGCAGAGAGCTGGCCTGGAAGAGGGGCAACGGGGACAGAATCCAGTGCCCCGACCGGGACTAGAACCCGGTGTGCAGGTGCCACTAGGTGGAGGATTAGCCTAGTGAGCCGCGGCGCCGGCCAGGAAACATATTTTGACAACTAAGCATGGCCCCAAACACAGGCAATGAATGTGCTAATAATAAGCAGTAAAGGGGATTAAAGGCCTCAAAATACATTCTTCATTCTTTCTTCCCATTTTCATTCTCCTGTTTTTGCTCATCAAAACAAGGGAAAGAAAGGCGTTACCCTCTCCTGTTGTTTCCCCCTCACTTCACATACACACCCCAAACACAGAGCAGTCATCAAAAACAGCTTCTCTGCCAGGCGAACTGCTGCTGTGTCCGCTCAGAACAGAGAAAAGTGAGAAGTGTACAAAATGCTAAAAGGAGCCTGATCGATGAATTAATGATGGGAAACAACTCCCTACCTTAGGAGACATTCTGGCACCTGGGATCCATATTCAAAACCTTCATCAAAAACTTGAAAATGATGATGGAACTCCTTGATTTTCCTCTTGTTTGTGAGAAATAAACCTTTATTAAAGAGCACATTCACCGTGACTGGATAAAGGACATGCCTACCGAGACAGAAACACATGGAACGTCAGAGCCCAGGACAACCAACAGGAATAGGATGCAAGAGAAGGCATGCCTCAGGAGCAACACACCTGTAACAGGGGCAGATAGCATGTGGCAGGTTCTTTTGGGAAACAGTCACTCCTGAGAAGTTTTATTATTTGCTAACTATGATCAAGATAATTTAGACATAGTTGAAATTGTGGTCTTATTTACTTGATGATTTTAAAATTCTAAGCAAGTATTTTAGACCCATATACGAGAAGACAAACAGAAATAAACTGATTCAATATAATTCAATAAGCATTTACTTAGTAATTACTTAATAACAGTAACTAAACTAACAGCCCATACCTTTGGATCCCAGCTTAAAAAAACTCACAAGATGTTAAGGGCAATATCAGTCATCAGATTTCCTAATTTTCCACATCATCCCAGGAATTCAAACTAATACATGATGAAAAATAATATTTATCATCAGTTAAGTTTTACCACCAGTGAATGATTACTGAGGCAGATATAAGAATATCAAAGATTATTAGTATGCCCTAGATTAGTGATACTAAATACAATTTATTTAACTTCTATTCACCTCCTCTTCTGGATCTCCTTCCTCAAAGTTTCAAAAATATCAAGGGATTTGCTTTGCTTTGTTGTATATACTGGACATGTTCTGGCAAAATTTTAAGTTTCTTTCTGCTTTCCCCTGACCACTCTTCCTGGACCTATAACAAAAATGTTAAAAAGCACTTTGTTTTATAGGTTAGAATAATTGATTATTTGAGGGAACCACTGAATTTTGCCCTCAGCATTCCATTAAGATGGATAGGTCCCTCAGGTAATTTTAATTTACTGAACCTTCTTATGAAGGTGGGGAATTTTTCCCATGCCCAGTCCTTAATTCTAACACACAGCCCCCAGAATATAACTGACTTCCTCCACTGCTCTTACCTGTCTCTGGGGTCTACTTTCCAAGGGCACCTTGGGGCTCAGTTTTGAGGCCCACAATCTATTTTGCCTTGGCCACCTTTTGAAGTCTCACAAACATTTCTTGGATCCTGTCATCCACTTAATGATTGATTCCAGTCTCTCCCTGTCCTTTCAATATCTTCTTTTTCTGTCATAAATCGCACAGTTCTATCAAAATTGTGATGGATGCACAGTAATTATACAAGGTAAATCCATGTAAAGCATACATAATTATATGGAATAACTAAGGATACATTACTGTAAACATATTTAAATAATCATATTAGCTTATTTTCTCACCATAAGATGGGAGTGGTAAACTGAAAACTGCCCACTAATTAGAATTAGGGGATTAAGCTAATCTCCTAATAGTCTAGTTAGATAGACTTTACTAATCAGCCAGATAATTTTTGAAGTCCAATACACAGGATTCAAAAATTTTGTATTAAAGAAAAAAGATTAAGTCATATGAATGCAGCTTTTTATCTTTTTACCTTATTAAGTCGTTCAGGTCCATTGTCCCACGAGTGCCTAAATTCTCCAGTTGTTCATGTAATTCTTCAGTCAGTTGCCCAGTGAATTGATAAAGGTTCAAAGTCCCCAATTTCCCTTTCAACATAATATAGAGTTTTTCATGCAGTGTTAAAAATATATTCTTTGGAATTGATGCTAGAAACAGAGAAAATTATTTCCACAATAAGCAAGAACTACTTGAAGCATCAGTCAACAAACTTCTGCCACCAGTTAGTCAAGAAAGACAACAGCCAAAGTCCTCCACTACATAAAATCACCTCCAATGAATAGAAGTAGACAAAGATTCGAGCCTCACATGAGACAGTGAAAATCAATAGGATAATTCATCTTAAAGAATGACCCATAAATGGGTAATTTACAGGTCTGGTATTTCTAGCTCCTTCCTTCTCCAAATCTATATTCCAGGTATTTTGAAAACAAGAGATAGTTTACATATTCTACATGTTCAGAAGCTATTTGGCCTTCTCAGAAATTCTATACCACTCCCACACACCCATGCCTATGAGCCCCATATTTCTCCCACTAATTACTGTTTATTTTTCAAAATTCTTCTTGAATATTACTTCCGGCAGAAGGCCTTTCCCAAGCCCATGAATAATTCTGACCCAACATTTTTTATACATATTAATCATCATGCTTCTCTCATGATATACACCCCTGGTTAGGTTGGGTTGTATAAGTGAGTTGTTTTTCTAAACACACTTTATATTTTCCTTTTATTTTGTTTTGTTGTCTTCAAAGTAACTTTTTCAAATAAATGGCTTTTTTAAAATTTTGAATTTCATAATCCTATTATGTGTAGATTATACTTGTCATAGGTTAATGAAACTAAGTATTAGATTTCCTGATCACATACATCTTCTCTACAGTGGGGGATATATGGGAGGAATGGAAAGCTGGCTCAAGGGAAAATATAGGGAGGGTTCCAAGAAGGCAGAGTAGGAAGGGAGCTCATTGCTCTAGCCCAGAGGAAAATAGTTTTAAAAAAGAGAGAGAGCCGGCACTGCGGCTCACTTGGCTAATCCTCTGCCTGTGGCGCCGGCACCCTGGTTCTAGTCCTGGTTGGGGCGCCGGATTCTGTCCCGGTTGCCCCTCTTCCAGTCCAGCTCTCTGCTGTGGCCCAGGAGTGCAGTGAAGGATGGTCCAAGTGCTTGGGCCCTGTACCCCATGGGAGACCAGGAGGAAGCACCTGGCTCCTGGCTTTGGATCAGCGCAGCACACCGGCCGTAGTGTCCATTTGAGGGGGTGAACCAACGGACAAGGAAGACCTTTATCTCTGTCTCTCTCTCTCACTGTCTAACTCTGCCTGTCCAAAAAAAAAAAAAAAAAAGTAGAGACAGAGTCGTCTCAGGAAAGAGGGAGAAACCACAGAGGAAACTCTACTGAAATTAGAGGGACACAGTGGACCTACACGGAGGGCATGGGCGCCACGGCTCAGGACTACAGCAGTTGAGAAAAAGCTGCCAGAAGAGCCTAGAGGGAACCTGGCTTGGAGCCCTGTGGGGGAAGATATACTAGCCAAACTAGAGAGGAAAAAAAAAAAGGATGGGACAGACACGTTTCTCTCTCCCTAATCACTTTACAATGGCGTCCTATAACAAATTGATAGAGCAAGTGCCATTTTGGACATATATAACAGCTGCACCAGCTCGGGTGCCATTTTGGACATATATAACAGCTGTGGCAGCTCGTGTCTATGCCCGGCAACCAGTCAAGTGGAAACTATTGACTCTGGTGGGGAGAACTAACAGGGGGCTAGGAGCTTGTGACTGTGTGAGGCTTCTGTACCAGGACTGTGAAAAAAACTGAGGGTGTGTGAGAGGACTCTCAGTGTGGCTAAGACTTTTAGCAGTCATAGTGGGAGACTCCGCATGTTCAAGGTTTCCTGGTTACGTGGTGAGAGACATTGCTGGGGAATCTGAACTTATACTGAGGACTGCACAGATCCTTTGTGTGATCCTTGGGACAGAGCAGACAAATATACCTACTGGGGCTAGCGCTCAGGTACTGGTCTTCTTTAGGGGAGGAGCTCAGTTAAGCAGAATAAATTTCTCTTCTGATTAAAAAAAGAGAGAGAAATTTACCACGCCAAACCTGGATGTGTCACCTTAGGCATGTCCTTAACCCTACAGAAATCCAAATGGCAAGCAGACACATGAAATAATGTTCAGGATCACTAGCCATCAGGGAAATGCAAACCAAAAACACAATGGGGTTTCACCACACCCCAGTTAGAATGGCTTTCATACAGAAATCAACAAACAATAAATACTGGCTAGGATATGTGGAAAAAGTACCCTAATCAACTGTTGGTGGGAATGCAGACTGGTAAAACAACTATGGAAGACAGTAGATACCTCAGAAATCTGAATATAGTCTTACCATACGACCCAGCCATCCCACTCCTTGGAATTTACCCAAAGGAAATGAAATCAGCAAATAAAAGAGTTAACTGCACCTTCATGTTTATTGCAGCTCAATTCACAATAGCTTAGACATGGATTCAACCTAAATGTCTATCAACTGAACACTGGATAAAGAAATTATGGGATGTGTACTCTATGGAATACTACACAGCAGTTAAAAAAAAAGAAATCTGGTCATCTGCAAAAAAATGGATGAATCTGGAAAATATCATGCGTAGTGAAATAAGCCAATCCCAAAGGGACAAATACCATATGTTTTCCCTGATCTGTGACAACTAACAGAGCACCTAAAAGGAAACCTGTAGAAGTGAAATTGACACTATGAGAAGCAATGACGTGAACAGCCCTTGTCTTGACTGTCATGGAACAGTTTATTATTTTATTTTTTTATTATTTTCTTTTTCTACTTAATACCATTGGTCGAAGTCTTAACATAGAATCACCCATAGGTGTATAAATCCAATTGAAATTAGATCATAATAAAAAATAAGAGTGGGAATAAGAGGGAGGAGTTATACAGTTCAGCACACTTTCCCACACACTTACCCCTAAGGGTAAAGCTAAAAACTTGCCATGGGACTCCAAATCCCATTAAGCTGGTTGTTACTAATGCCATCTTATGTGTTAAAGTAGCCATATTAAGTGTGTAATTGATCAGATAGACAGGATTAAGTGTCAAAGGCCACAGCAGGTGCCGAGGCTGATTAGGCTAATCCTCCACCTGCACCACCGGCACCCCAGGTTCTAGTCCTGGTCGGGGCATCGGATTCTGTCCCGGTTGCTCCTCTTCCAGTCCGGCTCTCTGTTGTGGCCCAGGAGTGCAGTGGAGGATGGCCCAAGTGCTTGGGCCCTGCACCCACATGGGAGACCAGGAGAAGCACCTGGCTCCCGGCTTTGGATCGGTGCAGTGCGACCCACCAGCCGTAGCAGCCACTGGGGGGTGAACCAACGGAAAAGGAAGATCTTTATCGCTGTCTCTCTCTCTCACTGTTCACTCTGCCTGTCAAAAAAAAAAAGTGCCAAAGGCCTTAAGGCATTCGGATCTGGTTGAGAGCATGTTCAGGCATGAGAGCAGTTCAGGCATGGAAAACCAAGACATTGTGGCAAAAAATGATCTACACGAAAGATCTCTATGAGTGAGACCCCAGTGGAAAGAAGGGACCATCAAAGAAGGATGTACTTTTCTCTGAAGGGAGGAAAGAACTTCCACTTTGCTTATGGCCCTGTCTAAATACTGACAGAGTTTGTGGACTCAAAAGGCTTCCGTAGCCTTGGCAGCTCATGACAAGAGCCTTGGGTGATCACTGACCTCATAAATAAGAGTGTAAGTTGTTAAATCAACAGCAGGAGTCACTGTGCACTTACTCCCCATTAGGACCTTTGTCCTTAATGAGTTGTACTATGAGAATTAACTGTAAAACTTGTTTTCAAACAGTTCTTTATACTCTGTGTGTCTATGTGGGTGCAAATTGTGAGAATCTTTACTTAGTATAGTGTTGGTCTTCTGTATATAAAGTTAATTAAAAACAAATCTTAATGAAGAATGGGATGGGAGAGGGAGTAGTAAGTGAGATGGGAGTGGGGGTGGGAGGGCAGTGTGGGGGGAAGAACAGCTACATTCCTAAAGCTGTACCTATGAAATTTATATTCATTAAATAAAATCTTTCTTAAAAAAGGGAAATATATACGGCCGGCACTGTAGCTCACTAGGTTAATCCTCCGCCTGTGGTGCCAGGATCCCATATGGGCACCGGGTTCTAGTCCTGGTTGCTCCTCTTCCAGTCCAGCTCTCTGCTGAGGCCTGAGAAGGCAATGGAGGATGGCCCAAGTGCTTGGGCCCCTGCACCCACATCAAAGACCAGGAGGAAGCACCTGGCTCCTTGCTTCAGATCGGTGCAGCACCGGCTATGGCGGCCATTTGGGAAGTGAACCAATGGAAGGAAGACCTTTCTCTCTGTCTCTCTCTCTCTCACTGTCTAACTCTGTCAGTCAAATAAAAAAAAAAGGGAAAATATAAACATAATATAAACATATTTCATCTGTTAAATACAAATATTTATACAGGAAAGTTCCTGGGGGACTAGGCATTGTGGCACAGTGGATTAACTGTTGCTTGCTATGCTGGCATCCCATATGACAGTTCCAGTTCAAGTACCCACTGCTCTGCTTCCAATCCAGCTTCCTGGTGATGTACGTGGGAGGGCAGAAGAAGATGGCCATGTACTTGGGACCCTGACACCCACATGGGAGACTAGGAAGGGTTTCCTGGATCCTGGCTTCAGCTTGGCCCAGAACTGGCTGTTTTGGCCAGTTGAAGAGTGAATGAAAGATCTCTCTCTCTCTCTGTCTCTTTCTGTCTCTCTCTCTCATTCTGCCGATCAAATAAATCTTTCAAAAAAAAAAAAAAAGAAAGAAAAAAAAAGAAAGTTCCCAAGGGAGAGTACAAGTTATAAAACTCAATCATATCTATATATCTCCAGTAATTGAGTTGTGTTATAGTTTTCTCTGAGAAAACATTTGACCATACAGACCAAAAGCTTTCAAAATAACAATATTTTACCTGTAATTTTACAGTTCCAATATCAATCAGCAGTAGAGAATTTAACCAAGAAGTAGTGATTTTCATGCAAGCAGGAAGAAAAAAATATAACCATGCTATTGATCACTGACAGCTTTTAAAACAAACATTTCTGTCTTAACTTCAAGAAATACATGAAGTTACATGAAAAGGAACATAGGGAGACAGAAATAAAAAAGCTGCAGAGAGAAGGAAGCTAGCCACAGCAGAAGCAAGTACAAACATTGTGAAAGCAAAAAGAAGAAATAGGCACAAGGTGACCCAGATTTGTGGTCTTGGGAGCACACATGGAACCAGTGCACACATCTGCAGCCTAAGAAGAAATGAAGATAGCCAGCCATGCTGGCAGCAAGCAGCCCAGCACAGTCTAGCAGTCTGGCTCTGGATGGCTTACTGCCCCGCTGGGAAATGTTGGGAAATGCCACAATAAAAGGTTGAATGTGAAGCAGAGGAATTTTGCTTTCAGGGAGCAAAGTTAGTCCACAGAGTCAAGCCAAGAGCCACAACCTGTAGATCACTGCATATCATAGAAATGGAACAGAGTTAGCTGTATCTTGGGAGCTGTAACTGAACACAGATTCCAAATATTCTCCCAAAAAATCAGAGAGATCACTTCATTTCTCACATGTCTAACAGAAATTCAAATATATTAGGTTACCAATAACTTGCTTTTCAATGATCAAGCCTATCATATATTATTTTTACCTCCTTCTAGCCAAACCTTAAGAATACAATAATGGACCTGCTTCATTTTTAATACTGAAGTTAGGTTGCAGTTTTCACCTAAAACTACTTTATGATTCCAATGTGGTATTGCAAATGAACTACGTGAAAATATTCTTTACCTGTATGACAGATGGGATTTTGTATTGCTAGTTCAAAATTTAATTTCTTGGATTTAAAAAACACATCAATCCCCTCTTCTTCAGTAACAAAGGTCATTCGATTTCCCATAGCAAAGACTGTAAATATTGGTCCATACTGAAATAAAACACAAAAGCACAGATTGTATTAGTAAACGTTTCTAAATCCCAGGTTATGTTTATGTTTTCCTCAATAACACGATGCTGAAGTCACAGTCAAGATAAAAATAATTATGATTCGGGGGTTGGGATTGTGGTATAATGAGTTTAAGATGCCTCTTACAATGCCAGCATCCCATATCAGAGCGCTGGTTCAAGTCCTGGCTGTCCACTCTTGATCCAGCTCCCTGCTAATGCAGCAGAATATGTTCCAAGTACTTGGGATCCTGCTACCCATGGGTCCCTGAATCCTGGCTATGGCTTGGCCCTGGCTGCTGTTGTGGCCATTTGGGGAGCAAATCATTGGGGATGGAAGATCTCTTTCTCCCTCTGTCTCTGCCTTTCTCTGTCACTCTGCCTTTCAAATAAATATAATAAATCTTCAAAAAATTATTCTGATTGTTTCTGATAATTATGTTTTGACTATTTCAGCTAAATCAAAATTATATAAATTCTAATTGTTTCCATCCTAATCATGTCTGTAGTTATTATTTACTTGTATCTTCTTTGTTTTTAGTAAGAAATAATTAGAAAATAATCATCATAAATAACAACCATAAGTTACATAAACATGGTGATATTTGAACATTGTTTATAAGACACGAGTAGGCCTGTAAGCAAACCATAGTTCAATATGAAAACATACAAAATTGCCAGCTAGTTTTACAGAAAATCCATGGTCACTCCATATCTTGCAGTCCTAAACATCTTTCTAATGGGTTCACTTTCTTACTTTCCAAAATGACTATTTCATCTGTATACCTTGCTGAACTCTTTCCACTCTGAGATAGTTTCCCTTACCTATTAACCAACCAGAGAAATGGAGGCAAGCAAGCAAGAGCAGCCTCATCTTCTCACCAACAAATCTTGTAAAATGTACATACTTGTACTCATTCCCCAGGCTTTCCCTCCTGTTAACATAGGTAGAAGGCCTGTCCCTGTTAATGCCAACAATTCTTAACTTGTGTTATGGATTTGATGTTTTCTTGCCCTCTTTGTTCTACATTTATGGCTTTTCTCTCCTACATCTTTCATTTTTCCTCTCTATAAGATCATGTCTAGTCTATAAATAGACACTATAGTGGGGTTCAATTTCAGAGAATCTATAACTTTTCTGGGGAAAATATATCAGCATTTTCATTGGCATCTAACTATAATTCAACTTTTGCTTTAATTATGAATGAGGCAACAAACCACAACATATCCATGATTATCATCAAAAGAAACCATCATGCTTTTATATCCATTATGGTTTTTAAAAATATCTCAAGACATCATTATTCTCACCACTGTGTCCATATTAGTCATGTTTTGATCTGCCATGAGAAGGCACATGATCATGGTGCCACACACCGCTGGGGGCTACAGTGGGTCCAAGAATCATCAAACTACCAAAAAGTGAGGTCTCACTTTCTCACATTAGTGTTCCAGACATCTAACACTGCTTGTCATTTTTCCCTATCAAAAACTGTTTATCAACAATTAGAAGATCTGCTTTCATTCCTTAAGTTTTGTCCAGATGAGAATTTTTAACTTCCCATTAGAAAAGTGGCATTCCATAACCCATACTAGTACCCAGGCCACAAGTATATATATTGAATAGCAGAGATTATTGATGATGTTTAGTATTTAAGATAATTTATTTTAAGATAATCATATCATGAAAAATGGTCAACAACTGCTATAAATTCTGTAGCAGTGTTTTTATTTAATCTGCTCTCCTTTTGTTCTACTTTTTTGTGCAGTATCAGTAGCTCCTGTGTATTGAAAAAAGGCAGTTACATGCCATAAGCTGGAAAAGTGGTATCCATGTTATTATTTTAATTAAACCTTTGATTTTGAGGTAATTGTAGGTTAACATGCAGTTGTAAGGAATATCAAGGAGAGTTCCTATGCACCCATTACTATTTTCCCCATTCAAAATACTACTAATATTGACACAATCAAGACACAGAACATTTTCATCACCACAAAGATCCTCTATGTTGCCCTTGGATAGCCACCCCTATACTACCTAGTCATTAACCTCTGGCAACCACTAGTCAATTCTCCAGTCTGTGATTTTAAATTCCAAGGTTGTTATAAAAATGGAATCACACAGCATATTATGAACTTCTGGAATTGCCTTTTCTCAATCAGTGTAATTCTCAGAGATTCACCTAGATTGCCATGTATATATGTCAATTGTTCATTCCTTTACACTTACAATTCTGAGTATTATACATTATGAACATATCACAGTGTGTTAAAACAACATTGAAGAACATTTGCATTCTCTTTGGTCTGTTGCTATAACAAACAAATCAATAAATACCCAAGTCCAGGCTTTTGTGTGAACATATGTTTTCATTTCTCCTGGATAATTACCAAGAACTACCATTGCTGGGTCATACATGTATGGTTAGCTACCTGCTTGGTTGTTTAAAAAACTGTCAGTGTGGGGCTGGTTCTGTGGCATAGCAGGTAAAGCCACCACATGCAGCACCAGCATCCCATTTATCTGCTGGTTCGAGTCCTGGCTGCTCCACTTCTGATCCAACTCGTTGCTAATGTGCCTGGGAAAGCAGCGGAAAATGGTCCAAGCATTTGGGCCTCTGACACCCATGTAGGAGGCTCAGATGAAGCTCCTGGATCCTATATTTGGCCTAGCCCAGACCTGGCCATTGCAGCCATTTGGGAGACCCACCCCCTCTGTCTCTGCCTTTCCGTCTCTGTAACTCTTTCAAATAAATAAATAAATAAATCTTTTTTTTAAAAAGATAGAAACTGCCAGTGTTTCCCAGAAGGCCTGTATCATTTTACATTTCTACCAGATGTATGAGTGAGCCAGTTCCTCTGTCTTAACGGCATTTGGTATTGTACTACTTGAGTCATTGTGATAGGTGCATAGTGTTATTTCATTTTGGTTTCAATTTCTATATCCGTAATGGCCAAAATGATGTCAAGTATCTTTTTGTGTACTTATTTGCCACCTGTACATCTTCTTCAGAGAAATTTTAAACTGTTGAGTGTTAAAAGCTCTACATATTATAGATATTATTTCTCTGTTGAATACATGGCTTGCAAGGATTTTATAGCAGTCTGTAACTTTTTGAAACTTTTCTTTTTCAACTTCTTAATGGACTCTTTCACAGAATTTCTTATTTTGATAAGTTTATCAGTTTTCCTTTTATGGATGGTACATTTGTTGTTAAGTCTAAGAACTATTCCATAGCCCTGTATTAAAATATTCTTAATTTTTTCTAAAATTATTATAGTTGTGTGCTTTAAAGTTTGTGATGTACTTTGAGTTAATTTTTTTCTTTTTCAATAGAAAACTTTTATTTAATAAATATAAATTTCAAAAGTACAACTTTTGGATTATAGAGGTTCTTCTCCCCATAACCACCCTCCCACTCTCAAACCATCCCATCTCCTACTCCCTCTCCCATCCCATTCTTAAGATTCATTTTTAATTATCTTTATATACAGAAGATCAACTCTATACTAAGTCAAGATTTCAACAGTTTGCACCCACACAGACACACAAAGTATAAAGTACTGTTTGAAGACTATTTTTACTGTTCATTCTCATAGTACAACACATTAAGGACAGAGATCCTACATGGGGAGTAAGTGCACAGTGACTCCTGCTGTTGATTTAACAATTGACACTCTTATTTATGACGTCAGTAATCACCCAAGGCTCTTGACATGAGCTGCCAAGGCTATGGAAGCCTCTTGAGTTCACAAACTCTGACCTTATTTAGACAAGGCCGTAATCAAAGTGGAAGTGCTTTCCTCCCTTCAGAGAAAGGTACCTCCTTCTTTGATGGCCTGTTCTTTCCGCTGGGATCTCACTTACAGATATCTTTCATTTAGGTCATTTTTTGCCAGAGTGTCTTGGCTTTTCATGCCTGAAATACTTTGAGTTAATTTTTTATGAGCTGTTAGGTGGAAGTTCTTTTTTTGTTTGTTTGTTTGTTTTTGATTATTGGGATATATCTGCTCCTTCACCATCTTTGAAAAGGCTACATTTACTCCATTGAATTGTTTTTGCACTTTTGTCAAAAACCAGTTGAGCATATTTATATGGATCTATTTTTAGATTATCTGTTCCATTGATCACTGTGTCTGTCTACCCCTCTGCCATTACTACATGGTCTTCATTAGCAATAAGTCTTAAAAGTAAGTGGGATGATTCCACCCACCTTATTTTTTCCTTTTCAAAATTGTTTTAGGTATTCTAGTTCCTTTGTCTTTCAATATAAATTTTAGAATAATCTTTTCATCGGTATGTACAACAAATTTTTCTGGGAATATGTGTTTCCATTAAACCTGGATTTTAATTTGGGAAGAATTTGACATCTTTACTTAAGTAGACATTCTCAGTCCATGCACATAATATATCTCTCACTTAATTTCTTTTACTTTTTAGTGTTCTGTGGTTTTAACATACATGTTATTTACATGTGTTACTAGATTTATACCTACATAAGTCTTTTTTGAGTGACTGAAAATGGTATTACATTTTTAATTGTGCTTTCCATAGTCCATTGTTTATATGTACTGATACAATTGTATATTGACCTGGCAAAACTACTATATTCACACACTACCTCCAGGAGATTTTTTTTTTGGTAGACTCCTTGAGATTGTCTACATAGACAATCATGTCATTTGCAAATTGGGACTTTTTCCCTCTGTGTGTGTGTGTGTGTGTGTGTGTATTCTTGCTTTATTGCTCTAGCTAAATTTCTAGCACTATATTGAGTAAGAGTCATGACAACAGAAACCTTTATTTTGTTCCTAATCATAGTAAGAAAGAGTTTGTCCTTCATAACTAAGTATCCTCATTGTTACAGGATTTTTGTAGATATTTTTATGAAATTGAGGAAGTTAACTTCTACTCCTACTGTTCTGAGTTTTCTTTTTAAAGATTTATTTATGTATTTGAAAGTCAGAGTTACACAGAGAGAAGGAGAGGCAGAGAGAGAAAGAGAGGTCTTCCATCTGTTGGTTCACTCCCCAATTGGCCGCAACGGCTGGAGCTGAGCCAATCCAAAGCCAGGAGCCAGGAGCTTCTTCTGGGTCTCCCACCTGAGTGCAGGGGCCCAGAGCATTGGGGCCATCTTCCGTTTTCCCAGGCCATAGCAGAGAGCTGGATCTAAAGTGGAGCAGCTGGGTCTTGAACAGGTGCCCATATAGGATACCGGCACTGCAGGCAGCTGCTTTACCCTCTACGCCACAGCACCAGCCCTCTGAGTTATTTTTAATTCCAAATGAGTGTTTAATTTTGTCAATGCTTTTTCTTCATCAATTGATAAGATCATATGATTATTCCTCAGCCTGTAATACAGTGGCTTAGCTGGTTTACTAATACTGAAACAGTTTTATATCTCTGGAATAAGCTTTGGTTAATAATTCCTTTTAGATAAAGTTGCACTTTATATGTTGATATTTTTTCATCTGTACTTTATATTTATATCCTTTTGTACTAGCTTGGGTCTGTTATCAGCATCACGCCAGTTTCATAAAATAGACTGAGAAGAGTCTCTGTCTCTTCTTTCTAGGTGAGACTGTGTAGAATTGGATGTTAGTTCTTCTTTAGACACTTGGCATCATTCTCCAGTGAAATAATCCAGGCCTAAAGACCCTTTTTCAGAGTTTTTAAATTATAAGCTCAATGTCCCGAGATATATAAATGACCTATTTTATGTTGAATAGTTGTGGTAAGTTGTATTTTTCTAGGAATTGGTCCATCTTCATCTAAATTGGTAAATTTACATATGTGAAATTATTCATAGTATTCTGTTACCATTTTTTTGATGGCTGCAGAATCTGGAGTGATATCCCCTGGTTTATTTCAAAACACTGATCATTAGTCTTCTCTCTCTTCTTCATCAGTCTTGCATGAGGTCTGGCAACATGACTAATCTTTTCAACTAACCAGCTTCACTGATTTTGTATCTCTTTTTTTTACTGTTTTCGATTCCACTGATTTCTGCTCTTTAATATTTCTTTTCTTCTTGCTTTGGGTTTATTTTGTTTTTCCTTTTGGCAAGGGGAGAATGTTTCTTGAGGTAAGAACTTAAAAGACTTCTCTTTTCTAATAAAAGTATTTAGTGTCAGAAATTTTAATATGTTGTATTTTTACTTTCCTTCAGTTCAATTCATTCTTTCTTTAAAAAAAAAGATTTATTTTATTTATTTGAAAGACAGAATTACAGAGAGAAAGGTCTTCCATCTGCTGGATCACTCCCTAGATGGCTGCAATGGCCGGAGCTGCACCACTCCGAAGCCAGGAGCTTCCCCAGGGTCTCCCACGCAGGTGCAGGGGCCCCAAGGACTTGGGCCATCTTACACTGCTATCCCATACCATAGCCAAGAGCTGGATTGGAAGAGGAGCAGCCAGGACTGGAACCAGCGCCTATATGGGATGCTGGCGCTTCAGGCCAGGGCATTAACCCGCTGTGCCACAGCGCTGGCCCCTCGATGCATTCTTTATTTCCAAGGTGATCTACTTTAAATATAAAGACTCAGGAAAATTGAAAGTAAGGGATAGTAAACATGTATTATGCAAGTCATAGCCAAAAGGAAATTGGTGTACCTAGAATAATATTTGAGAAAGCAGATTTTAACTCAAGATAGAATCCTGGAGATAAGGTTGCCAAATATCTCTTGGATTGGCAAAGAGGAGTTAACTTTAGCAGGAGCTGTTTAATTAAATACACGTGGAAGTTATTTACTAACACCATTTTAACACAGGAAGCTTTGCCTTGTGTGTGTGCATTGGTGGGTGCTGTTCGGCTGTTTGGTATTTTCCAAAAGTACCAAATCTCACCTTAGTCTGTTTTTGGAAATGATGTTTCCATGTGTGAGCAAGTAAACAATCTTAGATACCTACTGATGGGCAACCTGGAGCCGTACTATTACAATTTTACAGTAACTCTCCCAGTTAGAATCCCAGATCTCAAATTTGAAAAACACACTCTGATAAAACCAGGCACAATTTGAAGTATAAACACAGTCCTCTGATCAATCATAAGGCACAAAGTATCAGGCTTGCAACACAAGTGTTTCAGTATGACTGAAGCTGAAGGTTACATAATGGATTTTTGCAGATTGTTTCTCCAATGTTCAAAATGCCATAAATAGTGTCCTGTAGAGTTGCCCTTTAGATACAATTTCCCATGAAGCCTACTTACTGATTAGCACATATTGCAGCTACTGCAAGAAAGAAAAATCAGTGAACCCACTACCCAAAACTTGGTTCAGTTATTGAGAGTGATGATGCTACACACACACCCAAAAGAGGGTATGAAAAGATTTATCATTTACATAATTGAGCTTTTCAGAATAAGCAGAAAGGAGCTGAACTTAGAGTTTTATTGTCGGAAATGGGTGAGGAAGGGTGTGTTCCTCCTTAAGGGCTAGGCTTACGTGGTTTGAATCTCCCCTTGGAGCCAAAGGTGGGGGTGCTCAGGCTTTCTTGTCCTGCCCATAAAGGAGAGTACAAGAGAAACAGGCAAGAGTGATGCTGAAATCCTTCAGCAAATATAAAAATATCAGTCATATTCTTCATTATAGTACTAGAAAAAGATAATTTACACCTTGCTAGGTAACATAATAGTTGACTCCTGTAACTTGATTTATTTAATCAGGAAAGCTTGACCTTCTAAGACAAGCTTGTAAAAACATCCCTTCAAAGTTATCAAAACCACATGCCTAAGGAGACAAAAGGAGTATTTCTTTAGGACGTACACCTATCAGACCAGCAAAAGTTACACAGAATTATCGTATCCCCTGTGGTCCTGTATATGAAAAGGAAAATAAGAACCATGTATGGTTACATCCTTTTGTAAAACAATTAAGTAATTTAAGTATGTACATGATTTAATTTAGCAATTATTTTAGGATTTTTTTCAGAAGAAACAACTAGATAAGTACAAAATGTACAATCATGCAACACACACAGACACACACAAAGAATGTTCACTGAAATGTTAGCTGAAATAAGGAATAAAAGTTGGCAGCAAATCATCTATTAAAACTTAGACTATTATATCCCTATATGATGGAATATATTAAAAAGAAGATTCAGAGAAATACTTAATAACATGGGAGAATCATTCACATTATGCATCAAGGATTACGAATCTCTTCAGCGCGCAGTGAAAACGACACTTATTATCATCAAACAATAACTGAAGATACAGTGCCGGCTAAATTTGCAAAGATTAGCTTTGCAAGCAGTTTTCACAACAGCCTGGTGTCACCTCCAATTGGATATGAACTTACTCCTCACCCATTTTCACAAATTCAAATTGTGTTGCCCTTCCGCGTTCAGAGGAATGCAGCCATTTCGTTCAAACGTATACACTCTGAACTGAACCACGACAAAGTACCAGCATTAAAAGTTAATCTCTCCTTCGGAAAAGGCAGATGCGAGAGCTGCGCTGGATTTCATTTCCTGGGCTTACGCTTGCATGGGACATGACTGCTGATAGTTAGCAAACCAGAGTTAAATTCCCAGAGTTTAATTGCGGGAAGCAGGTACGTCTCCCGTGTTCTAATACCGCACTTTGAGAACCAATGGAAGTCCAAAGAAAATACTCTCTCCTTCGGCGACCCCGCCCGCCACGGCTACGTACCTTGATTCTCGCCTGCTCTATGAATTCTAGAGGGGCTTTCCCAAACTCAAAGCTGGCTCCAAGCCAAGGGATCCAGCCCCGGATGCACGGGGGTCCGCGCACGTTCTTCCGCTGGAGGAATGAGAAAAGGGTCACGACAACTAGGAATAGAATCAATGTTGGGAAGATTAATCCCATGCTGTTGTCCGGCATTTTCCAAAATCTGCCAAGTTTGAAAAAGTCCTGCGGCCCTGGCGCTTCCTCCTCGCCGGCGGGATGGGGCACCTGCCGAGCCTCCCAACTTCTCTGCGGTAACTTTTGCAAGTGGTTCTCCTTCGTAGCTGTAGCTTCCTTTCCTCGTCCCAATTTTTAAGTGAGTTTTGCATCATCGCTCCCTCCCACCTCCACTTCTCTTTCCAGTCCTGGCTACCGCGGAGGGGAGGGAAAAACGCTCGCGCTGGGACGGGCTGGAGCAGATGGGCGGGAACACCGTCTCCTGTTGCCATGGAGACCGGGAAGGGAGGCATAGCGGAAGCCTCGTTCTCGACCAATCATAGTGGTCCCTGAGGCCGGCCAACTACATTTCCCATAAGCCTCTCTGGTTCCGCTTTTTTTTTTTTTCTTTTTTTTTTCCTCCTGCGCTGTCGAGTACCGAGGGACGCTGCTGGACCACTCCATCCTGGAGCTGCTAGGGAGGCTGCGGGTTCACCCAGCCGAGCGAGGGAAATGGTCCCCGCCCGGCCATTTGCCGGTTGAGAGGGGGCCGCCCTGGCAGGGTGGCAGGCCAGCCGCGGCGCGGTGCACTGGCGAGAAGGGGTGCATGGTCGTCCTGTCCGGCCGCTGAATGTCCGTCTCGGAGGATGAGGAGAAGCTTCTGCCGCTCGCCCAGAGATGGCCCCGAGCGAGCAAGTTCCTACTGTCCGGCTGCGCGGCGACCGTGGCCGAGCTAGGTACCCGGCCGCCCACGCCTGGGCCTCCGGGCCGGTGGCCGCCGCGGCGCCGCGCTGGGAGAGGGATGGGCGGGCGGCTCTCCCGGCTGAGTGCATCCGGGAGCGGTGGCCCCTGTGCATCCACGCCTGCCTGGTGGATGTGACAGGGTGGGGGCCAGGCCGGCTTGGGGACGAGGAAGAGGGAGTGCAGGTGTCTGAGGGCTTTTCCTTCCAGTTTCTTCTAATACCTTGTTCAGGGATGCTCTGCCTTCGTGTGTACTCTTAGAAGCGTCGTGAGCTCGCAGTCCTCTGTGGCGATCCTTTCCCCCTGTTGTGAAGATGACCCTTTAAAGAACACAGCCCATTCTCCATCCTCGCTGAGGGAGGCTCGCTGTGTGAGATTTATATCCACGGCCTCCCTGTATGTCATTGTCTTGTGGGTCCAAGACATGGACCTGCCTTGTGGGACTTCCATGGTTAACCCGCCACTTACTGAGCGTCGACCCAGCATCCGCCCATGATTTGACCTCCTTGAGCTTAACTGGTCTGTGCTGTGTTGACCTCGGAGCATCGTGAAAAATCAGTAATATGTAAATGTTAACTCCAAGAAGGGCACCCGTTAACTGGGGCATTATTATAATTACCATAGTGTTAGGACCATGGATAGAATCATTGAAAAAAACCCAGTTCTGACCTTGCAGGCTGCTGGAGCAAGACAGTTAGAACGTGCTAGTTGTTCTAGTGAAGATATTATTAGGTATCCTAAGAGCGTAGAACTCTTTTATCTGAGTCAGAGACTTTAAGAGGCTACTCCCTGTGGGATTCTGAGGCCCTTGGTGCACAGGTGCGGTTTCTTCCTAAGCTTTTGAATAGAGTGCCTGGGTGTTCCTGGAGAAGCAGTAACTATGTATTTTAAGATTACCTTTAGTAACCCTTTTTTTTTTTTTTGAAGAAACAGCTTTGATGTTTTGATCATTTGTAAATACTAATTGGCCCTGTTCTAAAGTGAGTTTATTTTGTATGTCCAGTACCCTGCATGTGGTATGTTTTGTCCTTTGTACTCTTCCATTCTTCCCATGTGACCTGTGGGTTTTTTTTTAACTTTCTCCACTCAGAGCGACAGAGAATTTTTGTTTTTCATGTTTTTACTGAAACGGAATTCATCAATTTTTAAAACAAATCCAAAAGCAGACTGCTGAACGATTCGATACATGTCTGGGTTTTATTTTTGACTGATATCTCCCCCTGTGACACAATGGCTTTTGTATAGGAACGTTCCTCCTGTTAAAAATTCCGTGAGAAAATTGTATGGGAAATAGCAAGGGGAATCCAAAGATGGGATGGCTTCACATATAAATCATTTCAGGATCAGAACCAGAAGCATTGTATATGTAACCAGCGGGAAAACAGACTGTTTGGAAAAGCCAAGAATAAGCTTGGCTGGAGGCTCCTATTTCTTAGACTGCAGGTCTAGTCTGTTGATTCTGTTCTCTAGATGAAAGCTACTTCTGTTTTTAGGAAAACTGTCAGCAAGATACTCACTTTTCCAAAGATGAGTGCTAAGATTTCATATTCTCTTCCCCTCCTCCCATTCTTATGTTCTCTTGGAAAAGGCACTCTAGGGTTTTGTATTAGATGGTGGTAATTGAAACGTCTTACATAATGTCAGTAGTGTGGATGAACTTGTCTGAAGGTTATTTCAGTTATTAAGGACATTATGGATATAAAGTTGTGATTTGATTTTCCATATGTGGGTCAGTTCACTTAACTCTGGTAAGGTAAAAGGTCTACCTCTAATTCAAAATAGAAACAGAAAATTTCTTTACAAATATAGCTGGTACTAGTAAGGAGGCCACAAGTAGGCCTTGCATAAAACTTTGCAGTGCTGGAAAAACAACTCAGTAGGTACCTTAATAGAAAAAAATATTGTGCACGCCACCCTTGTGTATAAAAGATGACATGATAAACTTCATTGAATATTCTGTGCCTCTAAATGTTAGGTCAGTGATTCATCTGCCGGTAAACCACTCAGGAAATGAAAGAAGTTAGCTTCTTCTAGTGTGTAGTGTCATCTGTAACAGCAAAATCAGATGCCTAAGGAGACAAAAGGAGTACTTCTTTAGGATGTACTATTTATCATCTATCAGACTAGCAAAAGTTACACAGAATTATCATATCCCCTGTGGTCCAGTATATGAAAAGGAATATAAGAACCTTGTATGGTTACAGTTTTCTAAAGTTGGGTCTTGGCCGGCACCTCGGCTTACTTGGCTAGTCCTCCGCCTGTGGTGCCAGCACCCCGGGGTTCTAGTCCCAGTTGGGGCACCAGATTCTGTCCTGGTTGCTCCTCTTCCAGTCCAGCTCTCTGCTGTGGCCTGGGAAGGCAGTGGAGGATGGCCCAAGTGCTTGGGCCCTGTACCCGCATGGGAGACCAGGAAGAAGTACCTGGCTCCTGGCTTTGGATCAGTGCGGTGCGCCGGCTGTAGCGGCTATTTGGGGGGGTGAACCACTGGAAAAGGAAGACCTTTCTCTCTGTCTCTGTCTCTCTCTCACTGTCTAACTCTGCCTGTCAATAAATAAATAAATAAATAAATAAATAAAGTTGTGTCTTAAACAATTATGGCTGCAGTCAAGGGAATAATACTACACAGAATGGATACTTTAAACCCACTGGAAAGCAAAAATTAAGAGCAAAAGTAGATTTTAGACTGACAGTGCTGAGAAAACTAAAGGAGTGTCTATCTTTTTTTTTTTTTTTTAAACTGGTGATCTGGGATACTGTGGTGCAGTTATTTTTCCTATTTGGGAATGTGTGAGAATCAGCTAATTCTAAACTCTTATCAACTAGTGAGTTAGAATCCATGGGCATGGGACAGGAAATCAGTAATATTTAAGTTTCTCCCAGGCTGATTCAGATATATTCTAAAATTTGAAATAGTGATCTTAGAAAAATGTTAGTCCCATAACCTCAAATTTTTTGCTTGTTTTTCTAAATGTTGTGGGTTTTTCCCTTCATTTGTTTCTTTTTTGTTAGCCACCTTTCCCCTTGACCTCACAAAAACTCGACTCCAAATGCAAGGAGAAGCTGCTCTTGCTCGGTTGGGAGACAGTGCCCGAGAATCTGCCCCCTACAGGGGCATGGTTCGCACAGCCCTAGGGATCATCCAAGAGGAAGGCTTTCTGAAGCTTTGGCAAGGAGTGACACCTGCCATTTACAGACACGTAGGTATTTATCTTGATTCTAGCTGGTAAGTTTGTTTTGAGTTCCCTGTGTGTCTCTTCTGCTTTACTTTTTAGCTTTGTCCAAAAGCCAGCTAGATTTTTTTTCTACTGATATAAGTGAATATTTAGTCTGTTAAGAAGAAAAAAAAATATTAACCACCAATTCCATTAAGAAGTTACTGCCCTAACTTTTCTGAAATGCACGCAGAAGTATTTAGAGATGAACCATCATGATGTCTGTAAAGTACTTTAGAATGGCTAAGCCAAAAACAAAATTGAAGCACATAGAGCAAAAATGTTAGTAATTAATAAATTTCGATTATAGAGAAAGTTATACCATTGTGTGTCATTTTCCCTACTGTTATATAGTGTTAAGTTTTTTCCTAATACAAAGGTTTTTTTAAAAGGTTTAAAAACAGGATTTAAATTACTCATGTTTTTGAAAACTAAAATATATACTTTATATTTTATATGAAATATAAGTTTCATGAGTCTCATACATCTGAATTGAGGCTACTTTGAAAGAGAACAGGAATTGCTGCTTAATCCAATTCTAGTAATACTACCAATGAAAGCAACTAGGTGAGCCGTTAGTCATCTTTAAAGGGAGATGGTAGTAACTGTGCTGATGAAAATACTTCTCTGCTGTCAAAGTGGCACATTTAAGAAGGAGAATTGTTGCCCTTTCAGTTCATGGACAAGAGAGCACAATCCTGTATAGGTGTGCATTTTTCTTTTCTACATTCATAGTGTCACCTTAAACATATAGGGAATCCCTGATGAGAAAAGTGTCCAGCTGTAATATTTGTGGGTTGAAAGGTTCACTTCTTCAGATGAGTAAGCCAGAGTATACTCATGAAGAACTCTGTAGAATTTTGCACAGAGACTGTCATAGTTGTTGTATTTTGTGTGTTTTAGATTATTTTACAGTATTTCATCAAACATCTTAGGATATCAAGAAAAGATTTCTAAAGGAGTACAGTGTGCTGATTGTAATTATTTTATTTCCCATATAAAAGTCTTTGTGTCCTGTGATTTTTTTGTTTCACTTCTTTTCAGTTGTATTTTGTTTACCACTGTATACTGCTTGACAGTTAAGATTCATTTCATGTTTGACACTTAACTGAACAAACTCACAGTAATGCTATAAATTTTCCAATATAAATGTTTATTCAATGATAATAAATGCTGTGCCAAACTATGTACTAGGGCACTGGTGTAATAAAAATGCACACAACCTACTTAGAACTCATGGTCTGATGGGAAGAGAAGCAAGATAAACAATATAATACTTAACTAATATGATAATTGCTAAAATATGGGGAAAGATCAGAGGGCATATCTGTAAACCATATTATTTTTTAAAAAAGATTTATTTTATTTATTTGAAAGTCAGAAATACAGAGAGAGAAGGAAAGGGGGGGGGGCGAATCTTCCATTCACTGGTTCATTCCCCAAGTGGCTACAACAGCCAGGGCTGGGCCAGGCTGAAGCCAGAAGCTTCCTCCAGGTCTCCCATGTGGGCACAGTGGCTCAAGGACCCAGGCGATCTTCCACTGCTTTCCCAGGTGCACCAGCAGGGAGCTAGATCAGAAGTGGAGCAGTCAGGACTCAAGCCAGCACCTGTATGGGATGCCAGCAGTGCAGGCAGAGGCTTAACCTTCTATACCACAGTGTTGGCCCAGAAACATATTCTTTTAATTGAGTCTTGAAAGAGTAGGAGGAATTAGCAAAACAGAGAAGAGGAACCCCTTGTAGAAAGATCCATCAGCAAGTGAGAAGTCCTCTGACTTCAAAAGGCCTGCCCTATTTGGAGAAAAACCAAGAGGTCCACTTGTCAGGAGCGAAGGATACATGAGAGAAAGACACAGATAGAGAGTTTGAAAGGCCAGGCCAGAGAGTCATTTTATTTTATTTAATATATACTGATTTTTTTTAACGATCTGTCTTATGCAGTGTACTCTGGAGGTCGAATGGTCACATATGAACACCTTCGAGAGGTTGTATTTGGTAAAAGTGAAGATAAGCATTATCCTCTTTGGTAAGTTTTCTTTTGAAAGTAATCTACTACTGCCAAGAAGGCTATAATGTATATAATTAGATTTATGTAAAAGTATAAATTTGTACAAAAATTCTTTTAAAGTATAGGCTTAAAATAAGTAATCAATATAAATCCAAATAATTGAGCACATACTATACATTGTCCACAGATAGATGTATACATTGGAAGGGCTTCAAAAAGTTCACAGAAAATGGATTTTTTTTTTGAAGGTTTATTTGTTTATTTATTTGAAAGTCAGAGAGGAGAGGCACAGGGAGAGAAAGAGGTCTTCCATCTGCTGGTTCACTCCCAAATTGGCTGCAACAGCCAGAGCTGGGCCAATCCAAAGCCAGGAGCCAGTAACTTCTTCCAGGTCTCCCACGTGGGTGCAGAGGTCCAGGGACTTGGGCCATCTTCTGCTACTTTCCCAGGCCATAGCAGAGAGCTCGATCAGAAGAGAAGCAGCCGGGACTTGAACCGGCACCCATTTGGGATGCCGGCACTGTAGTCAGCAGCTTTACCCACTACACCACGGTGCTGGCCTCAAAAAATAGATTTAAAAGATTTATCTTGGTGCCAAAATTTGAAAACTCTGACGATGAGAGGTGTTCAAAAGACTCATAAAAATTGTATATCACTAGAAAAGTATGCATGAATTTAAAAATTTTTGCACCAAAATAAATTTATCTTTACTTTTGTTTTTCTACAAACTTTTTGAAGTACATATATACATATCTATACATACATTAGTTATACACAGGTGTCTATTTAAGATGAAAATAATTCTGACAGAGTGCCTTCTTACTCCTCTTTCTGTTAAGGAACTCTGGGCTTTGAAGTTAGAGAGAAACAGTCTCAAAGTCCTGAACAAGCAAAGTGTAACCTGAGCAAACTGCTCCACCTGTCTTCTCATCAGTATTTTCATCTGTGGAAAGCATCAGGATTTTGTGTCTGTAGGATTAGATGAGATGATGAATGTAAGTGCGAATCATTTGCAATGCTTAGAAACATTTTTTAAAAAAGGTTAAATAATATGCATAGGATTCTGTAAAAAATACATAGACAATGCTGTCGACAAATGAAAAAAAACATAAATAGGCTGTTTACAAAAGAAGAAATATAAATGTTCACTAAACATATAAAAACATTCAACATCACCAGTAATCAGGGAAATTAATTAAGATTGTCTTTGAACTGTTAGTGGAAATCTAAGTTACTATAGCTATTTTGGAGCATAAATTACCTGTTAAAATTTTTAAATGTGCAGCCCTTTGATCCTGTTCCTTCCTTATGTTTATTATTCAGAAATACTTGTACCTATGCATAAACACACACAGAGATACTAGTGTAGTCATGTTGATGATAGCAGTTTTTAAAATCTAAATAATCATCAATCGAAGTAGTTAAGCAAGTTATAATATGTTTATGCAGGGAAGCATAATACAGCTATTGAAAGAATGAGGTAGATTTTATTTTTTTTCCATAGTAATAATTGAAAAGAAAGGCCACCGCAAAACACACCAAACACAGGAATGAGGGAAAAGGTTTATTGTCATGTGGGGGAAACCCAACAGGCTGCCTCTCCATGCACAAGAGAAACAACAGGCTGTGTTAGGAGAACAGGTCTTATACAGCTTTGTAGAGGTAAGGAAGTGCAAGCAGCGAATCCTGTTAGGATGGGGGATGGAGCTGGTGCTTGTGGTTGAGCCATTTGGTCACCTGACTTCTAGTAAGCTAGGCTGGGTTTAGGATTGAAGCTTATTGTACAAGATGACGATGGCGCCAGAGCCTAAGATGGTGTCTGGGGCTTAGATGATACCCTAGATAAGATGGCTGCATTTGGGGCCAGCGCTGTGACGCAGTGGTTTAATGCCCTGGCCTGCAGCGCTGGCATCCCATATGGGTGCCGGTTCTAGTCCCAGCTGCTCCTCTTCCAATCCAGCTCTCTGCTATGGCCTGGGAAAGCAGTAGAAGATGGCACAAGTCCTTGGGCCCCTACACCCATGTGGGAGACCGGGAAGAAGCTCCTGGCTCCTGGCTTCGGATCGGCACAGCTCCAGCTGTTGCAGCCATCTGGGGAGTGAACCAGTGGATGGAAGACCTCACTGTCTCTCTCTGCCTCTCTGCCTGTCTTCTCTATGTGTAACTCTGACTTTCAAATAAATAAATAAATCTTAAAAAAAAGAAGATGGCAGCATTTTACTAACAGTAATTATTTTTATTTTTATTTTTGTGCTTTGTAGATACAAATTCTAAGAACATGGTGATATTCCCTTCCTCCCTCCCTCCTACCTCTCACTCCTACCCTCCTTCCTTCTCCCTTTCTTTTTGTTTTTAGTTTTTGAGGTAACATTTTAAATTTACATTATAGTAGAAAGGCTTAATACTTCCCCAAAGAAGATGTTTAACAAGTAAAAGGCAAAAAGACCCAAGTTTAGTGGAATATAGACAATGGCTATAAACAGTAATTGAATGGAAAAATGACCATTTCACCTATACACAGTAAATTTTTTAAAATCACAGATCATTAAAATTATAGTAGTGTAACATTCTTAACTGTTGTTTGACAAAGGTATTAAGCAAAGTTTTATAAAACTAAATTTTTAATAATACTGATACACATAGACATTTCTTTCTTTTACCTTTTTTGTTTGGTTTTTAAGTTACAGCTCCCACATATAAGGGAGAACATGCAGTATTTGTCTTTCTGGGTCTAGCTTATTTCACTCAACATAATATCCTTCAGTTGCATCCATTTTGCTGCAAATGGTACAATTTCATTCTTTTTTATAGCTGAATAATATTCCATTCTGTATATATATCACATTGTCTTTATTCATTCATCTGATGATGGACAACTTGGTTAATTCTAAAGTTTGTTCAATGTGAACAGTGCTTCTATGAATATGGTACTGCAGGCATCTCTTTGATACATTGTGTTCAAGCCTTTTGGGCATATACCCAGTACTAGGATTCCTAGATCATAAGGCAAATCTATTTCTAGTTTTTTAAATAAATCTTCACACTGTTTTCCACAGTGGTTGTACTAATTTACATTCCCACCAACAGTGGATCAGCATTCCCTTTGTTCATATCCTCTCCACAGCATTTATTACTCTTTGTGTTTTGATTTTAGCCATTCTGACAGGGATGAAATGATATCTCATTGTGGTTTTGATTTGCATTTCCCTGATGGCTAGTGATGTGGAGCATTTTTTCATGTATTTGTTGACCATTTGTATTTCTTCTTTTAAGAACTGTCTATTGAAGTCCTTTGCCCATTTCTCAACTGGATTGGTTTTTTTGTTGTTGAGGGTTTTTTTTTTAAGTTGCTGATACATTCAGGATATCAATCCTTGATTGGAATTTTTTTTTCTTTTAAGACCATGAATATATAATCTCACTCTCTTCAGGCCTGTAAGGTTTCTACTAAGTCTTATGTTAATGTAATTGGTTTTCCTTTATATGTAACTTGATGCTTTTCTCTCTCTCTCTCTTTTTTTTAAAGACTTATTTATTTATTTATCTGAAGGACAGAGTTACAGACAGGCATAGTTACCGAGAGGTCCTCCATCTGCTAGTTCATTCCCCAAATGGCCACAGTGGCCGGAGCTGGGCCAGGCCAAAGCCAGGAGCCAGGAGCTTCTTCTGGGTCTCCCATGTGGGTGCAGGGGCTCAAGCACTTGGACCATCTTCTACTGCTTTCATAAGCCATAGCAGAGAGATGGATCGAAGTAGAGCAGCCAGGACTTGAACCAGTGCCCATCTGGGATGCTGGCACTGCAGGCAGCAGCTTTACCCACTATGCCACAGCACTGGCTCCTAAATCATATTTTCAATTTATTTTTTAAAGCTTTATTTATTAATTCATTCATAAGGCAGAATTGCAGGGAAAGAATTAGAGGCAGAGAGAAACAGAGAGAGATCTTTCATCCGCTGGTTCACTTATTTCTAAAATGTCTACAACATCTAGGAGCTAGGTGCTCCCTTCTGGGCCTCCTAGATGAGTGACAGGGACTCAAGAACTTGAGCCATCACCTGCTGCCTTCCCAGGCACATTAGCAGGAAGTTGGATCAGAAAAGAGCAGCCAGGACTTGAACCAACACTCTATTATGGAATACTGCCATCACAAGCAGTGCTTAACCTATTGTACCACATTGCCAGCCCCATAAATCACATTTTTAAAATAGTGTCTGACATATAACAAGCATTTAGTAAATGCATTATTGTTATCTCTGGGGAGGCATATAAGAAATTAGTCATTGTGATTACTTCAATGAAGGGGAATTAAGGATAGGGTCAGAAGGATGCTCTTTATACCTATTTATACCTCTTCAAATCACTTTCAGGTAAAGAGGTAGGAAGTACCTGTTTTCCCTAAAGAGATTGTTAAAATAATCTAGGTAAAGGATAACAAGTTTAGCCTGATAAAATAGCCGCAGGAATGGAGGAAACAGGATAGATTCAAAGCCTGTTGAAGTAATCTCCTCTTGCTCACTGTTTGTTCTGTGAGGAGAGGAGAAAGAATGAGTTCCTAGGAATGGAAAGAGGTTTTCTTTTTTTTTTTTCAAAGAGAAGAATGTTTTCAAACACCCTTCACTTGGAAAACTTCTAAAGAAGTCATTGTTAAAGTGTGACTCACCAGATTTTGTCTGTTAGACTCATCACATCTATGCTGTTTTTATTCCACTTTAGTTGGAATTAAATTGCAGTTAAATTATTAGTTCAGATGTTTCTATCTTTGGAATAACTGCTCTTTCCTTTGGATTTCAGACGATGCAAGGCCTGCAATTTCAAAAATTAATTTTTACTTTTCTTGGTGCTTTAACTCTCCCATCAGTAAACAGCCAAATGGTCTACTTGCCTCTGTAGTTTATTTGGGTCTTTTACTTTGTCTTTAAATCTCTTACCCAGGATCTGTACAAGCTGAATGTTGATTCACTATAAAATCTGTGACATTAATGGCAACTTAAAAAAATGCATCTCCTCTTCCAATTAGGAAATCAGTAATTGGAGGGATGATGGCTGGTGTTATTGGTCAATTTTTAGCCAACCCAACTGACCTAGTCAAGGTTCAGATGCAGATGGAAGGAAAAAGAAAACTTGAAGGAAAACCACTGCGGTAAGTTCTCCAATTGGCAGATACCTGTTTTATACCCTTTGCCATCACTGTGTTTTAAACCTTTATCTAATGGACTTACCATTTTTGTAATCCAATTTTAAGTGAAGTTATTAATGCTGCTAATCTGGAAGTTATATTCATTAAGAGAAGAGTTCAGTTGAATCTTTTTCTTTGCACAATGAAGTTCGCTACCAGACACCTTATATGTGGGTATAGCGTCTTGCTACTTTTCCCAGCCAAGACATGTAGACTTGTCCTCTATTGCAGGTTTATATAGTTTGATCATGAAAATTTTCCCTGACATGAATCCCTGTTTTATCATTGTGGCTTGGTGTTAGGAAGTCACTTAATAATACTGGTCTCTCAATTTTGTCTTTATTCATTTATTAATTTTTAAGATTTATTTTATTTATTTGAAAGAGTTACAGAGAGAGGTAGAGACAGAGGTCTTCCAACCTCTGGTTCATTCCCCAGATGGCTGTAACAGCTGGAGCTGAACTTATCTAAAGCTAGGAGCCAGGAGCCAGGAGCTTCTTCCAGGTCTCCCACATGGATACAGAGGCCCAATGACTTGGGCCATCCTCCGCTGCTTTCCCAGCACATTAGCAGGGAGCTGGATTGGAAGTGGAGCTGCCTGGACTCAAACCAGTGCTCATATGGGATGCCGGTACTGCAAACCAGGGCTTTAACCCACTGTGCCACACCGCTAGCCCTGGATTTTGTCTTTAAAGGGGACTCTCTCTAAAAGTTTTCACTGCAGTTAACATACCTGGCTCAAACAATCTTGATTTCTTTTCCTTTCTCTCAGAAAGAAGGGATGTGGCAAGATCAGACTTGCAAAAGGTTCTAATTTCCTCATCTAATCCCATTTAACCTACATCTTGAGGCTTTCTTTATGAAATTTTAAGGAAGATTTTGTGATGTTTTTGATATAAAATCCTCCTGTGACATGACCCTGTATTATTGAAGTCTGCCTTTTTTCAAAGGGCTTCATGTTCAACAATTGATTAGAATATCACTTAACTAATTTTCCCTGGAAAATGGATAAGATCTTGCAGATAGAAAACCACTCCCAGGAAATAGGGAATGTGCAGGATGACAGACTGAGTATGAAGGGGTCTGCTCCTCGGGACACTCCAGATCTGCGGCCAAGGCAGAGGTGAAGGATTTGGGGCTCTTTGGGAGTTTACCACAAACCACTGCCCTCTACTGGGAAATGAGGTTGGGCTGCTAGCACGGGCTCCCTTTCAGCCTTCAAAGAAATGGAGAGAACATGCAGAGGAGAAAAGGGCACCACTCTTCTATTTTTGTTTTATGACAACTTCTGCTTACCAAGTGGTGGGGAGAAGCTCCCCCCATCCCCAGAGATCAGTTTTCTACTCTTCATCCCTAATGTTGGAAATTTGGGGTTTGACTGAACTTAATGTTATAGTAGAGATTGTGAACCCTGCAATCAGACAGCCTGGGAGTCAAAGTCACACTTTACCACATTTTAGCTCTGTAATTATAGTCAAGTTCCTTAGCCCTTCTAAGATTCAGTTTCCTTAAATGTAAATTGAAGAAAAATACATACCTCATGGAGTTTTCTGAATGAAAATTTGTCTTCTATATATAAAATGCCTGGTGTTCAATAAGTGAGTGATCAATAAATTTCAGGTACAGTGATCATCATTTTCTATCATAACTTCTCATGTGGCATAATAGCAATTATGCATATTCTTTGGTGAAATCCAGACAATATAATGCCTGAGTAAATCCCACACAGCTAGTAAGTGGAAAAGGTGGTGCATGATTCTAGTTTTTCTGACTATATAAAATCTAAAGGTTTCCATATTTGGCTCATGGTTCAATACCATTTTTCATCTGTCTCCAAAAAAATCAAAATATGGATATGCTAGTGAATTTTCATGGAGCCACAATTATTCAGTTTTCAGAATTCTCATTAGATTGTCCTTCCTACTTTTTTATCTTAAAATATCATTTCTTTTATAATACTAAATGAGATTAAGAGAGAGAAAGAGACAGAGAAAGATAGAGCTCCCATCTGCTGGTTCGCTCCCCAAGTGACCACAATGGCTAGGGTTGGGCCAGGGCTAAAACCAGAAGCTAAGAAGTCAGTCCAGCTCACCCATATGGGTGGTAAGAACCCAGTCACTTGAGCCATTACAGCTGCCTCCCATGACCTGCATTAGCCAGGTATCCTACCAAGTATTGAACTCAGACACTCTAATATGGGACATGAGTGTCTTTTCCAGTAGCGGAAGTTGTGGGCTAAACATCAACCTGACAATGTTTTATTTAGGTTGTTATTTGGTGAAATTTAAACACTTTCAGATTGTCTGAGTCACCAGTAAAATGAATCCAGAAGTTTCATGACCACTGTTTTTTTCCCATAATTAATATGTACTGATAATATAAAAAATCAGGAAAGGTATTTTAATCTATTTCATAATCTGAGAAGAGGATCATCCAATTTTCAAAGATTTTCATTACAAATATTTAAATCATATATTGGCCTTTGAATGTAAAGGATTGTTAAGTATATTTGGAAGTTAGATTTATATGTATTGCTTTAATTCCTAAAAATTATGCATAAGATGTTGTTACAGCTATGGGTGAAGCTTATCCTGTTGCATTCCATATACAGGAATACATAGAGTTTTCACATTTTATTGTTATCTTCCTTAGATTTCGTGGTGTGCATCATGCATTTGCGAAAATCTTAGCTGAAGGAGGAATACGTGGACTTTGGGCAGGCTGGGTCCCCAATATTCAAAGAGCAGCGCTGGTGAATATGGGAGGTAATAGAAACTGTTGAATTCTGAGAAGTTCTAATTGCATTAATAGTTACAAGCACTTAACAGGGCAATGAGATTTTTTATTTCATTATTTTTGATAACAAAGGTAAGGCTACATATATGTTACAATGTTATAACTGAATAGCTTCCATAGAGCATTTTCAGTTTCTACAGTGATATATGATAAGGATTTCCTAAACAAACTGTGTGTCAGTTAGGAGATAGCACTAAACTGTTTTTAAAGGCTCTTCTCTAGTGACTTTCCTTCAAGATTAAAACTGATACATATTACTATCTGATGGTCATTATATACAGACTGTCCAACTCTTTCTCTTGCTTAATCCCGCTCCTATTATTATAATCCATCCTGCACAACCTACCACCCCAGGCTGGAAACCTGAACATTCCCTTAACTCATGTCCCTACTCCCACTTCCTATATTCATTACCAATTTCTTCCCTCTTTAAATGCTTCTTAAGGTTCTTCCCCCTTCCATACATAATACCTTAGTGTCCTTAAGACGATCATTTCCGTGATATTAACCATCCAAATCGCTCAACTAGGCCACTGCCATGGAATTGGTCTCTTCTTTCTTTCTCTAATTGTGCTCAGTATCTGATCTCTCTAAAACACAGATTTGAACATGTTATTGCTGTCCCTAAAACCTTTCACTGCATTCTCATCTCTCAGAGAATAAAGTACAAATCTTGGAACATGACATAACAGGTCTGCGAAATCCTCTCTTCAGAAAATGGAGCAGTTGGGCCCAGTGCTGTGGCGTATTGGAGCTAAGCCTCCTTCTGTGGCGCTGGGCTAAGGAAAAGGGCGCAGAACAGAGAGGAGACAGAATACAAACTGGCAGCCAGATTGAATTTATTCAGAGAAAATAAATCCACAGAGGTCGACCAACTGCCATCATGCTCACAGACTGAACCAGGCACCCAGAGACCCAGGCACTGGCAGGCTGGGCCTTTTTATATCTTAGGTGGGCTAGGGGTAGGGGTGGGGAGCAGTAGGCAGAGATGAGCTTCTCTATCTATACTGGTTTTTCAGCTTTGGCCCACTGGCTTCTAAACCTGAGAATGAATGCAGGGGGTGGGGTGGGGTGGGGAACAATACAGGATGTGAAACTAATCTGATCTCTTAGAAGAAGGCAGGGGTAACAAGAACCTAAAATGGCTGAAGCTTATGTCCTTGTTCTATCAGCCAGCATCCCATATGGGCACTGGTTCGTGTCCCAGCTTCTCCTCTTCTGATCCAGCTCTCTGTTTATGGCCTGGGACAGCAGTGGAAGATGGCCCAAGTGCTGGGGCCCCTGCACCCATGTGGGAAGACCTGGAGGAAACTCCTGGCTTCTGGCTTCAGATTGGCCCCTCTCTGGCCATTGTAGCCACCTGATCAGTGAACTAGCAGATGGAAGACGTTTCTCTCTCTCTCCCTCTCTCTGTAGCTCTGCCTCTCAATGAAAAACAAATAAAAAATATATTTTAAAAATAGAGCAATTAATTGATTCTGCTGGGAAGAGTGAAACAGAAAGTCAGGAGGTAAAATGTTCCAATGCCTGCATATGGCAAGGTGTTCTTGCTCTCTGCTTCCTGTCCTTTTCCCTCTGCTTCTTGGTTTCCTTCCATAGATTCTTCAATACTTGGCTCAGGTGTCTTTTTCCCCAGTGTGTTTTTCTTGGACCTCCCTCCCCCACCACAACACTTTTCCCCACACCTACCATGGTAGATACCCCTTTATGTGTTTCTGTAGTCCTCTGGCTTCTCACCACTGTTGCTTGTACCTTACTTCATTGCTTTCTGTGTATCTGCATCTTTCATATGATATGAACCTCTTAAAAGCAAAGGCTGTGTTTTGAGTCATCTTTATTTTCTCAGTTCCTAATATGTAGTCAGTAAACACTTAATGAATGAATTAAACAATGAAATAATCCTTTCCTGGACCAATGATATGATTCTAAGAAATTGAGAAATAGCATTTTTGAGAGTTCCAGCAACTAATATCACTTAAACATCCAAGGAGGTAAATATACTGTTTTTCTATTTTATCCATTTCTGTTTCATGCATTATACTGTTGTATATTTTGATTTTTGGCAAACCTTCCTGATTATAATTTCTTCATTTATTGTTTCAAATCTATTGCAAACCAGATTTTTTTTATAAGTTTCAGCTATTTACTCATGCACCCGAACCATGTTCCTTCCCTTTTCTTCAAGATCTCAAAATATGTCACCATCATTTTATTTGGACAAACTAGAATCCTAGGCATGAGTTTCAGTTCTTTCCTTCCACGTGTTCCTTATATCCAGTCAGTCATTAACTCTAGTCAGTTCTGTCTTCCAGATATATCTCACATTCACACGCTTCTCTCTGTCCCTGAAGCCACTTGTTTGTTCACAAATGATTTGTCTCCTATAGTATAATACAGAAATGTCCTAATGCATCTGAAACTGGTTTTATCAACGTCACCTTTGCCTATCATCTTATTTAGACATTTAAAAACTCAATTTTCATCCTCATTGTCTCCATAAATGCCAACTCTGTTTTTTAAATTATTTATACTCAAAACCTTATAGTCATCTTTGCTTTCTTTCTTTTATCACAGATTCTATCTGCTGGCTAATTCTTGTGATTGTACTATCAAATGACAAAATTATAACTTTATTATAAATTATAGCTTTATTTTCAATACTAAAATCAAGTAACACTTCATTCCATAAAATAAAATTAATGTTCCAATTAGCTGAACAAACAAGGTTTCATAGACAGAAAAGGGCTGAAGAAAATGAAAAATAAACAAACCAAAAAGAGAATTGGTTATTTCAAAATTACTTTCCTTAGCAAATGGGGACAGGAAGACAAAACAATGGGAAAACAATTGGTTAACATGAAGTTACCTTAGGTTACCTCATTTGTGTAAGGATTAAGGCAGAGGGAATTTCATTATCAGGTCAACTGAAACTGGCTTTCCTGGATATGTGATTAATGTCTCTAACTCTGATTTCTTAGAAGATCAAATAAACAGCTTGTTTCAGCTTAGTACAACAGAACTTTAGAGTAAGTGACTCCATTTTGATTTTTTGCCTGTCTTTCTGGACTTAATATGGAAGCTTATTGCAAAAAAAATGGCCTTTTATAATTTTTATTTGACTACCTTCAAAATTTATTTAGACTTTGCCTAGGACTCTACAACTGCATTTCTAAACCATCATCAACTCTTATCATTATCAAATCTACCTTGTCTCCCTACAAATCCTTTCTTGAGAGAACAGCCAGTAGTTTTATAACCACTCAAAATTCAGAATCCTCCACTGGCTTCTGATGCTCCAGTCATCTGGACTGTCAGTCAGTTCTAACTTTGAAACTGCAAAAGTAAAAGGACTTTGTCTGAAAGTATTAGGAATTGTAATTTGGGAGACAGGTTCAGATAACTCTGAATCAGTGTTCAAAAGAAGGAAGGAAACTGAATGTTGAGAAAGAACAGGAGCTACATGAGCATGAAAGATAAAGTATGTATAAACAGAATGGAAATGTACATAATGCATGATTTCCAGAGACTGTTGATAGCCATTATGAGCCCCTGGGCACAGTGTATTTGTTTAATCTGTTTTGTTATTCCAGATCCCTACAGTCAAAGGGTGGAGGTAATGAATGTTTAATGTTCCAGACAGCAGCTGGAATCACACAAAAATCCTGTTTCCTAATGGCTTCCTGACTCCATTTTGAAAAGTTCTTTCAATATTGCTTTCATCTTAATTTTCCTTTTATTTTTACAGTTCTGCTACTTCTCTGGCTCTTGCACATTCTGTTTCTGTTAGACCAATCTTTTGGCTGTTCCTCTAATCTCCCAAGCTGACACTTGACTAAAGTATAGAAGACGTACATCTCATTTGCCTGGAACACTTACTCTTAGATATCTAGTATTTGTTTTCTCATGCTTCCTTTAGATCTCTGCTCAAATGTCACCTTATTGAGAGGCCTCTCTGATCACCTTGTTTCAAATTCCTATACAACATTCTCCCTACCCTCTAGGACTCCATTTCCCCTTTCCTTGCTTTATTTAACTTCATAGAATTTACTTCAATATCTAGAAACATGTTGAAAAACCATGTAGTTCATGTCGTTTGTTGTCTCATTCAACAGAGTGCAGGGATTTCTGTTCATTTTGTCCTTTACTGTTTCCCCAGTGCCTGGAACCGCATCATAAATTTGGTAGGCACTCAAATATTTGGTGAATGATCAAATGTACCTGTCCATTCTCGCCTCATTACAACATACTTAGCTAAACTTTAGAGTGGGTAATCTTTCTAAAACTACAGAATTGTCACTGCCTGTTTAACCTCAATAATTCATCGTTATCATTAGAAAATATCATAAAAGACCTTTTTTCATAAGTGACAGGATCTCCCTACTGAATGGGGAAAAGTTGGAAGCATTTCCACTGAGATCTGGCACCAGACAGGGATGCCCACTCTCACCACTGCTATTTAACATAGTTCTGGAAGTTTTAGCCAGAGCCATCAGACAAGAAAAAGAAATTAAAGGAATACAAATTGAGAAGGAAGAAGTCAAACTATCCCTCTTTGCAGACGATATGATTCTTTACTTAGAGGATCCAAAGAACTCTACTAAGAGACTATTGGAACTCATAGAGGAGTTTGGCAAAGTGGCAGGATATAAAATCAATGCACAAAAATCAACAACCTTTGTATACACAAGCAATGCCACGGTTGAGAAAGAACTGCTAAGATCTATCCCATTCACAATAGCTACAAAAACAATCAAATACCTTGGAATAAACTTAACCAAGGACGTTAAAGATCTCTACGATGAGAATTACAAAATCTTAAAGAAAGAAATAGAAGAGAATACCAAAAAATGGAAAAATCTTCCATGCTCATGGATTGGAAGAATCAACATCATCAAAATGTCCATTCTCCCAAAAGCAATTTATAGATTCAATGCAATTCCAATCAGGATACCAAAGACATTCTTCTCAGATCTAGAAAAAATGATGCTGAAATTCATATGGAGGCAAAAGAGACCTCGAATAGCTAAAGCAATCTTGTACAACAAAAACAAAGCCGGAGGCATCACAATACCAGATTTCAGGACATACTCCAGGGCAGTGGTAATCAAAACAGCATGGTACTGGTACAGAAACAGATGGATAGACCAATGGAACAGAATTGAAACACCAGAAATCAATCCAAACATCTACAGCCAACTTATATTTGATCAAGGATCTAAAACCAATTCCTGGAGCAAGGACAGTCTATTCAATAAATGGTGCTGGGAAAACTGGATTTCCACGTGCAGAAGCATGAAGCAAGACCCCTACCTTACACCTTACACAAAAATCCACTCAACATGGATTAAAGACCTAAATTTACGACCTGACACCATCAAGTTATTAGAGAACATTGGAGAAACCCTTCAATATATTGGCACAGGCAAAGAGTTTCTGGAAAAGACCCGGGAGGCACAGGCAGTCAAAGCCAAAATCAACTATTGGGATTACATCAAATTGAGAAGTTTCTGTACTGCAAAAGAAACAGTCAGGAGAGTGAAGAGACAACTGACAGAATGGGAAAAAATATTTGCAAACTATGCAACAGATAAAGGGTTAATAACCAGAATCTACAAAGAGATCAAGAAACTCCACAAAAACAAAACCAACAACCCACTTAAGAGATGGGCCAAGGACCTCAATAGACATTTTTCAAAAGAGGAAATCCAGGGCCGGCGCCGCGGCTCACTAGGCTAATCCTCCGCCTAGCGGCGCCGGCACACCGCGTTCTAGTCCCGGTCGGGGCGCCGGATTCTGTCCCGGTTGCCCCTCTTCCAGGCCAGCCCTCTGCTGTGGCCAGGGAGTGCAGTGGAGGATGGCCCAGGTGCTTGGGCCCTGCACCCCACGGGAGACCAGGAAAAGCACCTGGCTCCTGGCTCCTGCCATCGGATCAGCGCGGTGCGCCGGCCGCAGCGCGCCGACCGCGGCGGCCATTGGAGGGTGAACCAACGGCAAAGGAAGACCTTTCTCTCTGTCTCTCTCTCTCACTGTCCACTCTGCCTGTCCAAAAAAAAAAAATCAAAAGAGGAAATCCAAATGGCCAACAGGCACATGAAAAAATGTTCAAGGTCACTAGCAATCAGGGAAATGCAAATCAAAACCACAATGAGGTTTCACCTCACCCCGGTTAGAATGGCTCACATGCAGAAATCTACCAACAACAGATGCTGGCGAGGATGTGGGGAAAAAGGGACACTAACCCACTGTTGGTGGGAATGCAAACTGGTCAAGCCACTATGGAAGTCAGTCTGGAGATTCCTCAGAAACCTGAATATAACCCTACCGTTCAACCCAGCCATCCCACTCCTTGGAATTTACCCAAAGGAATTTAAATTGGCAAACAAAAAAGCAGTCTGCACCCTAATGTTTATTGTAGCACAATTCACAATAGCCAAGACCTGGAACCAACCTAAATGCCCATCAACAGTAGACTGGATAAAGAAATTATGGGATATGTACTCTTTAGAATACTATACCGCAGTAAGAAACAATGAAATCCAGTCATTTGCAACAAAATGGAGGAATCTGGAACACATCATGCTGAGTGGAATAAGCCAGTCCCAAAGGGACAAATATCATATGTTCTCCCTGATCAGTGACAAATGACTGAACACCAAAAAGGAAACCTGTTGAAGTGAAGTGGACACTATGAGAAACGGTGACTTGATCAGCATAGCCCTGACTGTTAATGAACAACTTAATACATTATCCCTCTTAGTATTTTTTTTGTCTGTTCTACTTAATATGACTGGTTTAATTCTGTAATTAATACACAGTTATTCTTAAGTGTTGAAATTTAACTGAAATGTGATCCCTGTTAAACATAAGAGTGGGAATAAGAGAGGGAAGAGATGTACAAATTGGGACATGCTCAAGCTGACGTGCCCCAAATGGTAGAGTTAGAAACATACCAGGGGATTCCAATTCAATCCCATCAAGGTGGCATGTACCAATGCTATCTCACTAGTCCAAGTGATCAATTTCAGTTCACAATTGATCATAATGAAAGGACTAAGAGTCAAAGGGATCACATAAACAAGTCTAGTACCTGCTAATACTAACCGATAGAATAAATAAAGGGGAGAGTGATCCAACATGGGAAGCGAGATACACAGCAGACCCATAAAATGGCAGATGTCCTAAACAGCACTCTGGCCTCAGAATCAGCCCTTAAGGCATGCGGATCCGGCTGAAAAGCCCATGAGAGTATTTCAGGCATGGAAAGCCAAGACACTCTGGCAAAAAAAAAAAAAAAAAAAAAAAACACCACAACACCTAAATGAGGGATCTCTGTGAGTGCGATCCCAGTGGAAAGAACAGGTCTTCAAAGAAGGAGGTACCTTTCTCTGAAGGGAGGAGAGAATCTCCACTTTGACTATGACCTTGTCTAAACAAGATAAGAGTCGGAGAACTCAAGAGGCTTCCATAGCCTTGGAAACTCATGACTGGAGCATAGGGAGATTACTGATGCCATAAACAGGAGTGTCAATTTGTAAAGTCAACAACAGGAGTCACTGTGCACTTTCTCCTCATGTAGGATCTCTGTCCTTAATGTGATGTACATTGAGATTTAATGCTATAATGAGTACTCAAACAATATATTTCACTTTGTGTTTCTATGTGGGTGCAAACTGTTGAAATCTTTACTTAATGTATACTAAACTGATCTTCTGTATATATAGAAAATTGAAAATGAATCTTGATATGAATGGAAGGGGAGAGAGAGAGCGGGCAAGGGGAGGGTTGCAGGTGGGAGGGAAGTCATCGGGGGGGAGGGGGAAGCCAATGTAGTCCATAAGCTGTACTTTGGAAATCTATATTCATTAAATAAAAGTTAAAAAAAAATAAGTGACAGGATCTCAATTCCACTTAACTTAGACTCAAAGAAGAATTTATCAGACAAAATATTAAAAAGTGCAGAGGTTGACTGATGTAGGCATAGCTGGATTCAGGTTCAAGTGATATAGTTGAGTGTCTGTGTATTTCTTCTTTTCTTTCCCCTCCATCTATAAGTCTACTTTCCTCTGCCTAAGAACAAGAATGGTATCTTTTATCTGGGTACACATTCCTGCCCCAAACCTAGCATATTCTTGACACAAAAGACATTCACAGTTGCATGAATGAATAATTAAACCTTGTTTTTCCATTGCCAGATCTAACCACTTATGATACTGTGAAACACTACTTGGTGTTGAATACACCACTTGAGGACAATATCATGACTCATGGTTTATCAAGGTAAGTGATAGTTTTAATTTGACCATTTTTTGTATATCACCTTTTCTTCCATAGTTGACATATATGCTAACCTTTAGCTATTTTGTTCAGGAATCTAGTGATATCACCCTTAAACAAGTTGATAGTACATTTATAAAAGAATAATTTTCTTATTGTTTATTGCAGTTAATGGAGAAGAGGCAGACACAGTTGCAGGATATTTAACCTCCTAATATATGTGTATATCCAGGGATAGTTTCTGTTGGTCTGCTCTCTATAGTTAAAGAAATTTGCTTGAGCACCTTTAATGTTAAAGACACTGTGAAGGACCCTGCAGTGGGTGAAAAAGAGGGTAAACCCAATTCCTACTCAGGGAGCTTATCCTCAGAAGAGCAGTTATAAAAACTCTATACAGTAAATACTAAAAGAAAGTAACTAGTTACTGTAGGTTTCAGAGGTGGGAGGAAAAACCACTTGGAAGCGCTTCACAAAGGAAGTAGAATTAGAAAGAGGTATTAACGGACTGAGACTCCTTGCTGACAGCAACGGGAAGAAGGACATTCTAGGAAGAGTGGTACCTTAATTTCTTTGCAACCTAACTTCAAATTATCCATCGGAATGAGTTATAGATAGCTATTGCCCTTAATAGAATAAGGATCTCATTTAGCTTCTGTTCTTGTTTCCAAATTCTACAATCCCCTATGCTATTTAGACAATCCCCAAAGAATATGAATAGCATCATATCAATGTGGATATATACATTTAAACACACTAGGAGTATTCTTGAGTAGGGTATATTTTGCATGTGCTGTTCCATCTGCTTGTCTCACTTTTCCACCACATTTTCACATAGATGTATCCTTTCCACCACTCAATTCTGCCATCATCCAGAGCCTTTACCAGACTGCCTATTGGCCACTTACTCTCCATCACATTTTCTCATTTATTCTTTTTATGGCATTTACCAGCATCTGAAATTATCTCCTTTGCCTATCCCCAGAGTATAAACTCCTCCAGGGCAGGATCTTCTCTGTCTTGTTCACTGCCTAAAAGGAATGCCTGGTACAAAGCAGTGCTTGATATATGTTTGTTGGCCAACATTCTTTTTTGTTTTTACTTTTTTAATGAATTAATTAACATTTTAAGCTAAAAGAGCATTATTATAAAGAATATTAAAATAGACACAGTATTCCATTCTTTCGAAATATCAAATTCCTCTTCTTAAAATTTAGTATCTACTGCATATTCTTTCAATTTCATTTATTTGTATCTATAGTTTATGTTCTGGACTGGTAGCTTCTATTCTGGGAACACCAGCCGATGTCATCAAAAGCCGAATAATGAATCAGCCGCGAGATAAACAAGGAAGGTAGATAGAAAGTTTTCAGTATTCATGTGCCTGAATGTCTGTAATAATATTGTGCTTTAAAGATGCCTTCCTGTATTTGTTCTTGATAGAAACATATTTGTGTATTTCTCCATTCTATGGGGAAATTGTTTTTATGCAATTACTTGTTCTTTGATGAAAAAGTAATAAGCCTTTGGGGAGATAAACTAATTAACAGTCATTATTTAGACACAAGGTATTCATTGTGACTTTATTGTTTTCAAAGAGTTTTTGAAAGCATACTCTGCTGAGAATTTACAGAGCACTTTCTTCAGAAGCTTATGACTTACAGGTAACCTGGAGAATTTGATTTGATATAAAATAGAATGTTCTTTCTGGAAAAGATCAGGTGGAGTGAATTTTAAGTATTTAAGACCAAGGGTGGGATGAATCAGAAGCATCAACCTGAAAATATCTTTAAGCTCAAAAGAAGGATCTATAGAAACACTAACCTTTCTTTTGAATTAGCAGAAAATATTTACCTTAAGATATATTTTCTTAGATTGTTCATTTTCTTTATGCATCTGTTTACACAAAAGAAATTTAATCAAGGTCTCATTTCCTTTCTAGGGGACTTTTATATAAATCATCAACTGACTGCCTGATTCAGGCTGTTCAGGGTGAGGGATTCATGAGTCTATACAAAGGCTTTTTACCATCTTGGCTGCGAATGGTAAAGTTGGGTTTTTGTCTTTTTCTTTTTGTTGTACTTAAATTACTTTTGGTCTATAAATATTTTCCCTTTATCCTTCTGGTATGTAGCATAGCCCTGCCCCCAAACCAGGGCTCACTCTTCCTTTTTAAAATATTTTCAAAATTTTCTTTCACCTCTCCTCAGAGTCCTATTGCCTTCTGTAGTAGCTTAAGGTGAAATGAAATAGTTCTGTCCACTAATGAATAGGCTGATAGTCTGTTCTTGTAAAGCCAATGGATAGATTTTGTGTAATGGGAAACTTTAAGTAGTCTATTAAGCAGAAATACAGTAATTTGAGAAAGGTATAAATATTTTACACTAGAAATTTCCCCTGTAAAAATGCTACTGTTTTAAATAAAATATTACTTTAATGTCAAATATTACATTATCCATTACCAATTACTTATTACCATAAAACTCTGCTTGGTAAGAAAGCATTATATCCTTTTTATTTTGTTTAGATGTTATTTTTTGCTAAAGTGAACTAAAATGTAGAATTAGACATGTTTAAGTAACATAGCAAATATCATAAAAATGAAGTATTCATGTACTATGTAAGTTAGAAAATACTTGAAAGAATAAATGAGTTGTGGGTTTAGAAATTCAAAAAATAAAAAATTAACAAGTAAAATTTATATAGTATCTTTATCTATGCTTTTTAAATTGAGCACCTACTTCGTGTGAAGGCCCTATACTAAATGCTTATCTTTGAATAAGAAACATTTTCGTGATGGGTGTTAAGGGATAAGTGTGTGGCACTATTGAAACATGTAGCAAATAAGTACAACCTGTGCTGGCAGATTAAGAAAACCTTTCTGGAGAATGGACTTTGGAATTGAGATTTGAAGAGGGAATAGAATTTACAGATAAAGGAGGCAGAAAGAAACATTTCATATGGAAGGAGAGTCAGAGTAGACCAAAAGCTTGATAAGTTCAAGGAACTGAAGAAAGTCCAGCAGGCCAAGGCTCAGGTACAAGAAGGGGAAAAGGCAGAATATGAGGCCAGAGAGAGAGAGAGATCAAACTGGCAGGGTCTATATGAACTCTAAGTGTGATTGGCACCAGGTGGAAGAAATCTGCATGTTTAGAAAGAACGTTCTGCTCTATGTGGGTTCAGAAAAGGCTAGGATTAGTGAAAAATCAGAGACAGCACTGGCTTAGATGAGAATAAAACAGTGGAGATAGAAGAAGGTGGATTAAGAAGATATTTAGAAGGCAAAAAGGAGAGAGAAACAGACTGATATGATAGAGATAGAGGAGTGGTTTTCATTCCCAGATTCCTGCCCTGAGTAACTAATCATGATATAGTTTCCTAAAATGGGGATCATTTGCAAGGAAGAAGATATAAGGTAAAATAAATTTAATTTTAGTTATCTGAGGTCTTCGATACCCAGTTCTGATATACCAGAGTTAATAAACAAAACAAGCCATTATTTTGGTGACCTTGAATATATGAATATGATATCTTGAAATTACCTCAATGCTGTGAATATTTCTTATAGGAAAGGCAAATTTTGATTTGGTCTCTATAAATCTAGTACTGTTACAGGTGCTGATAACTCTCAGGTAATAAGACTGTGTTTACACTAGAGAAGCTTACAAAGCAATGAAAAATAAATAATAATTACTACTAAATAAATATTACCAAACCAATTTGGTACACGGCCAACACTGCATTAACCATGTTTATGGCTTAACTCATTAAATTCTCCCAATACCTACATATTAAGTAGGACACAATCATATCCCTCTTTTATAGAGAATGAAACAAAAGTAAAGACTTCCAGTAACTCAGCAAGGTCAGATAATTCAGGGCATTAAACCATGGTAGACTGGTGTCAGAGTAGTCTTACTAAGGAGGCTCTATATGGGTACTTCAAAAACTTTGTGGAAAAAAGAATTAAAATATAAGATTATTTTGTTGCAAATTTTTAATCAATGCATTTTTTATAATATGCATTTTCCATGAACATGGAAAGTGGCATAAAAATAGTTAACTGTGTTTAAAAGTTACAGAAGGCTTCACAGAGCCAATATCTGATCTGGGCTTTGAAGCATCACAGGCTTCTTTTAAAAGAAATACAATGGAGCAACATGAGCATAGGTATTGTGTCATGTGTGAGTCTTATTGTGTTTTAAGAACTACAGAAAATTCTGTGTGGCCAGAGGGTAGATCCTCAGAGGGAAAGCAGTAGAAGATAAGGTTAGAGAAGTAGGTAAGGACAAAGCTGGGAAGGAGCTTGTGGTCCAAGCTTAGTAGTTTGGGTGTGTTTAGTAAGTGCCTGCTTAAGCATGAAAATAATGCACTAAGACTTGATTGGTGGCAAGATTACTTTGGAAGCAGTAGAGAAAATACACTGAAAGACTACATATAAGAAAGAACGCCCTGGTGGAGTTCTGCTAGGAGATGATTGTAGAAACAGAGAGAAGACAGAATCTAGAGACAAGTATGTTTAACTCCCCAAGACTTAGTACCTGGTTACTTGTGAAAGGTGAGGGGCAGAAAAAAGAAAACAGGACTTTTATATTTCTAGTATGGGAAACTAGGGGAATGGTTAAGACCACTGCTGAAATATAACATCAGGGATAGGTGGGATTACAGGAAAGAATACCCCAGCTCAAAGGATGAAAGTCATTGAATGTCACCTGTTCTCTTTACACATCAGACTCAGGAAGTGTAACCAAAAAAAAAAAAAAAAAGAGTACTTAATACATACTCAGCTCTTTACGTATATTATTTTTTATGCCTTACAAGAACATATTAAAACATGTAAAGTTATCTTTGTTTTTTAGACAAGAAAACTGTGATTCAAAGTTAAGACACTTGCTCAAGTTCATATAACTAGTATGTGGCAAATTTGAGAACTGACTGCTGGTACATTCAGGTCAAAAGTCCTACTCCTTACTAACAAAATATATTAAGTTGCTCAAGATACTGCACTAGTTACAGAAGTTTTGAAAGAAATGAGGTAATTTATGGTGGTGAAGGAGTATTACCAAAGAAAGGCTGGCTATCTACCAAAGGTCTGTAGGGTTATCAGTCCTTGTTGATTTGCCACAGTGCACTACCTTGAGCTCAGAGAGACCTAACTCAGGATTTCTAAGTAAACAGTCCTTGAAAATACAGCTTCACCTCAGCTGAATTCATGGAGACTCATGGTCAGGCTGGAATATCTGGCCCATTTACGTTGTACAACACACTTGATGTGTGATCCAGTTGCTGAAGCCCCTAGGTCAGCATGCGGCCTCCTCAAGCACTATGAGGACCCAAGTTATAACCATAGGCTTGCATGCTAAACACAGAATATCAACAGAAGAGCTTACTTGTAAACAGTGTTTAAGAACACCAACTCAAGAGAGCTGTTAGTGTGTTTGGTACCAGCAATAGACATGGGAAAGGACTTTTTTCCCCTACAGTTCTGGCAAAAGACATACCAAAGGAAAAAAACATGGGTTCATACACACTTAGATTATTTACAGTGGTCATAAACCATTCCAGTGAGGAAATCAGCAAAGTAACATAGTGTCTACATGCACTCCTATACACAGGCTCAGTAAATTTGATTTTTATACCTCCTTGGTTCTTTGGTTGTACAGTCTTCCTCTAACTCTATTCAAAACCCAACTAAAACTCTATCCCAGTCCCTCCCACTGTGTAGAGGCAACGTGACCCTGCTTTGCTTAGTCCCTGATTATTATTTATTTATCTATGGTTTTGCTGCAATAATATCATTAACATGAGGAAGAAGTCCAATTACCACAGCAATCAGGAACAATTTCATAGTCCATTCTTTTTAAAAAAAAAAAGATGTATTTTATTTAGGTGAAAGAGTTAGAGAGAGAGTAGAGACAGAGTGAAAGGTCTCCATCTGCTGGTTCACTCCCCATATGACTGCAATGGCCATAGCTGAGCTGATCTGAAGCCAAGAGCCAGGAGCTTCTTCTGGGTCTCTCATGTGGATACAGGGGCCCAAGAACATGGGCTCAGGGGCCCAAGGATGTGGGCCATCTTCTACTGCTTTCCCAGGCCATAGTAGAGAGCTGGAACAGAAGTGGAGCAGCCGGAACTCAAACCAGCACCCATATGGGATGCCAGCGTTGTAGGCTGGAGCTTTAACCCACTGCACCACAGCACTGGCCCCTACAGTCCATTCTTAACTAAGACTTCTACCTGCAATTATATCCTTGGCTCATTTCATTTTTGTTGTCATTAGAATGTATCTTCACAGCTTTATAGTACTTATTTCATCTATGTCTTTATTTAATTGATTGATATGTTCTCTTAAACACATTGCTTAGTAAATTATCAGTCTACTAATATAACATGTTTCATATTTCTAGACTCATAAGTTACAAATATTGCTTTATACATTTTACATTCTAGTTATTTAAGCTTATTGCTATACCCTGGTCCCATAGAGTTTCTGATCAACATTGATGATCAAAACCAAAGCAGACAGAAATGAGATCCAAGGCACCCTTTCTCAGTTTCAATATTTACCCTCTGTTTTCCTGTGGTGTCTTTAGTGTTTATATTTTTAGTATTTAGATTTTGTTCTAACCCTTATCCTTTTGTAATTCCTTTAGATAGAGTTATACCTTCACATAAGTTAAAGTCAAGACTTTCCCTACTTGATATGAATTTTTATACATATGTAAAGAGACATCAGGTGTTGGTTTTATGACATAACTCAAAGCATAATCTTTCACCTTCCTCACTTTCAAGCCGCTAAGTGTCTCATGTGCTATGTATATGAACTATATGTAGAGGACCCCAGCCTAGAACTCAGGCATCCCAAGTTTAAGCCCCTTAGCCAGTAATCATTTGGGGTGGGGGGGAATGGGCGGAGAACAACCAGGGAATGGGAAACAGAAGCCTGTGTTAGAACTGCACGGCATGATAATAAGCATTTGGCTGCTGAGCCTCGCTGACCTCATCTGTAAAACAGGGATGGTAACAACTTTCCTTTCTGTGGTTAATTGTTCTTTAGAGAAAGCCATGATAAACAAGATGTGAAAATGCTTTGTAAATTATAAAATGCTATAAGGTAAAGTACAAAAATATATATTTTCAGCATAAGTTGATTTAAAATGACTTTGTCATGCAAAGATGTATATATGTAGAATATTTACAGTTGCTTTGAAATATGCACTAACTTCTTTGGTTAATCTTTCAGACCCCTTGGTCACTGGTGTTCTGGCTTACTTATGAAAAAATCAGAGAGATGAGTGGAGTCAGTCCATTTTAAACCCTTAAAGATACAATGTTCAGTATTGCTGAAATATGGGCATCTGCAACACACACACCCCTATTATTTCTACCTCTTTAGGAAGATACCTTACTCCAGAGACTGTGATTTATAGGGGGCAGCACTTTCTTTTTCTTGGAAACCCAAGTTCTCTTTGACTCTTCTTTTTGTCTAAAAGTGATCTGGTCGAATCTCACAAGGCCATCGAGTGAGATCCAGTGCAGCATTTTCTAAAGAAGAATCACACCCAGACCACTCTGACCTTGGGCAAGAAGGTTTGGCCTTTGAGATGCTGCTATTCTATGCTGAAGAGCCTGCTTAGAGGAGTGCCAGGAGGAGGTAGCATCTCAGACCTGCAGTAGACAATAGGAATGTTGAAGAACATATGTGTAGTCCTTAAGAAACACATTTAATCTGTTATGTCAGTACTTAGAATTGCAGTTTGACAGTCACCTTTCTGTTGTTGTTGAAGTACACATATTGTAACTTAAAGTGAGGTAAATGAAAATTCATGAATAAATGTTTTGAGTTTCCCTAGTGTTGAAGACAGTTGATGTACATTTTTCTTGCCAAGAGGATGAAAAAAAAAATCAAACTGAGATGATGTTTGGATTTCAAAGAAAGAAGCTGTGTCTGTAAACGCCCCATCATTAGATCTGTGTTAACTGGTTAGCACTCCACTGCACCTGGTAGTAACTTCCCCTGGTGGCCACAGCCCTGGAATCTTGATGAAAACAGAGAAGAGTATTTACATGTTACGGATTTGTCACTACTAAAGAATCGTAAAATATAAAATTTGCAAGAACTGTACCTTATTTGATTAAAACACAGCTATATAGGTCCTTTTTGAAACACCATTTGTTACCATCATCCTTCAGTGGTATTTTAAAACTAAGGGTGATAGGAAATCAGCCAATTCTGATATGAGTCCTTTTTTTATCTTCCTTCTCTAACCCTAAGGGCAAATAAGAAGGAACTCAGAAACCACACTAAAAATGGCAGTTAAACTGAATCTTAGTTTGACAAAGCTTCTTCCCTAGAGAGTAATGAGTACAAACTGTCTCTCATATACAATTCTGTCTCCAATCTGAATCAAATCCATTTTCTTAGTTTAGTAAGAGATTTCTTCAGATTCACCTACAAACCACTTGTTTCCCCAGCCCCAAACACTGTAATTTCAGGATAGATGGCTATGGTTAGGAGGTAAGGCTGTGACTATTAAAATAGGAAAACTCAAAAAGCTCAGACCCAGGAAAGAACTTGGACCTTATCAATGGACTTTTTTATGGTGGACATGGATGTACTACAAAACGTTTACAAGTCCTGTGTGCCTGCACTGATGAATAATCACTGCCATTTGAATTGGGAAAGTACACTTTAAAATCTATTATGTATTAACATCCAGTGGCTCATTGTGTTTCTAGTTGAAGAATGTAGTTTATTCTCTTCAGATCTTCAGGTGGTCTACATGTCCTTTGCATTTGTCAATCTGTAATTGAGTTGTTAAATATATTTAATATATATTATGTGCTTAAATTCCCAAGTGTTCTGCATTGAACTACTTTAAGGAAAATTTTGGTTATGTTTTGTAATTTTTTAAAAATTTAATAAAGACTCGATCAGAATAATTGCATGCAAACTGGACCATGAAAAAAAATTAACTTTGTTCTTTGGGAGGCTTGGGATGAAAACATTGCTTAAGTCCTGACACTATTCCTTGGAATCTGGATCATGAATAACTGAATTTTTTTTTTTTTTTTTTTTTTTTTGACAGGCAGAGTGGACAGTGAGAGAGAAAGACAGAGAGAAAGGTCTTCCTTTTGCCGTTGGTTCACCCTCCAATGGCCGCCGCGGCCAGCGCGCTGCGGCCGGCGCACCGCGCTGATCCGATGGCAAGAGTCAGAAGCCAGGTGCTTTTCCTGGTCTCCCATGAGGTGCAGGGCCCAAGCACCTGGGCCATCCTCCACTGCACTCCCTGGCCACAGCAGAGAGCTGGCCTGGAAGAGGGGCAACCGGGACAGAATCTGGTGCCCCAACCGGGACTAGAACCTGGTGTGCCGGCGCCGCTAGGCGGAGGATTAGCCTAGTGAGCCGCGGCGCCGGCAATAACTGAAATTTTTAACCTGAAATAATTCCTTGGGATCATCTGTTTTACCCTTCTTATTTTACATGTTAGGAAATTGAAACTGAAACCCTGAAAAGTAGAACAGCCATGCTCCTGAGTGACTGAGTGGCAGAACAGATAAAAATGCAGACCTCCTAATTATTATAATTACTATACCTGACAGTTATTGTGCACTAGTTAGGCACCAAGTAAATGTCTTTTGTCATCTTCACAACATCCCAGTCCAGTGCTCCTAAGTCTTAAAAAAAGGCATATTTTCTTTATGGCATTTTTTTTTCCTGGTCTCATACATTTCAACTGACTCTAAACTTACTCCTGCATAAATTTTAGAATGTGGCCACCATGCTTTAGCTTGACTCTATAATCTGACCAAAGTCTGTACCTCTAACATGTACCCCATTCCATTCATTCTTTCTAGTGAAATCATATTCACTCTTGAAATTTTGCTTTCTTTTTGCCAACTAGGGAAATTAATTATTCCCTTCAAAAATAAGTAATAAAAAGGAGTAAAATTTCCGTAATTTTGTTTCCATGCTCAATGATGTACTAATTTCAATCTCACTTCCTCTTTACAGTACTGCTCTGGTATTTCTGTTAAGCTCAGTATTGATAACATTTGATAATTGTTTCTTTTACTTGTTTTGATATTTTTTCTCTTCTCAAGTGATTTTTTATTGAAAAGCATATGTATTCTTTTTTATAGTAATAGTTTTTTGCTCTCTGCCCTTTTAAGTGAATTTACATATCTCTTTTAAGGGATAGCATTTTTAAACATTTTTTTAAGTCAGAAATGATGTATCTTTCAAGGACACAAAATCCTCTTTGATTATAAGCTGTAGTGTATAGTATTATGTTATTTTTATGTGAATCTCTGTTCTCATTAGAATTCTCTTGCTGTTAAATATTCAAAAATTGATTATAGTACATATAACATGAATCCATTAATTTTTGTCTTTATTATCTTAAGAATCTGTACTATCATACTAGACAAGTCTGAAATTTCTCTTTCTCTTTGCTAATAAAAAAAGGAAACAAATTTCTGGAGATTTCAATGGAAAATAATTTGTTGTTCAGTCATCTTCAAATTTTCAAGCATATTTATTGACAATTGATATTGTCATACAAGTTTTTCTTTGTTAATGAAATCAGATTCCTTCAGGAATACCATTGGAAAAATTCTTAATTTTAATATGTGATGGTTAAATATATTTTGGGAAAGTAAGCAATTCTCTTCTCCTCAAACCAAGATTCTTTAAAGATAATTACCAAACTAATATTACTGAATGGCAAGTATTGTGGAAGAAAACTGGACCTGGAATCAAAAGACTTTTAACCTATACTGGGTTCTACTTCTGAGTAGATTATAAATACGAACAAGGCCTTTCACTTTGAATTTCCATTGCTAAGATGAAGTAATTGACCTCTAGAATATTAACTTGAATGTATGTAATGAAGGGGGCATTATGTTGATGTTACATTTGAAAAATAAGATTTAAGAAAAGTTTCATGGGTATTTTTCCCAAATTTATTTTCCCATGTTTTAAGATTTAGAAAGATTTGTTTAGACCTTAAAGTATAATACAAATTTATTAGTGAAGCATCTCACCTTGAAATCCATCCTGTCAGGTAACTCTTAGTCTTACTTTCAGTCCATCAAGCACATGCACACATAATAAAAATTTAAATCCTTGACCCTCTCAATCTAACTGCAGCCATTTTTCTGACCTTAGCCTTTTACTGCATACCTGGATGCTTTGCACTTGCCTATTTCTTGTGTTGTGTTTATTCTTGTGCCCTCTACATAACCTTCCTCCTCCCACCACCACCACCTACTCATCTTCACTTTGATTGGTTAAATCCCACTGGAATATCTCAAATGATCACCTACTACTTCTTCTCTGAAGCTTCAATAGCTTCAACATCTGTGTTCCTGCTGTATCTCTGCCCCCGACCCCCACCTAGAGAAGTATGCATGAGGGCTTCCCCTAACAAGGGCCACATGATACATCTCTCTGTCCCTTATAAACTACAAACAGGTTTTTGTTGTTTTATGAAGAGGGCAGAGAAAAAAACTAATTATATACACACAATTAAGTCATGTTTTTTCCTACTTCCTTCAAAATAATTGTAATTGGGTCAATAATGCTAACTTTTTTACCATAGTAAATACTTAACTAATTTTTAAAAGCATGTGTTTAAACACAATATTATTATAATTTTAAAGATAAACCTTCATAACTCCCACAAAACCTAGTATCTGGTATTTTTAAATAATATAAAATTTGGCTACTTGATCAATATTTAATAAATGTGCAATGTACTTTCATTAATCTTCATTGTAGAATGTTTATGGAGGTTATATCACTATTGGGCCTTCATTGAAACTATACAAATGCACATTCCACCCCCTATAGTGTTTTTTCATTTCTGAATTTTGAGGAATACATGATTATTTTTCTCTCCCCATACTTTACCCCCAACAGGCTGCTGTGATTGTCAACAGCAGCAGGAGCCTCTTGGAAGGTTTGATAAATGCAGATGAAGATGCTTAAAGATGTCTGTTTGCTGAAAATGTCTGGTAACAGGAATATATGTGAGTAAATATAGTGTGTTGTGATTTTTTCAAAATAAATGTTTTCAAATGCCTGATTGGTTATTAAAGGTTTTGTTTTTGTTTTCCCATCATGGTTTTTGAGTTAAGATGCTAATTACAAAGTTGAAGATGATTTTAAAAAAATCTTTACTTTTTATAGCTGACGTAGAAGAGACTGGCTTCATTTAAGGCATCAAGTTTGAGATAATTACCTAAAGGGTGCTTATAATTTGGCAGCATGATTTTTATCCTGTGGGTACTCTCTATTGTTCTCTTACTGCAAAGGACAAATAATCAGTAATTATAGTGATGGACATGCTCACTGGCACATGCTCACTGGCTGACTATATGAAGAGAATAAAATTGGAGTTACTTTAAACATTCAAGAATTAGTTCCTTCTTTTTGATACCATGTTCTACTTTGACTTCGATGATACTATTTCTTCTTGGCCCTCCATCTGCTATTTTTAATTGTTCTTTCTCAGTCTTCAGTAGGTATTTCTTTCAAGTCATTAAATTTTGGTTCTTAAAGGTTCTATTCTTGGTCCTCTTCTCAATTCTCCCTCACTTCTGTGACTTCAGCTATCATATAGACTGGCAATTCCTAAACACGTAATAGGCACTCAGTAAAAGATAAACGTTACCATCATTTCTTATCCTTACTCATTCCTTAAGTATTAGTCATTTTTTTCCAAATGCCAGTTATATATCACCACTAGGATGGCCCACAATATTTGTGAGCTTGAAATTTTTAATATTAAAATGATTTTTTTGCACAATCCCCTCTCCCCTGTCTTTTCAAATATGCTGTTTCTCTGGGATTTTCTTTGCCCCTAGGCACCAAGTACTGCAGCCAGGAAACTTCAGGGTCATCCTTTTCATTGTTTTTTCTTTACTTACTTTTCCAAAATGCTTACATCTAACTAAAGAAGAAAACCCAGACCAGTATCTTATGGATATGGATGCAAAACCACCCTTGAAGTAGTACTCTGCATACTCACCATTATTGTTGTTATTAAAAAAAAAAAAAACAAGTGTTGATGAGATTGTAGAAAAATTGGATTCATAGTACATTGCTTGTGGGAATGGAAGTCCTGCAACTATTGTGAAAAACACTATGGTGATTCCTCAAGGAGTTACCACATGATTTGGAAATTCCACTTCCAGGTATATACCCCAAAGTATTGAAAGCACAGACTTGAATATATACTTGCAGAGTAGATTTGATGGTAGCATTATTCATATCACCAAAAGCTAGGAACAGTCCAAATGCTCATTGACAAATGAATGAATAAACAAAAGATGGCATATACATGTGATGGAATTTTCATTCTTGAAAAGAAGGGAAATTCATGCTATGATACAGATAAACCTTACAACTTTATGCTGAGTGCAATGAGCCAAGAGAAGTGGACACACATTGTATCATTCTACTTATTTGAGATACCTAGAATAGCCAAATTCATGGACACAAAAAGTATAATAGTGATTACCAGGGTCTGGAATATGGGGAGGGAATGAAGAGTTATTGTTTAATCAGTATACAGTTTCAGGATGGGTAAAGAAAAAGTTCTGGAAATGGGTAGTGGTGATGGTTGCATTTCACAATAATATGTACATATTTAATGTCATTAAACTCAACATTTAGAAATGATGAGAATGGTAAATGTTACATATATTTTACTCTGATTAAAAAAGAAAACAAAGCCCATGAGCATAGATGTGAAAATATATTCACAAACTGAATTCAGCATGATAAAAATGATAATACATCATGATTAAGTGAGTTCAGGATTTTAAAATCAATCTATAATTCACTTTTTAAATTTTTTTAAACAATTATAGATTGCTTAAAAACAATCAATACACTCTAATAAACAAAAAAGAAAAACCTATCCCAATAGTATGTGAAAAAATATTTGATAAAATTCAAGAGTATTTTATGATAAAAATTCCCAAGAAAATATTAGAAGGGAACTTCCTTATCCTGATAAAAATGATCTAAATAAAATCTATAGTTAATATCATATTGGTTAAAGACTCTCTTCTGAAATCAGGAACAAAGGAAGGATATACATTTTCCCCATTTGTATTCAGATCTGTACTGGAGGTCTTACCATTACAGTAAAGCAAGAAAAAATATGAAAGTACAAATACTGCAAAGGAACATATAAAACCACCTTTACTCACACACAATATAATTTTCTGTGTAGAAAATCCAAAGGAATCTACCTAAAACTATTGGAATTAATAACTGAATCTTTGCAAAATCTTATTAGGGCCAGCGCCGCGGCTCAATAGGCTAATCCTCCACCTAGCGGCACTGGCACACCGGGTTTTAGTCCAGGTCAGGGCGCCGGATTCTGTCCTGGTTGCCCTCTTCCAGGCCAGCTCTCTGCTGCCCGGGAGCGCAGTGGAGAATGGCCCAAGTGCTTGGGCCCTGCACCCCATGGGAGACCAGGAGAAGCATCTAGCGGTGCGCAGGCCGCGGCGGCCATTGGAGGGTGAACCAACGGCAAGGGAAGACCTTTCTCTCTGTCTCTCTCTCACTGTCCACTCTACATGTAAAAAAAAAAAATCTTATTAGAAGATCAGTATGCAAAAGTAAATCTATTTCTGTATACTCAAATGAAAATTTAGAATCTCACAACAAAAAAGTTATTTACAATAGCTTCAAAAACATGAGAAATTTAGGGATAATTCTGACAAAATGTGTGCAAGATTTATTCGCTGAAAGCTGCAAAACATTGCTATAATTAAAGACCTTCATGGAGCGACAGAATGTCTATCCATTAAAAGATTCAACATTGCTGTAACATCAGCTCTTGTCAAATGGCTGCCTACAAATGCAATCCTAATAAAAATCCCATCAGGTTTTAATATTTTTTCATAAATTAGCAATTCTACAATAAATATGGAAAAGCAAAGATCTTGAACAGACAAAACGATTTTGAGGAAAAAGAAAAGCTGGAAATTTCTTATTACCCTAATGTCAATATTGGCTTTTAAATAGTTTGGAAAGTAAGACAGTGTGATATTGGCATGAAAATAGACATAGACATATCAGTTGATGGAACAGAATAGAGTTGAAGAGTAGACTGACTCACATATGCTGGTTTAAATTTTGGCCAAAGCATCAATATAATTTTATCCAGAAACAGTCTACAACAAATCGCACTATAACAACTGGATGTCTACATATAAAAATAAAACAAATGAAACCCTCAACCCTTAACTCACTACATATACAAAGGTTTAATTCAAAAAGCATCATAGACCTACTTATAATAACCAAAATTATAAAACTTCTAAAAATATGAAAAATTTGTTTTGATTTTTTGTTAGATAAAGATTTCCTGGGACCAAAAAACTCATCTAGAAAAAAATTTTAGGACTAATTCACAGTTCTGTGAATTTCATCTAAATTAAAATTTTTTCTGAAAGACTATTTTAAAAATGAAACGACAAGCTATACACTGAGAAAAATACAAAACACATAATCTGACCAAGGACTTTTTTCTAAAACACATAGGAACAATTACAACTGAAAAATAAGATAACCTTTTTAAAAATGAGCAAAAGGGGTCGCCGCATTGGGTTACAGTCCACCCCAGCAGCATCCGCATCTCCTGGGGGCGATGGTTGGAGTCCCAGCTACTTCAATTCCTATCAAGCTCCCTGCTAGCGTGCCTGGGAAAGCCCCTGAGGATGGCCCAAGTCCTTGGGCCCCTGCACCCAAAATGGAGACCCAGAAGCAGCTCCTGGCTCCTGACTTCCCATTGGCGCAGCTCCCGCTGTTGCAGCCATTTGAATGAACCAGCAGATGGAAGACCTCTCACTTTGTCTCTACCTCTCTCTCTAGCTCTTTCAAATAAGTAAAAATAAATATATTTTTTAAAATGAGCAAAGGATTAGAACAGACACTTCACTAAAGATGTATGATGGTGGATAAGCACATGAAAAATGTTCATCATTAAGAGATTAAAACCACAATGAGATACCACTGTAGAACCCAGGAATGGCTTAAAATAAAAGGACTGGCAATACCAAGTGCTGCAGAGAATGCAGAGCAACTCATACTTTGTTAGGAATACAAAATGACACAGACATTCTGGAAAAGAATGTGACTGTCATGAAGTTCAACATACACTTACCATATGACCCAGCAATCCCATATATTCTTAGTATTCACCCAAGGAAACCTTTTCTACACAAACACATTTAGGTGAATGCTTATAGCAGCTTTACTGATCTTCACCAAATATTGGAAATAAGCAGAAGCTCCACCATCTATTGAATAAATGTGGTATTTCCATACATAGTAAAACTCAACTATAAAAATAACTACTAATAAACACAATGACTTGGATGAATCCAAACGCATTATACCAGGTGATCAAAAACCAGACACGAGAGGCCACAAACTGATTGCGTTTTTATGACATTCGGAAAACCCAAAACTACAGGATCTGAACCCATGAAGAACAGGCAGGAAAGGAAAAGAGGCAGAAAGGAACATTCTGGATAATACCAGGTCGGTGTGGGTGGGGGCGGACGCACACAGACTTCATCCTAACCTCACAACTCTCAACTCAGAGGATGAAACAGGTTCACAGCACAGAGAAGCCACCCGCTCAAGCTCTCCCACGCACTGAGCAGGCCAAGGCGCCCACGCGGCCTGCGGTGCGAGCGCAGGACCTGGCCTCTGAGAGTTCGGCCTTAACGCCTGGGAACGCGCCGTTGGCGCCTCCATTTCTCGCTGCCATTTTGGATGGGGACGCCCTGCCTGGCTCCGTCGCTGCCACGCAGGCTCTCTGCACAGTAGTCAGAGGGAGTGGCATTCCGGGCCTCACCACAGCCGCTCGCCACGCCCTGCCAGCGCGTCCCGCAGAGTTGAGGGCGCTCTGAGGGAAAGCAGGCTGTGCCCCCAGCCGCCCAGCCCTAGGCCTGGCCGCAGGGCCCTCGAATCTCTCCTCCGCCCTCAGGCCGCGTCCCCGCAGCGACCAGGCGGCGCCGGAAGTAGGGGCGCCGCGTGCAGCCAATGCCTGCGCGGCGGTGCGACCCTGAGCGGTTAGTCCGGCGGCCGGGTCTTACCAGTCGGCGCGAGCCCCCGAGGGCCCCGTCTGGCGCGCCGTCGAGGGCCGCCTCGCCAGGCGTCCTTCCCATTCCCTCGGCCCTCGGAGCCGGTTCTGGCGGCGCGGGGGATTCCGCGGGCCTGACGCGCAGTCCCTGAGCGCTCAGCGAGTCCCGACCGCGCCGCGGAGATGTGCTCGACGCCCGGGCTGCCCACGCCGGGGGCCTCCCTGGCTCTGCGGGTGTCCTTCGTGGACGTGCATCCCGAGATGATCCCCGTGCAGCTCTGGGGACTGGTGGGCCCGCGGCGGGAGGAGTACGTGCGGCTGAGCAGGGAGATCCAGGAGGCGGTGGCCACGCGTGGCCCGTGGGCGCTGAGCGGCACCGCGGCCTCTCCCGGAGAGCTGTGCCTGGTGCAGGTAGGGCTCCTGTGGCACCGCTGCCGCGTGGTCAGTCGGCAGCTGCAGGAGAGCCGCGTCTTCCTGCTCGACGAGGGCCGCACCATCACGGTGGGCGTGGGCTCGCTGGCGCCGGGACGCAGCGAGTTCTTCCATTTGCCCTCGGAGGTGCTGGGCTGCGTGCTGGCCGGCCTGGTGCCGATGGGCAGCGGTGGCGCGGGCGGGGGCGAGCCACAGCACTGGCCGTCCAGCGCCGTGGACTTCCTTAGCAACCTGCAGGGCCAGGAGGTGCACGGACGGGTCCTGGACGTGCTGCTGCTCCATCGCCTGGTTCTGCTGGAGGTGCCCAGTGTTTTCCAGCAGATGCAGGAGCTCGGTCTAGCCCGGCAGGTGCCCGACAGCCTCTTCCGCTCGCTGCTCAAGCGCTATCTCGCGGCGGCCACTGCTGGCCTGGGCTCCTGGGCCCCGGTTCTCCCGCGAGCCCTGCCCAAGCAGGAGCAGCCTGGCCTGGATTACTTCTATCCGCGGCTGCAGCTGGGTGTGACGGAGCCCGTGGTGGTTACCCAAGTGTGCCATCCCCACCGCATTCACTGCCAGCTCCGGAGCCTCTCGCAGGAGATTCACCGGCTCTCAGAGAGCATGGCCCAGGTATACCGAGTGTCAACTGGGACAGGGGATGAGAGCTCAACCAGTGCCACCTGGGAGGAGAGGGAGGAGAGCCCAGACAAGCCGGGCTCTCCGTGTGCGTCCTGTGGATTAGATGGTCATTGGTACAGGGCACTCTTGCTTGAGACTTTTCGGCCCCAGCGCTGTGCCCAGGTGCTCCACGTCGACTATGGAAGGAAGGAGTTAGTGAGTTGTAGTAGCCTTCGGTACCTGCTCCCTGAATACTTCCGAATGCCTGTGGTGACCTACCCTTGTGCGTTGTATGGACTCTGGGACGGTGGCAGGGGCTGGTCTCGGTCACAGGTTGGTGACCTAAAGGCGTTGATCCTGGGCCAGGCCGTGAATGCGAAGATTGAATTTTACTGTTCCTTTGAGCACGTGTATTACGTCACCTTGTACAGAGAGGATGGGATGGATCTTAACAGTGTGTTTGGAGTCCAGGCGTGTTGCTTGGCTGACCGATTGCTTCAGAGCCAGGGCAGAGAGGAGGAAGTGGAGGAGGAGGAGCCGGAAACGGCTGTGCAGTCTCAGTCTCCCGCCGAAGACATGGACGAAGAGATTTCCCTCCCCGCCTTACCGTTCATCAGGTTGAAGATGAATGCCTTTTACGACGCCCAGGTAGAATTTGTGAAAAGCCCTTCTGAGTTTTGGATCCGGCTGAGGAAACACAGTGGCACTTTCTCCAAGCTGATGAAGAGGATGTGCAGTTTCTACTCCTCGGCCAGTAAGCTGGACGGTGTGGTTTTGAAACCTGAACCTGACGACCTTTGCTGTGTCAAGTGGAAGGAAAATGGCTACTTCCGCGCCATCGTCACCCGATTGGATGACAAGAGCGTGGATGTCTTCTTGGTTGACCGAGGCAATTCAGAAAATGTGGACTGGTACGACGTGAGGATGTTGCTTCCTCAGTTCCGGCGCCTACCGATACTGGCTCTGAAGTGCACCCTGGCTGACATTTGGCCTCTGGGGAAAACCTGGAGCCAGGATGCGATTTCCTTTTTTAAGAAGACTGTCCTCCACAAAGAACTAGTCATCCACGTCCTGGACAAGAGGGATCGCCAGTACGTCATTGAGATTCTTGACGAATCAAGAACAGGGGAAGAGAACATCAGTAAGGTCATTGCCCAAGCCGGCTATGCCAAGTATCAGGAATTTGAAACAAAGGAAAAGATCCCAGTAAATACCCACTCCCCAGGGCATGTTTCAAACCATTTTACTGCGGATAACACCAAAGCCTTTTCTGCCAAGAAGGGAGAAGGAGACCAGAAGACCAAAAGAGATAATAAAGCCACGTGTGCGGCAGAAGCTTTGACCGATGCAAATGTTACAACCAACCTAGTTGTGCAGGAAAAAGAGGAAAGGACACCTGCTTACTCTTCTCTTACGGAGAATTTCTTAGGACTTAAGACAGTCTCGTCTGGTACAGGAGAGCTCCAAGTCGGAAGCACAGTAGAAGTCAAAGTATCTTATATTGAAAACCCTGGCCATTTTTGGTGTCACTTCACCAGGAACATACAAGCATTTAAGACTCTAATGTGTGATATTCAAGAATATTGCAAAAACACAGCTGTTCCTTACCAGGGACCCTCCTCCTCTTGTTTGGCAAAGCGAACAGCAGATGGAAAATGGTCCCGAGCTTTGATTAGCGGGACACAATCTTCAGAGAATGTCAAAGTACTGTTTGTAGATTATGGAGACCAAGAAATGGTATCTGTGAATGACATTTATTCAATTAATGAAGAATTTCTCAAGGTTAAGGCCCAGGCTTTTAGGTGCAGTCTGTATAATTTAATCCACCCAACTGGTGAAAATCCCTTTGTTTGGGATGAAAAGGCAATACAAGCTTTTAGTGAATTTGTAAATAATGCGTGGCAAGACAATCTGGAGTTAAAATGCACAATATTTGCTTTGGCCTCCATACATAATGAAGAACTGTTTAGCATCGTGGACTTGGTAACACCCTTTCAGAGTGCATGCCAGTTTTTGGTAGAAAAGAGACTTGCAAGGCAAGAAAAATGTCCGAAGCCCCTGGAGTTGTCTGTTCAGCTGCATTCCTACTACTATTCTACACATGATATGAAAATTGGAAGTGAAGAATCAGTGTATATCACACATGTTGATGACCCTTGGACATTTTATTGCCAGCTGGCCAGAAATGCACATATTTTGGAACAGTTATCACATAGTATTACCCAGTTGAGTAAGATTTTGCTGAGTTTAAAAGTGTCTCCCTTGATCCCTGATACTCTGTGCCTTGCTAAGTATACCGATGGAAACTGGTATAGAGGGATAGTAATTGAAAAAGAACCAAATAAAGTCTTCTTTGTTGACTTTGGGAACATTTATGTAGTAGCAAGTGATGACCTGCTTCCAATACCTAGTGATGCCTATGATGTCTTACTTTTGCCCATGCAAGCTCTTAAATGCTCATTATCTGATATTTCTGATCACATTCCAGAAGAAGTGACAACATGGTTTCAGAAGACTGTTTTAGATAAGTCACTTAAGGCCTTAGTTGTAGCAAAAAGTTCAGATGGAAGACTGATTATAGAACTATATGATGATGGTATTCAAATTAACGCTAGTGTTAATGAAAAGGTAGGACTCCTTGGTTGCAAAGTCAGAACAAAGGGGAAAAAAGCTGAAGCACTCCTTTGTACTGCTGAAGCTCCTGGAGAAAGAAATAAAATTTTGAAGTTTTCCCCTACAGAAATTTTAAGTAACTCAGTTCAGAACAAATCACAGAGTAGAGAGATTTTGGGAGAACCATACAGACCTAAGATCAGCTCAGCGTGTAAGGAGCTCAAACTTTTACAAAATTCAACAAAGACAAACTTAGTCACCCAAATTCAGGACCCTGTGGGAAGTAAGAATAATCATATATTCCCAGTAGCAAGAGAAAAGAAAGAAGACATTTTTGCGGAGCTGCCTTTGAAAGCCACAAAAGTAGAAGCTGCTCTTTCAGAGAGAAAAATAGGAGAATCACGCAACAAGGACTTGCCTCTAAAATTTTCTCAGTTCCCACAGAAAACTGTAATGCCTGGCTTTAAAACAACTGTATATATTTCACATATCAATGACCTTTCAGACTTCTATGTTCAGTTAACAGAAGATGAAGCTGAAATCAATCACCTTTCAGAGAGATTAAATGATGTTAAAACAAGGCCTGAATATTATGCTGGTCCCCCCTTGCTAAGCGGAGATATGATATGTGCCATTTTTCCAGACGACAACTTATGGTATCGTGCCGTGGTCAAGGAACGGCAACCTAATGATCATCTGTCTGTACAATTCTTAGATTATGGCAACGTTTCTGTGGTCCCTACTAACAAAATAGGCAGACTTGACCTCACTAATGCAATATTACCAGGACTGTGTATCCGTTGCTCTCTAGGAGGCCTTTGGGTCCCCGACATTATAAACTGTACGGAGATGATGCATTACTTTTCCCAGCGGACTGATGAGGCTCAAATCAGATGTGAATTTGTTAAATTTCAAGACAGATGGGAAGTTATTCTTGCTGATGAGCATGGCGTTATAGCAGAAGACCTGATTAGCAAATATGCTTTCAGTGAAAAATCTCAACTAGGACTTTCTACCCAAATAATTAAAGGTGCCTGTTCAAAGTCCGACAATTCTGACATTGACACTTCAGTCTTCCTTAACTGGTATAATCCAAAAATGAAGGTGGTGAGAGCATATGCCACTGTAATAGATGGGCCTGAGTACTTCTGGTGTCAGTTTGCTGATACCAAGAGACTTCAGTATTTAGAAGTAGAAGTACAAACTACTGAGAAACAGATAACAGATCAGAGAAATTGTGTACCACATCCCCACATTGGCGACCCTTGCATAGTGAAATACAGAGAAGATGGGCATTATTATAGGGCCCTTATCACTAATGTTTGTGAAGATGATCTTGTATCCGTTAGGCTGGTGGACTTTGGAAATGTTGATGACTGTGTGGACCTGAAAGCAGTCTGGAGCATTCCTTCTGAACTTCTCTTAGTTCCCATGCAAGCTTTTCCCTGCTGCCTCTCAGGATTTAACATTTCAGAAGGTGTATGCCCTCAAGAAGGAAATGACTATTTTTATGAAATAGTAACAGAAGATGTATTGGAAATAACAATATTAGAAGTTAAAAGGGATGTTTGTGATATCCCTTTAGCCATTGTTGACTTGCAGAGCAAAGGCGAAAGTATTAATGAGAAAATGAAGAAGTATTCTAGGATTGGTCTGACTAAGAGTGATCTGCCCTATGAAAACAGTGGCCCAGAGATAAAGGGAGCTCATGAGTCTCCCAGTCCTGATGCTGGACCTAAGAAATTGAGTACTAAAGCTGTACAAGACAAAGCATGCTTTGTGCGACCACAGACAGAGGAGCTCTCTGAAAGCATTGAAAATGATTTAAACATTATTGAAACCAAACCAAGTAAACTCTGTAATGCTGAAACTGAAAATATCTTCGAAGCTTTTGAAAAGACATGCAAAGATAAAATTGGCACCAAGGTACTGGAAGGTAAAGTAGAGCTCCACTCGGCTGACAAAGCAAAGTTTGAGGATGAATATATTCTTACAGGATTTAGCACGTTATTACCACATGCTAGCAAAACAAAGGATATATTAGAGCTGAACTCACTTGAGGTACCACTTTCTCCTGATGAAGAATCAAAGGAATTCTTAGAACTAGAATCCATCGAGTTGCAGCATTCTCTAGTCGGAGATGAAGAAAAAGAGGAGCTAGGACTGGTGCCTCCAGTCGCGCCTGTCTTGGATGGCTGTGGCCCAGAAAGTCCCCTAGAACCATTTGAGGTGGAGCTTCCCCTCACCTGTGAAGCTGAGAGGCAGGAGGAACTGGAACTGCCTATAGCCCAGCTGTCTCAAGATGACAAAATAAATCCTTTGTCTTCAAGCATCAGTCAGAAAGCCCAAGAATCCAGGAGTGCAGAGGACACAAGAAACCCAAGTTGTGCGGAATCTTTTGATGACCAGCAGGGGATGCCATTACATCTACCTGGAAAGAATTGTGACCCCCAAATGCAGATTGAAATAAGTACACATAAAGAAGAATTTGCTGACTATGAAAACAGGGATGCCATCTCCTCACTGATCCCTTTGTTCCCTAAAGAAGACCCCCCTAGTGAGAGGAAGCACAGTGCTCTACCAGACTGTGTTTCAGGTACGTGAATAGATTTTTTCACTTTTAAATTTAAAGTAGTGTCTCTCAAAAGATCTTCTTTGTTTTAAAGATAAGAGAATACTTATATAAATTTTCTTAAGTTACTTTTTTGCAAGACCTATTAAAACCCAGGAAGTGAGTCAGATTTGAATTTTTATGAAGGGCATTTTAAATACGGAGGAAATTAATTGTGAAGTCAATATAAAATAATATGCACTGGATAAAATGCTGAAATATTTGCTTTGTGTTTAACAACAGACAGCTTAAAAACTGTTACCTTCCAAGAGGTCATCACATTTATTTACACTTTAATAAGTCATTTTTATAATTAAGTGGGTATATCTTTTGGTAAGTTTTAAAAAGCATGGTGTTCCCTCACTATACACTGCTATAGGCATAAATTACAATGGGGTAATTTTGGCAGAGTCTTTTTCAGACTTACCTGTATCATGCATCACTTTTGCCATTCATTTAGAAACTCTTAAACAAACAAAAACAGAGAGCTTCCATTAACCAAAAAAATCTCAACAGTCTTGAGAAAAGCTTAAAAAGTATTAAATTTTAATATGTAATCTTTACTATTTGATACTTAAAATGGCATTGAGTAGATTATTTTAAACTTTCTAATGAGTTAAACTTTTAAAAATATTTATTTATTTGAAAGGCAGGGTGAAAGAGAGAGGGAGAGAGAGAGAGACAGATGTTCCATCCTGTTGATTGACTGTCAGATGGCCACAACAGCCAAGTCTGGGCCAGGACAAAACCAGAAACCATCCTGACCTCCCACATGGGTAGCATGGGCTGCAGTTCTTGGGCTGTCACCTGCTGTCTTTTCCAGGCACATTACCAGCGAGCTGGCTCAGAAGCAGAGCAGCCAGGACTTGAACTGGCACACCCATATAGGATGCTGGCATCGCAAGCAGCAGCTTAACTATCCATGCCACAATGCTGGCCCAATTATACTTTCTCAATGTCAATTTTTATTTTATTAAATTTGAACCAATGTACAAAACAGAGAAAATATTAGAATGAGAATGAAAAGTACCATGCTGTTACTACCAAGAAATGACCATGGTGTTAACACCATGGTGCACTTTCTTTTTGTATTTTATTTATCTTTTACCCTCTTTTTTGTATTTCTGTAATGTTTAAAAACAAAACACTAGGAGCCAGCACTGTGGCATACCATGTAAAGCTACCACCTGTGGTGCCGGCATCCCATGTGGGCACTAGCTTGTGTCTCGGCTGCTCTGATTTCAATCCAACTCCCTGCTGATGGTGCTCCTGGGAAAGCAACGAAGGATGGCCCAAGTCCTTGGGCCCTTGCACCCACAAAGGAGACCCAGAAGAAACTCCTGACTCCTGGTTCCGGACTGGCCCAACTCTGGCCATTGGCGGCCATTTGGGGAGTGAATCAGCAGATGGAAGATCTCTTTCTGTTTCTCCCTCCCTCTCTCTGACTTTCAAATAAATAAATGAATCTCTTAAAAAATGTAATACTATCATGTAGTGTTGAACCCACTATCATGTAGTGTTTAATCCCTTAAAAATGTGTTCAGGATATTTTAATATATAGTATGCCATCATGTGGGTACACTATGATTTACCTAAATATTATCCTTGCATTAGATGTGTAATCTCCACAGTCACATTTTAATAATATCAATTCCTAACTTTGTAATAGAAATGTCTGCTCAGGTGCCACATGTTGCCTTGGTTTTAGGATAGTAGTCGTAACTATTTGAAGCATAACTCGTGATAATAATACTGGCTTTTAGTAGTAATTTTCAGTGGTGGAAATGCACATCCTTTTTTAAAAGAAGTCTGTAACTTTATTTAAAAGATTCATTTATTTACTTGAAAGTCAGAGTTACACAGAGAGAGGAGAGGCAGAGAGAGAGAGAAAGGTCTTCTATCCGCTGGTTCACTCCCCAATTGTCCACAACAGCTGGAGCTGGGCCAATCTGAAGCCAGGAGCCAGGAGCTTCTTCCCATGCAGGTGTTGGGGCCCAAGGACTTGGACCATCTTCCACTGCTTTCCCACACCATAACAGAGAGCTGGATCGGAAATAGAGCAGCCGGGTCTTGAACCGGCGCCCATATGGGATACCGGCACTGAAGGTGGCACCTTTACCTGCTATGCCACAGCGCTGGCCCCGCACATCCTTTTTTTAAGGAAAGTGGTAAAAGAGACTTAAAACATGTTATGCCAATGTCCTAGTTGCATAATATGATTGTACAGTCACAATAAATGATGAGAAAATGCTTATGTGTCTCACTTTAAGGAATTAAGAGGTATGCATTGAATCTTACTTTATTCATTCTGACAGCTCAACCACAGAACATTTTCAGTCTGAAAGGGTTTACTGTTGGTTCCAAATGTGTTGTATGGTCAACTCCAAGAAACACCTGGTCTAAATGTGAGATTTTGGAAATAGCTGAAGAAGGCACAAGAGTAAGTAAACTTTAAGCACTTTATCTCCAAATGTACTTGCAGACTGCTAAGGAGATTTGACCAGACATTATCAGACTAGGAAATGCAGCTGAAGAAATGTTCACCTGCTTGTTCCCTTGGCAAACTGGCATAGTGCAAAAATCTTTTGAAGCATCCATGTGTGTGTGTATATGAGACCTAGTGCGAAGTCATCCTAGGTGCTTTTACTCCCTTACCCTCCAAACCCTGTAATCACCAGTCCCACATTTTCCATTTATTTCCTCCTATTTGGAACTTTTTTATACCTAATACTACTACCTTAGTTAAGTCCTTGATTTCACAGCTACATTGCTGCAATAACTTTGGTTAGGTTTTCTAGTCTTCCTTCATCTCATTGTCCATACTGCTAGCATTAAGATTATCAAATGCCAACCTGGCTGCATCATACTGTGTAAAGTCTTACAGGCGCTTCCAGTTGGCTGTTTGTCCTGTAATCTGAAAGTTACCAGTATCTGAATCACCTGGTGTGTTTCTTAAACTGTAGATACTTGGGCCTTAATGTGGCCTACTGGTTCAGAATTTCTAGGGGCAGAGTTCTGGAATGCATTGAGATTGGAGAACCAGTATTCTAGGATATAAATGCTCATTAACGTGGCAAAGGAGATCCTCCAGGAATGAGCATCCCTATACCTCTCCAGTCTTAGGTCTGTCTTCATTATATTTCTATATTTATATCAGTTGGGCATTAAACTGCATAGCTTCTCTTATGTATGCCATTCTGCTTGCCAGTTCGATGTATTTGATAATGCAGTTATAGTTTACCTGTATTCTATTACAGTCCTAAACTGTTTAATTCCCATTTATCCTTAAAGATTTACTATAGCTATCACTTTTCCAGGATGCATTCCCTGACATTATTTTCTAAGTTAACTCTTCCCCTTAATATTACCCCCCTAAAAAAAGGCTTTATAGCTATATTTTATTTCCACACTACCGCAGAAGTGTTTCATACATTGTGTGGATTTGTAATTATCTGCTTACAGGTGTTCTTTTCACTAGATTTTTATCTCCAGGCATAGGTACTAAATATATGTTTGCTGAACTGAAATAACATCGAGTTTGAAACATAAGATTGAAGTTTAAGAAAATATTTTTTATTGTCTTTTGAAGTTTTTCATTTTCAAAGGTATTATATACATAAAACGTAACAGATTTCAGAACTTGCCAATTTTTATTATTTTTTTTTCTCTCGTAGGTTTTAAACCTTTCCAGTGGTAAGGAGGAGATAGTGAACCCTGAGAATGTCTGGAATGGCATACCTAAATTAGATAAATTAGATAATAGTCCATCTGAGGTATGGAATCCTTTAAACGTTAATTAACAAGAGTATTGTTCTACATTTTGAAAGGTGGTTTAACAAGTATTTCCAAATCCCTTGTGTTGAGAAAAATGGAGAAAAATTAACATTCTAAGTGTAAAAACTAAAAGCAGTAATAACAAAATCAGTGATTCTAGACTTTATGCCAAGTATCTATTTGCACATACATTTTACTCCTTGGTTTTCACTTTGAGGTTTAAAGAATGGAAATTGTTGGTGTTGGTGACTTATAAAATTCATGTTTGATGCAAAAAATCTGAGAGAATTGGTGAAATTAAAAATGAGAAAGTAATAACCACCTTTAGTATGTCCATCTGAAGACAATCAAGTTGATAAGCCTGGTTTTCTTTTGTAATTTTTCTCTTTATATGGAATAGAAGTATGAGGATTTTAAAATAAAGTTCCTGGAAAACATGAAAAAACTGCATGGGTTTAAAATTTTTTGCACCAAAATAAACTTGTTTTTATTTATTTTTGTAATGCCTGCTTTTTTTTTTTTTTTTTTTTTTTTTGACAGGCAGAGTGAACAGTGAGAGAGAGAGAGACAGAGAGAAAGGTCTTCCTTTTTGCCGTTGGTTCACCCTCCAATGGCCGCCGCGGCCGGCGTACCGCGCTAATCCCATGGCAGGAGCCAGGTACTTATCCTGGTCTCCCATAGGGTGCAGGGCCCAAGGACTTGGGCCACCCTCCACTGCACTCCCTGGCCACAGCAGAGAGCTGGCCTGGAAGAAGGGTAACTGGGACAGAATCCGGCGCCCCGACCGGGACTAGAACCCGGTGTGCCGGCGCCACAAGGCGGAGGATTAGCCTAGTGAGCTGCAGCGCCGGCTGTAATGCCTGCTTTTAAAAAATTTATTTGAAAGGCAGAGAGAGAAATCGACAGAAGAAGGGAGAGCCCTATTTGCTTGTTCACTTCCTAAACGCATTCAGTGGCCCCAGGCTAGACTAGGGTTGGAGCTGGAAACCAAGATCTCAATATAGGTCTCCCACATGGGTGACAGGAACCCAGTCACTTGAGTCATCACCACTGCTTTCCAGGGTCTGCATTAGCAGGCAGCTGGAGTCAGGAACCAGGTAGTGAACCCACGTACTCTGATATGAGATGTGGGCATCTTAACCACCAAGCCAAATGCTTGTCCCAAACTTATCTTTTAATTTTTTCCATGAATTTTCAAAGTACCCTTCTATTTCACCTACATATTTGGGCACAATTGATGTGATTCTACATACAGTTTTATATTCTGTGTTCTTTATTTAAGACTATATGATGGGAAAGTTCCCATGACATTATGATGTGTCTGTGCACTTGGGTTTAATCTCTTTGCAGTTTGTTGAAGTTCTTTCTTCACATCAGTTGGTTGTCTTTTCCCTCAAGAAGTAGTAACTTTTACTGGTACTTTGTATGTTGAATAGTTTGGATTAATCCTGAACATTTTGGATATTGTGTTTAAGATTTTGGGTCCTTTTAGAATTTCTGGGGAATGTTGAAGTTTTAGCAGATAATTGGCACTGTTAGATTCAGGCTACAGGGTCTGTCTCTCTGTAGCTGATGGTTCCCATGCCAGTTTCATTATTAGAATTTTTCAGTTTTAGCAGCCAAATGAATTTGTGCAGTTGTTCAGATCTGCCCAGCACATAAGCCACTTGAAAGTTAGTCTGGGACTTGGTTGATGTTGTGCGTAACTGGTTGTGTTGTGCATCGTGTAGCTCAGGAGTGATGCTGGCACTTAGATCAGTTTATGTAATTTTAGAGGGGTTAACATTTCCCAACTCCTTCCCTGAGATATCCTCCACACTTTCTGGATTCAAGGTCTCTTTTTTCCCATCCCTCAGGGATCAATCCATTTGTTGGGTTCCAGGCAGAAAATATGTTTCTGTGCTGTTAGGCAGTTCTTCACTCCAGTGAAGCAGGTGAAGAGAAGAGCGAAAGAAAGAATCCCCACTACATCTAGATAACACAAGGTCTCTTTCTTTCCTTTCTTCATTCCATTGGCCAGAAAGACAGGTATTCCTTCACAGTTTCAGCAGCCTGCTTGCCATTACTGTCCTCAGGCAATGTTTGGAGGTAACCCTTGTGTGGGCCTGGAAGAAGAATTAGAAGGAAAAAAAAAAGTGATAAAGGGATTTTCCACCATTCCCTAACTCTCCAGGATCCTTTTTATTGTCTTTTAAAGTTCTTCATTTTCAAAGGTATTATATACATAAAGCAGTAACAGATTTCAGAACTTGCCAATTTTTATTAATTTTTTTTCTCTTGTAGGTTTTAAACCTTTCCAGTGGTTATAGAAGTAAGGGATTTCTCACAGAGTTTTGAATGCCCACCTGAGTTGGGCAATTTTGATTTCGGCCCACCTTTAGATTAAAACCAAGACACAAGTACAAAAAGAAAACAGAAAAATGCTATAAAACTCACCTTTGTTGTGAATCATTATTCAAGCTTTCACTTAGTTCTCAATCCACCTATTCCCATTTCCTTTTGAAATTCCCCAGTAAACTTTTTGCATTCTGCCCAGAAATTCTGGTTGTAATTACTGGAAGAGGGAGGCTATAGTCAGCTCACTGCATTTTGGCTACAACTAGAAAGCATAAACAGTATTTGATGGCTGCGTAAGATTGCATGATGTTAAAGAGCTATAATATATTAAATCAATCCTTATAACATTGACTGTTTGGGCTGTTTGAAAATCTCCACTGTTACAAATAATTAGACACTTCTCTTTTCCTGCTTGCATTAATTCCATTTTTGTCAAAAATAACAGCTTGCTACACTTGTCGTTTTGCATCCATATTTACAAAAGCTTTCAAATTTCTGATTGTTTCCATTAACTTTGAAGAATCCACCAAATAACATACATCCTTACGTATATACAAAATTCTATTTGGATGTAGTTTACCTGCCAAATAGAAAAGAACTATTTAGGACTATTTAAAGTATACATAAAATTATATTTGTGTGTGTGTGTGTGTGTATGCAATTACTTCTAGTTCTAAGCTAATTAGAAAACATAGAAACTACTTATGAGTAGTCTTGGAAATTTTTGATTTGGTTATTAATGGGATTTAAATGGACCTTTCCTCAAATTTGAGCAAATTCTTAAGGACATATGTCTACAAATGAACTAATTCCCCTTAAAAACTGAATATTGTTAGGTATGAAGTCATGTATAACTTTTTATGATACCTCAAGTTGCTATGGCCTGAGGATCTGATTATGTAAATTAAAAGAATTTTGTCTTTATTTGAGCTATTACATTCTACTATAAGAATATATCTCATTAATTAGTTTTTGTATTACCTCATATAAGCACATGCTATTAATTATTGAAAGGAATATAGGGTAAATATATTCCCTCATCAATGAGTCTTTAATGAAGCACCTGTGATTCCCCTTGGGTAAAGTGAATAGCAGCCCCTTGAGCAATGATGTCCCTGCCTCCTTTACCATCCACCATAGCTGTCCAGGGTCTGGGAACTTAACATTGGAAAAAAGGCTTTTACTGCCTGGGTGGAGTGCTCCACCCAGAAATGAGTATTTGAAGAAAAAAGTGTACTTGAGGTGGTTCTTCACTATAAATCAGATTGTTAAACTTTCATAGGAATTCTGTTTGTGGACTCACTTCTGGTTTGTCTGTGTCTTGTTTCTGACATAAACTGCTCTGTGCTTATAGTAAAGAATCAGTAGTAATCCAAAGGTTCCTTTTGCTAGGCTGTGTTCCACACAGTGGGGAAGGACCCTTACTTCACATCATCAGATGATGCTGCTGCAGTTATGGGTAACTTGTTTCTATTTTATATTTTTTAATTTCTTTTTAAAAAGTTTTAGACCTTATTCTTCTAAAAAAATTTTTTTCAATTTGAGAGGCAGAAAGACAGAGATCTTCCATCTACTGATTCACTCTCCAAATGCCTGCAATAATCAGGGGTGGGCCAGGCTGAAGCCAAGGGCTCAGAACTCAATCCAGGTCTTCCATGTGGGTGGCAGGGATCCAAGTGCTTGAGCCATTGACTTCTGCCTTCAAGGGCATACATTAGCAAGAAGCTGGATAAGAAGCAGAGGAACTGGGACTCAAACCAGTCACTCCAGTATGGGATGTGGACATCCCAGGCAGCATCCTAACCACTGCACCAAATCCCCATCCAGTTTGTGTTTTTATTTCTTTTATTTTTTTAAATTTTTAAATTTTTTATTACTTTTTAAGGATTTTATTTATTTATTTGAGAGGTAGAGTTACAGACAGAGAGAGGGAGAGCTAGAGAGAAAAGTTCTTCCATCCACTGGTTCGCTCCCCATATAGCTGCAACTACTGGAGCTGAGATGATCTGAAGCCAGGAGCCAGGAGCCAGGAGCTTCTTCTGGGTCTCCCATGTGGGTGCAGAGCCCCAGCACTTGGGCTATCTTCTACTGCTTTCCCAGGCCATAGCAGGGAGCTGGATTGGAAGAGGAGCAGCCAGGACTAGAACTGGCACCCACACGGGATGCCGGCACCACAGGCAGAGCGCCCATATGCCACAGCACTGGTCCCCCAACTTGTTTTTATTTTATTTATTTACTTATTTCTTGACAGGCAGAGTGGATAGTGAGAGAGAGAGACAGAGAGAAAGGTCTTCCTTTTACCGTTGGTTCACCCTCCAGTGGCCGCCACGGCACACCGCACTGATCCAAAGGCAGGAGCCAGGTGCTTCTCCTGGTCTCCCATGGGGTGCAGGGCCCAAGCACTTGGGCCATCCTCCACTGCCTTCCCGGGCCACAGCAGAGAGCTGGCCTGGAAGAGGGGCACGCAGGAAAGAATCCAGCGCCCCGACCGGGACTAGAACCTGGTGTGCCGGCGCCGCTAGGTGGAGGATTAGCCTATTGAGCCGCGGCACCGGCCCCAACTTGTTTTTAAAATAATATACTTTTATTACCCAGAATTGTTAAGTCATTGATAGAATTATACCGAATCTCTCAAACAAAAAATTTATCCATTTTCTTGGATGTTATAATGGGGGAAAAAAGCACTTTAGATAAAAATGCTTAAGTGTGTTTGAGGACAAATAACCAAGATTACCTCCTGAAATATCACAGGCAATTTATCTGTTGGTTGAATTAATCTTGCAAGTTCAGTCTGATAAATTCATATGTTAAAGATTTTGAAGCAACTCCTTATACCTTCAAATGATAATTGTATGTTAAGTAATCTTTGGAATTTCTTTCTGGAGTTTCAGTTTGTTCACATATGATTCCATAGGATTCATGCTTGTTCCACATTTTTGTTCATAAGTAGTACATTTTTTTTTTCAAATTCATTTGAAAGGCACAATTACAGAGAGAAGGAAAGTATATAGAGAGATCTTCCATCTGCTGGTTCACTTTCCAAATGGCAACAACAGTTGGGGTTGGGCCAGGCCGAAGCCAGGAGCCTGGTGCTTCATCCAGGTCTCCCATGTGGGTGCAGGGGCCCAGGGTGCATTACCAGGTGCATTAGCAGGGCTGGATTGGAAATGGAGGCTTAACCTGCTGTGCCACGATGCCAGCCCTGCACATTGGTTCTTAGAATTAGGCATATTGAGAATGAAGTTCATCTCCTGTCAGCTTTAGTATTTTGTGAAATGTACACACTAATCAATGACAACACAGAACTGTTGATTATCCCCTAATATTGTCCCGACAGAATATAAAATATGCCAATTTAGTAATTTCTCAGAGAAACTTTATTTAACACTAAGACAATGAGAGAACCAAATACTAAAAAGGAAAAACAGCTATTATTTCTACAGGAGTAATTAATTCCCTGTAGTAATTAGAGTACTCGCCTGCCCTCCCTCTGTCCTTTTAGAGGACATGAAATGGAAGCGCCACTAGAAATAATTTTCTTGTTTTTGTTTTCTTTCTCGGCTTTAAGCTTTTCTGTTCTCTTTTTCAGAAAAGGAGTCTGGAGGTGATGTGGCTTTAACTCTGGATCCATAGACAAGGACATTCAGCCAGAAGCTGCTCTTCCACTACTAGCTTCTTACCCAGACCAACAGAGTATCTGGGAGAATTCCAAGTGTGTAGCCAGAGGACATCGTCACTCTTGAAAATCGTTATCTGCATCAAAGACAGAAACGGGCTCAGGTCAACCATGTAGCTTAGTTGTAAAGGTGCTGTGGTATACATGGATTCAGGATCTTTCTTCTGCCTTTAATCATCTTTGTAATCAGTCGGAAACACTTATTTTGCTAAATAATTTTACTAACATATTACTCGCATTTCAAAAAAATCTGTTTTATGCTTAGGATATAGTGTTCAAATTAAAATAGAATATAGGTCCGTTGCAAGTACATTCTAGGACACTACTTAGGATGGCTTTGCTGGCAGTAGCTCCTTCAGAATTTTTGTTTTGATTTTGAAGAGTTGCCTTGTCTATCTAGTTAAAGCACTTGATGAATGCTCTGTTTAACTTGGAGGTACTCTAACACGATACAGATTTCAATAAAGTTTTTCCTTCAAGGGATGATAGTCTCATTTCATTAAAAAGAAAACAACACTCTTGAGTATCTCTGATTCCATCTCTTATCTATTACTGGAGATGGGGGGGGCATGGTAATATAAAACGTTGGCCTTTATGTGTAAGTCACTCAGCTGATACCGTAAATACATTTTCTAATTTCAGTCATCAGCTCTGAGGTACATATTAATATTATCCATATTTTAGGTAAGAAAATTAAAGCTTTTTTGAGAAGTTAAATAATTTTTCTAAGGTCTTATAGCTAGTGAATAGCAAAGGCTTGGGCAATCCAACTTCAGATCCATCTAACTTCAAAGTTTATGCTCTTAAACATAGTTTTGTAGGAACTGTAAATCCTAGCCTTTGGAAACAGATCTTAGCTATATCTGCTTCTTAGATGTGTGACTTAGGAGGTTATATGGTATCTTTGAGCCTTGATCTTCCTCATCTGTATAATGGTGATAACAAAACCTTTATTGCTATATTTTTTAAGATCAGAAATAGTTTATTCAAAGTGTTGTAAAAAAAAAGTAGGTACTTGGTAAATGTTTCTTTTTTGAAAAATACTCATTGTACACTTTGCTGTTTTTTTCCCCCACCTTAAATCATTGGATAGTTTCAGAAATTATTATTTTCTTTTTGCATTCATATATGCCACAAAGGATTGTAAAATTACCTTGGAATGGGGCATCAGTACAATTATTTCAATGTTTCTGAAACTAATAAGAAGGAGGTTTGCCAAATGAGACTAAGGGAAAGATCTGTGTGTATGAAACATTATCAGATGCTGAAGCTTAATGGGAAGTGAGAATAAACAGTCTTAAAAATTGGTGTAATTTCAATAAAGTAGAAAAGGAGAGGGGACTGTCATGAAGGTACATGAGTTGGATAACTATATTGCATGGCCCTGGGATAATGAATATTGGAGATGGGTTTGGCACACTAATGTAGGAGCTATGATTGTCAATTACTAGGAGAAAAGGTCAGTCAGGGTGCTTTAGGGTCAGATAATGGAAAACCTTCAGTTTCAAGCTAAGGAGTTAACTTCCTAATTAAAAATTGTAACCTGAATGGCTACACGAAAGGAGAAGTTCACTTTCTCAGAGTAAGTGTTTTTGTACCTAAAGCCACTGAGGCATGCCTGAGATGCCAGATGGGTAAACACAGGCATAGAAATCAGAATAGGAAAGTTATCAAGGCTGGTTTACTAGGTACTGAGTGTCCTTGTTCTCACGGGCTAAAGTAAATTGTGGAGAATTCATAGAAACAGGACATACTTAGACTAACACATGTACTTTACTAATGAATAGCGTAGATTTTATATCCTTTGGTAAACCCCAAATCATCTCCCATGATCCCCAGATGTATACAAGATTTTCTTGCTTCAGATATTTTTAGGGCGAACATGACACATACTTCCACCTACTCATTTAAGAGAAATATTTTTATAGTCTTTATTTTTTATCTTATTTTTAATTTAATTTTATTTTTTAAAATTTCATTTAATAAATATAAATTTTGAAAGTACAACTTTTGGATTATAGCAGTTTTTCACCCCATAACCACCTTCCCACCCACAAACCATCCCATCTATTACTCCCTCTCCCATCCCATTCTTCATTAAGATGCATTTAATTTTTAAAATTTATTTATTATGCTATGAATTCATAGGGAATATGTGCCAGCAGCCCAGGCTCCTTTCCATGGGTTCTCACTAAGCGAGCTTATTAGGCAGAGCAGATGGGTGCTTCAGCTGAACCAGGGGACCCCCCTTTTGGTTTTCCTCATTTTCTGATCCTATTATTTTCCTTCACACGTTTCAGGAAGCTATCACGGCTCTTAGAGGGCTTAATGTGCTCCATGCACACATTACTTCTCTTGGCAAGAATCTTGTCCTTATTTGTTCATAACATTCCAGGGCATTCCTTTTGGGACGTTACCCATTCTCTTGATGTCTACATTTTACCTTTCTTCTAGAGTCCCACAAATGTGGCCAAAGGAACAACTTCATGTTTTCCTAAAAGGCCTGGAGCACATGTATTGGGTGCTTCTCCTCTTTCCCTTGTTTTAATTATGTTGGTAAATTACTGGAAAATGATGGCCTCTGCTAAATACATAAATTTTATAAAAGGTTTATTTGATAAGGCAGAGTTGGAGGGAGAGAGAGAGAAGAAAAGAGAGGGAAAGAGAGATCTTCCATCCACTGGTTCACTCCCCAAATGAACACAATGGCAGGGAATGGGCCAGGCTGTGGGGAGCAACTTGGACTAGACTAAGTTACTGGAATTAAGACTTATTCTATGCATCTGCTCTCCCACAATATGGCGCTGGGAGAGGAGTAAACAGCTTCTACACAGCTGCCTCTCACCAACTTGACAAGCTGCAGGAGCTGCTCCTGATTGGAGGAGAGCAGTGTGCTCAGCGTGTGGGTAGCAGAGTTGGGATTGGTGGAAGAGGACTATAAAGGAGGAGAGAGACAACATGCACCAGGAACATCTAAGGGGAACATCTGGATAACATCTGAGCAGCCCCCGAGAGAGCCGGCCGGCAGTGTGCCGCTCCCCCACGGAAGTGGGGAAAGTGGCAGGGGGGCCCGCCCCTCCACGGAGGTGAAGGGACGGCAGCCAACCCGGGAAGGACCAGCAGCAAACCTGGGAAGGGCCGAGCAGACAAAAGAACAACGCAGGGTCTATTGTTCCTCCGCAAAAAGGGGGAGCGACACTAGGCTGAAGCCAGGAGACTAGAACTCCATCCTTGTTTTCCACAGGGCCTTTTGCCACTGCTTTCCCAGGTGCATTAGCAGGGAGATGGATGGGAAATGCAGTAGCCTGGACTTGAAACAGTACCCATATGAGATGCTGGTGTCACAAGCAGCGGCTTAACCCATTGTACCACAACACTGACCCCTAAATAAATATATTAATTTTAACCTATCTTTTTACTTCCATTTAATTGTGGTATATTACTTATAGAATTAAAAATGCTGATTAAGGGGCCAGCACCGTGGCTCACTTGGTTAATCCTCCACCTGTGGCGCCGGCGTCCCATATGGGCACTGGGTTCTAGTTCCGGTTGCTCCTCTTCCAGTCCAGCTCTCTACTGTGGCCCGGGGAAGGCAGCGGAGGATGGCCCAAGTGCTTGGGCCCCTGTACCCGCATGGGAGACCAGGAAGAAGCACCTGGCTCCTGGCTTAGGATCGGTGCAGAGCCAGCCATAGCAGCCTTTTGGGGATTGAACCAATGGAAGGAAAACCTTTCTCTCTGTCTCTCTCTCTCTCTCTCTTACTGTCTATAACTCTACCTGTCAAATAAAACAAAAATGCTGATTAAATAAAATTAATTGGAAAGTGAAGTTAAAAGTTATTCTGAATGTTGCCTTTGTTATCCTACTCTGCCTTTGGGAGAATAACTGATTTGAAGTGTTCTAGCTGGAACCCATGGTCTGTGTTATGTGGATCTAACACCAAGAGCATCTTTATGTAGTAAGTAGAATGCATCAGAGACAAAGCAAACAAATTACCAACTTTGTGTACCCCACTGTCTCTGCCTTGGCTCCAGTATTCTTAATGTTTGCTCACTCGCCTTTTAGTGTGCGTGTTGAAATTGTGTAATATCATCACTTCTGCACTAAAATAATGACTTTATTATCAGCATGGGCTAATTTTTCTAACCATCACAAAAGGTCAAAGAGAAATATTGCCAAACCCTACTTAGACCCCCATGTTGCTAAAACTCAATTCTACCACTTACAATTGAGAAAAAAAGGCAAGAAACCTGTTTTTTAACTATTATAGAGAGTCCTATATCATTGCAACAGGTTTTCAGTGATGTTACACCCATTTTAATATATTTGTCCATTAAAGTAATATAAAAAAATCAGAGCAGTTTTCAATTTTGACATTCAAAATCATTTTAGTAAAATTAAAATACAAGCTTGTACGATTTTTATAAATGGCATCCTTTACATTTAAAGAGAAAAAAATGTTAGTATAAGCCTCAATTACTATTATAGGCTCCATTTAAAAATTCAAGTTATTTGGAAAACTCACTAAAACCGCACACCCTGTTTTAGATAGTTTTTAACCAAGACTTTCTAAAAAGCCCTGGTAACCTAAATTCCATTTGTCTATCCCTGTAGCATTCTGCGGAGTGACATGTGCTTGGTTTGTCAAATGTTGGTCTCTGGAATAAGATTCTCATCATCTCCTTCAATCAGACAGTTCCACTGATCAAAATCTTTGTTAAGTTCTGTAAAACATGAAAATGTTAATAAATATATTGAACTTTTAAGAGCACAAAATAGTTTCCTGCCTCTAGGTGGCACTACAGAATTATAAACTACACAAATGCATTGTGATTGCAGAGGCAAGGTGTTCAGTGTCAGCTGCCCACAGCTGCTTTAGCAGCTGCAGGCAAATCAAAGAGAGGAATGAAGCACCTCACTGTCAGTTCACCCCAGGATTCACAGAAACACTATTAGTTTTGAAAGTAGACTTTCTTAAAAAAAAAAAAAGATTCATTATCTCTTTGAAAGGCAGAGGAACAGAGAAGAGAGAGACACCCACAACAGCCAGGTCTGGGCCAGGCCAAAGCCAGAAGCCAAGAACTCCATCCTGGCCTCCCACCTGGAGGGCAGAGACCAAAGTACTTGGACCACCTTCCACTGCCTTCATAGGCAGATCAGCAGGAAGTTGGATCAGAAACAGAGGAGATCAGAATCAGAGGGGCCAGGACTCAAAGGGGCACTTTGCTATGGGATGCTAGTGTCACAAGCGGTAGCTTAACCCACTGTGCCACAATGATGGCCCTTGCTTTCAATGATATATCATGCAAAGCAACAAAATTTGCTTTCTCATATTTTTGTTTTCAAATTGATTTGCTGTTCTGTTCAAGTATAAACTGGTTGGAAACAGTTAAAACAGGACTAATGATACGCTGAATCATTTGGCTTATGCCATAAAAAATTTAGTTTCTTACCTAAATGCTTTTGTAAGAATGCTAATGAAGCTTTGTTGCTGAGATAAATTGCTACATTTGAATCTATATCTCCTTTTAATGTTAACAGGTGTCCAAGTATTTTTCCAGTTGCAAAGGTAAAGTCAGCAAAATTCTGATGGACTGATCCCCTGAAAGATAAATGAGACATTTACAATCACATTGTTTGATAAAATTATTCTTGTAGTCAGGGTATAGGAAGAATAAGGCCTGCTTGGTCTATTTATTGAAAACTAAGGAAATATAGTTAAAATATATTTGGGAGTCACAGCCTGTTCATTTAGGAATACGAGAATATATTCCTCTTTCCCATAGAAAAACTATCCAAAGAATCCTATTGTACTTGCTATCTTCAATTTTAGAGGATGACAGGGAACATTTCCAAGGAATGTGTCACTGAATGAATGAATGATTTCATGGTGTAAACATAGAGTTATGTACACAAACCTAGATAGTATAGCTTCTACTACACACCTATGCTATGTGGTATAGCCTATTGCTCCAAGGCTACAAACCTGTACTAGCTGTGCTACTCCACTGAATGCTACAGGCAATTATAATACATTTCTATGTGTGTATATGTTTTTAAACATATCTAAATACAGAAGAGTTTAACAGGGGTAGAGAACCTTTTTTCTGCCAAGTGCCATTTGGATATTTATAACATCATTCATGGGCCATACAAAATTATCAACTAAAAAACGAGCATACTATAGATGTATTGAATTTTGAGTCCTGCCTGTGGTTGCCTTGGCAGGGCTGGTCCAGAGGATTTCACAGACCTTATATGGCCCACAGGCCAGATGTTCTCCATCCCTGTAAAGATAAGAAATGGTACACTGTACAGGGCACTTACATGAATGGCACTTACAAGACTGGAATTTGCTCCAGGTGTCTGTGGTGAGTGGGTGTGAAGGCTGGGGACAGTACAGTATACTACTGTAGACTTTATAAACACTACGCTCTGAGACCAGACTAAGTTCATAAAAATATCTTTCTTCAGTAATAAACTCAGATTGCTATAACTCTTTTATTTTTAATTAAAAAAATTAAACTAAGTAACCTTAACTACCATAACTTTTATTTTTAATTAAAATTATTTGGACTTTTACAATAACACAGCTTAAAATAAAAATATTGTGTGGCTATAAAAATATATACTTATATTCTATAAATTTTTCTTATAGTAAATAAGATTTTTTTTTTACTTTTTATTCTCTTTTATACTCTTTTGTGAAAAATTAAGATGTAAAAACACATAGTGGCCTAGGCCTACAACAGGTCAAGATCACTGACATCACAGACTTCCCTCTCCACATCTTGTCTCACTGGAAGTTCTTCAGGGGCAGAGACACTCATGGAGCTGTCATCTTCTGTGATAACAACATCTGCTGCATACTTCTTGAAGGACTTGCCTGAGGATGCTTCATACTTACCTTTTTTCTAAAAATTTTATTATTTGAAAGACAGAGATTTCCTTTCCACTAGTTCCCTCCCCAAATGCTCTCAATTGCCAGGGCTGGGCCAGGCCAAAGCCAGGAGCCTGGAACTCAATCTGGGTCTCCCTCATGGGTAGCAAAGACTCAACTAATTGAGCCATCACTTGCTGCTTCCCAGGATATTCATGATCAGGAATCTGGAATCTGGAGCAGAGCCAGGATTCAAACCCGGGAACCCTTGATATAGGATGTGCATCCCAAGCCGCATCTTAACTGCTGTCTCAAACACCTGGCTCTGTACATTCTAAAATAACAATGAAAAGTATAGTATAGTATAGTATAGTATAGTATAGTATAGTATAGTATAGTATAGTAAATGTAGGCACATTATCAGTATCACTCACAGTGCTCTCTACATCCATCAACAGCCCAACAACAAACAGAATAGTGAAAAAGAGGGGCAGTCAACACTGCAATGGATGCAAAGAGAAAAGCTGAGACTGTAAAGACTACTGGTGTGGTACAGAACAGGTCTTTAGCTTTTGTCCATTGGTAGGGGCTTAGGAAGCTAGACCACAGGAGTCACAGTAACCAGAAGGAACCACAAGAAATACTAAACGCAGGTGATTCTTTCAAGCTTTAGCAAAGAAAGATGGTTGAGGGAAGCTTAGGTGTTTTGCATTATTTCTATTTTAGAATTAGACTTGCATAAACTAATCAGCTACTTTGAAGGCCTTTTCTGAAATAACTACACCCTTCTTCACCGTCTGTCCAAACATTACATAGGGCTGGCGCTGTGGCATAGCAGGTAAAGCTGCCACCTGCAGTGTTGGCATCCCATATGGGCGCCAGTTCGAGTCCCGGCTGCTCCAATTCTGATCCAGCTCTCTGCTATAGCCTGGGAAAGCAGTAGAAGATGCCAGGTCCTTGGGCCGCTGAATCCACATGGGAGACCATGAAGAAGCTCCTGGCTCTTGGCTTCTGGCTTCATATCTGCCTAGCTCTGACTGTTGCAGCCATTTGGGGAGTGAACCAGCAGATGGAAGATTGACTCACTCACTCACTCTCTCTCTCTCTCTCTCTCTCTCTCAGCCTCTCTGTAACTCTGCCTTTCAAATAAATGAATAAATATTAAAAAACAAAACAAACTCTACAGTGGCATTGCCTATACTGCTGGTGTTTCCTTCCTGTCTGTTCTCCCAAGAAATGGGATGAATGATCTTTATCATTGCTTTGTTATATCTCACTGGGCATTCAAAGCCTTATCAGTTCTTTTCCATGCCCAAGATATTAGCACATTACCAACATTCCAGGGCACCCCTTTATAGCTTTGGAATTTATAACTTCATAATCTTTCCCAATACCTAAGTGCATTGTAGACTTTTCCTTTAAAGAGTTCCTAGCATGGCCTAATGATGGAATACTTTCCACCACATTCCCAAAAATGTATAGACATATTCTGATGTTTAGATAAAAGTAACATAGTGCCTAATACAAATTTCAATTACCAGCATTTGCATTATATATAAACACTACTAAAAATCTTTTCATTATAAAAAGAATAAATCTCAGAAACTGAGATTCTTTAATATTCTCCTTCATGGAAGTCTGTAATGCTACCAAATGATATTGGCTGTTTACCCAAGTTTCAAATTTCTGCTTCAGATGATGAAATACATCACCAATACTTACCTGATTGTAATCATTTTTCTTTCCTTATCAGGTAAGAAGCATTTTTTTATTTTTATGATATTAGCAGGATACTGGAACCGTTCAGAGTTGATAAAAAAGAGCGGCTGAGGAATTCTGGAATATACTTCATCGTCCAGTGGAAGCATCCATGCATCCAGGGCAATCCCACATCTGCAAGTATTCATTCACACTCACGAAAACAGTTGGTTACACGCTGGCCAGCATATCAGGGTTCTAATAATGCCAGGGTTAATGGACACATCCCAGAATCAGTGTGTTCTATGTTATCCCACTGGCTTCCAGAGGTGTTGTATTTTAGTGTGGGAAGGGAGTAGGATTAGCTTTACAAGATAGCAGACCCGGAATTATAGAATCATTTTCTTCAGGAGGAAACTGCATTTTTATACCTTCACTAGAGTTAACAGTTGAGCTCAGCACTTTACATTTAGGGATGCTTCCCCTGAAAAATTGTCCATGGTTTGAAGGAAAACATATGAAGCATGTCATTTGGAAATGTAACTTTAAAAAAAATTTTGGCCGGTGCCACGGCTCAATAGGCTAATCCTCCGCCTGAGGCACCGGCACACTGGGTTCTAGTCCTGGTCGGGGCGCCAGAATCTGTCCCGGTTGCCCCTCTTCCAGGCCAGCTCTCTGCTGTGGCCCGGGAGTACAGTGGAAGATAGCCCAAGTGCTTGGGCCCTGCACCCACATGGGAGACCAGGATAAGCACCTGGCTCCTGTCTCTAGATCAGTGCGGTGTGCTGGCCGCAGCGCACAGGCCGCAGCGGCCATTGGAGGGTGAACCAACGGCAAAGTAAGACCTTTGTCTCTCTCTCTCACTGTCCACTCTGCCTGTCAAAAAAAAAAAAGTTTACCATATGTTTCCTGACTCTTTGGACTTTTCATTTCATGTGTTACATGAACGAAACATGAAAATCCCCTTACATGGAAAAAGATTTTAAACGGCTCAAGATGAAATTACACAAATGATCCTGTCCATTTTCTATATGGTTGGTTCTATATGATTGCAATCAGTCTGAGATGAAGACACTCAAAAAAGAACATGCTTCTGCAAGTTAGAAAATGGATCTGGTCCTGATTCCTACCCACATCACTGTGTAATTTTAGACCCAGCCCTGTCTTAAAGATGAGGATCGGGAGCTTTTAACGTCCTGGCTTTTGGGGTGGTCTGGAAAGACTATCAGATGGCAATGTTATTATTTCAACCAATGTCACAAAAAGTTTGTATTAAGGACACATTTGTAATAATTTTATATTATATTATTGAACAGTTAAAAATGAGGAGAGAAGATATACGGGGGTGGGGAAAGTTTTTAACAGCTAGGTGGTAAGAAGTTCTAATAGCCCAGTGGTGAGAGATTTTAAAAACTAGAGAGGTAGATGTTTTCTGCCTAGAAAAATATACCTAGAGAACTAAATGGAGGTAAAGAAATAGACTTATGAACACCAAAATATTCCTTCTTCTTCACTAAGAATTTGATCAAAAATTATATCCCATGTGTGTTCTCACTCCCCCACTTTCAATATGTAATATACTGTTCTCTGGCTTTATTCTGTCTTCATCTCTTACCTGAATCTCTGATCTTCACTAAGAGTCTGAATCACTGTTGCTCCACCAAAAGAATGTCCAATTACTGCTATCTTATTCCTATCGATAGAGTCCTATGTGAAAAAGGCACAGTATAAATATGTTACTACTTTACATGGTGTTAGAAGAATAAACTAAACAATTATTGTTCACTTCAAGGGCATAGTTCAGTGCCTTGTTTTCTTACAAAATAGAACTGTACATCCATATATAAATGTATACATACACACATAATATCACACATACATATATATCCAAGGTACTTTAAAAAGCCTACAGAAAAACTGGATTAAAAATAAGTTTATTTTGGTGCAAAAGATTCAAAATCCATGCATAGATTTCTGAAAGTACGTGTCTTCCACGAACTTTTCAAACTGCCCTCATACATATATAGAACTTATTAATGTGTATATAAAATATTGTAAAAGTTCAGAACGAAACGTAATGGTCTTCCTAGTCGCCTACACCTGAAACTTCAACACCAACACTGATTTCTGCCTCTCTCCGTTCCATGTTTTTTGGTTTGTTTATTCTGTGTGTTTTGAACACCTGCTCAATGCGACACTGTAGTCTCATTTTCAATGAGCTCACAGTCTATCAGGGGAGAAAGGGATACAGAGAGATGCTACAGTGTAATATGGGGGTGCCAAGGAGCACATGTAAAAGGGAGCTAACCCAGGCCAGGGGTGGGTACTGGGATCCAAGAAAGCTGTTTAGAAGAGGTGATGCTTGACTTGAGTCTTGAAGATTAAGCAGGAGATGGTACAGGGAAGGGTGTGTCAGGTCTCAGGAACAGGTACAAAGGCATGGATTCAGGAATGAGTGGCTGATTGAGGGACAACAAAACTTTCACTGTATCTTGAGAACAGATCATCATCTTATCCTCAACTTGAAGTACTTCTGGTTTCCTCTACTCCCCGTACTCCACACATACTTTTTAAGTCTTCAATTCAAGCCATCTAATCTGTCTGATATTTCTCCACCATCATCTCAAAATGTAGCCCACAATACACAACTGTTGGCTAACATTTGAAGATCAAACTCAAAGACTTGTAGAAGCCATCAAAGAAATTCTATTTCTACAAGTGGTATTGAGGTGAATCACATGAAATTGCCATTTTTGTAGGTCAAAACTGACAGACTGTTGGCAATTTCATATACAGTTCAGCATAATGCATCCTTCATTGCTCTACTATTTTACCTGTATTCGTCTTTATGGTGTGCCATTTTTCTTACAATAGTAGAAAAATTAGACGACAACAACAACAAGAAAAAACCAAAAGGAATTGCAGGACAAGGTAAAATGCCTTTTTTTTAAAAAGTTCACCTTTAGTTGCTCCACATCAAATCCTAAGTCTAATACATTCGTCACTGGCTTTCCATGATCAACGTCAAGGATCCAAGTGAGAGCTTGGGAACATTCCTTTGCTCTTTGCCGTACCTAGTATGATGGCAAAGTAAAAAGTTATAACACTTAGTATAAAGTTTGTGCAAAGGTTGCATATGGGAAAAATAGTTGGTTGGTAATAAACTGGAAATTTCTAAGAGATGAGAGATTAGAATACAAGTAACAACACAGGCACCAGCTTTGCAGGTATGTATGTCAGTGCAAATTTTGACTCACCTACTGTGTGACTTTAGAAGATTAATTTAACCTCTCCTTTTATTGAATAATAATGCCTACCTTAGAGGCATGTGGGGGGTGGTTCTTAAATGCAAAAGTCTACGTGAAACACCCACTAAAAAGAAGCAGCCAGTATGCTTTATCTCACTTAATTATCCCAATAGCCCTGTAGGAGAGACAATGTTATTGTTAGTTATTTTTTTTAGCAGATAAAACATGGAAGCAGAAGGAAATGAACTTGTCCAAAATGACCCTACTGCAAAATGATGGAGTTAGAATTCAAACACAGAAAGTTGAGTTCTATGGCCTATGTTAATACTGTCAAATACTGCCTCTCAGAAGAGCAGCCTACTAATTTATTTTCTATCACGTTTGAGATTCTAAAATCAGAAGTTTTAATGCAAGAGAATACTGAACATTCACTGGCTTCCCCCAGGATTTTTCTAATTGCCTTGTTTTTACCATGAACCAAATGTTTCATTAGGAACTCTTCTTACTCAGACAATCTTCTAACAGATCTTTTGGTAATGGGGAGCAGAAGATCTAGGAGCACAGCTTGCCATAAATAAAGTGAAATGAACAAATGCCATCATATTGTGCCTGCTTTTAGGTCACCAAGCCACCTCTCCTCTCACTGCAATGTACCTGCTCATTTCGTATAGGTATCTCCTCCTCATCTTGTTTTAGAGTTTTATAGTAGAGCCAAGACCTGTTCCCTATTTCTGCAGCAGACTGGTCCTTAAAATAGTAAGTTGCAGATGCAGATCCATCTCTATAACACAAACAAAATTAATTACTTGTACGAGTTCCTTTCCTTCCTGCTCTAACCCATGTTCCTCAACTCCATCTTGACTCAGCTTCCCTCTGATCTTTCTTCTTCCCCTCTACATTGGTTTTAAATAAAGAGGACCCAAAGGGAGTTCTAGGGAAAGGAACTCCTCTCGAATTGTAGGTAAACATCGATTTTTCAGTCTTCACAAATCAAAGAGGCAACGTTAGCAATGCTGAAAAGTCTCTCTCTTTAATGACATCACTGCCACTTGGTAGCTGTTTGACTTTTGGCAAATTATCGTTTCCCACCTTCATTTTCCTCTGCCTCATGCAAATGATAACAATAACCCTCTCACTGAGTTGCTTTGAAGACTAAATAAACATGATGGTGTATGAAAATATCTAGCATGGTACAGGGCATTCAATAAATACTCCAGAGTATTTAGCCAGTTTGCTTTTTCTTTTTTTCTTTTTAATCTATATTCTCATTATGTAATCATAGCTGGAAATTCAATTAACATTTCTACAAAGCTTTATGAAAATTAGAAGTATAGTTATGGGCATTAACAATCTGTGTATTTGGTCAAAGAGTCCAGCTACATCGGGTAACATACCTGTGTTCTACAGCAGCAACTATAAACCCATGAGATGCCAGGTCAATGCCAATAGCAGAGTAAATTGTCCTTCAAAACAAAAAGAGGGAAGCATTATAATTACAAGCCTGGGTTATATAAAACAATTGGGAACATGGAGGCCATTATCCCACTGTGGTAGTGCCTAGGGCAGAGTGGGGATGTGTGTTTCTCAAAGAGGGGAGATTTTGCTCCTTAGGAAATATCTGACATGTCTGGAAGTGTCTTCATCATCACAACTCCGGGGAGCAGGGAGGTGCTACTGGCATCTTGTGGGGACACGGATGCTGCTAAGCATCCTGCGATGCACAGGACAGTCCTCCACCCTACCCCACCCCAAGAAACCACCTCGTACAAAATGTCAGTACTGCTGAGGTTGGGAAACCCTGGTGCAAACAAGGTCTATGGAAATTCTGAGTTTTATTTATTTATATTCAATTTATTGGAAGTAGGGGTGGAGAGAGAAATAAAAGAGAAACAGAAATCCTCCATCTTCTGGTTCATTCCCCAAATGTCTGCAACAGCCTGAGTTGGGCCAGGCCAAAGCCAGAAACCGAAACCCCTTTTAGACTTGCCATATGGGTGCCAGGGGCCCAAGAACTCAAGTCATCATTGCTGTCTCCTATAGTGCCCATTAGCAGGAAGCTGGATTGGAAGTCGAGTAGCCAGATCTTCAAAATGGGATGTGGGTGTCCCAAGCAGTGACTTAATTGGTGAGCCAAATGCTCACCCCATTTTGGGTTTTAATCTTGGCTTTGCCACCTACTAGATATAAGTGATTACTGAATTTTTGTTCTTACCTATATAATGGGGTGAATAATAAAGTATGTGCTCTAGGACAATTGTAAGGTTTTGATTAAGATGAAGTATGGAGAAGGGCATCACAGTATGGGTAGTAAGAGGATGGGACCTGCAGTCTGCCCAATGAGAGCAAACCTGGTTCTACCATGTATTAGCTATGTGCCTTGGATAGGTCACTTATCTTTTTTCTACCTTGTATCCTTATCTGTAAAAAGGTGATGTTATAAGATTTTGGAACCTGATTGGTATGGATCAAGTGAGTTAAGACACCTTCAGCGGTTATGATCATATCTGAAACAGGGTAAATGTTAGCTAACATTTAAATGACCAGAGCAGGTGAAGAGGTTAATAAACTATGTGTTACTAGGCTGCATTTACACCATCTTCCACATCATTCTGCACAATCTTTTTCTCTTATCACGTGTCTTATGGGAAATGTCCACAGAAAAGAAAAAAGGAAGTAGATGGGAACTATGTCTTTTACTATTAAAGATATAGGACCCATGCAGGAGAGGAAAATAGTACTGGGATCAGCAAACTTTTTTGTTGATGGGCAGAGGGTAAATATTTCTATCTTTGTGGGCAACACAGTCTTTATCACTACTATTCTGTTATTGTAACATAAAAGTCACACAGACAATATAAAAAATGAATGGGAATGGCTATGTTCCAGTAAAACTTTACAGAAATAGGCAGCAGGCTGGACTTGGCCCTTGGACTTGCCAATCACTGGTGCTGGAGAAATCAAATAACTAGCTTGACTGTGATTAAAGTGTTAAGATAATTTTTTATTTCAGGTACTAGCCGACTTCTTCCCAGCTGAAAGTCGCCTTTTATTTTCTGAAAGTCTTAAAGCTCCTTGAGGTAGAATAAGGGGAAGCTGCAGAGAATCTGTTAGAATCAAGGGAGAGGGTGTCCCGCTGTGAAAATGTGCTGCTCAAGCACTGTGCTACAGAGAACACAGCTTAGGAAAGACCCCATCCAGTCCCTGCACCTCTGGATCCATCGCCACATTCAAGTGGAAGCCAAGCTCCCTCTGAGCTACTCCCAGTGCCTTGGCACAGCATGGTGTTGAAATATTCCTATGAGATGTAGGGCTTGTTTGACAAGCATCTTCAGGTCCAGCGTGCCCTCCACCGGCCTGGTCCAATCTTTCTGAAACCCTTGTTACCTAATCCCTCTCCTTCCCCATTTCCTTCCCGGCTATCCAACCTATATCATGGTCGGAAAGGTCTCCCCATCTTTTTCTGCTCCTTCTCCTTTAGAAATGCCTTCTGCAGCTAATCCAATTTTACTGTGTCTCAGAATACCTGAGCTAACACAGGATGAGTCTGAGAGTATAAATAGTACAAAGTAGAAGGACAACAGCCAAAATCAGCATCTGCTCTGCTGTGAGGCTAATTCACAGGAGCTGGAAGGAAGGGAGGAAGAAGGGAGGGAGGGAGGGAGGAAGGCAGAGAGAAAGGGAGGGAGAGGCCGGCGCCGCGGCTCACTAGGCTAATCCTCCGCCTAGCGGCGCCGGCACACCGGGTTCTAGTCCCGGTCGGGGCGCCGGATTCTGTCCCGGTTGCCCCTCTTCCAGGCCAGCCCTCTGCTGTGGCCAGGGAGTGCAGTGGAGGATGGCCCAGGTGCTTGGGCCCTGCACCCCATGGGAGACCAGGAAAAGCACCTGGCTCCTGGCTCCTGCCATCGGATCAGCGCGGTGCGCCGGCAGCAGCGCGCCGGCCGCGGCGGCCATTGGAGGGTGAACCAACGGCAAAGGAAGACCTTTCTCTCTGTCTCTCTCTCTCTCACTGTCCACTCTGCCTGTCAAAAAAAAAAAAAAAAAAAAAAAAAGGGAGGGAGAGAAGGAGAGAAGGAGGGAGGGAGGGAGGGAAGGAGGAGGAAAAAAAAAAACACTGAAAAAGATAGGGCTAAGGGCACCAATAAGGACAGTCAATTCTTGAGGATCTCCAACCCCTCCAAGGTAGGAGCCAGCACAGCATTCCCAAATCTGCTGTTCCTTTCTTTGTAAAACAAATGTATCCAGTCATTCATTCCTAGAGGCTAAAATTGTTCAACCTCTCCAACACTACCTGAATGCTCCAAGACCATGAGAAAAAACAATGAGTGGATATTTTTCGCCAGTCCTTAGAGGGGAATTCCAATTTGCAGGAGTTGTCATTGAACCTAGGCAACAATAGGAGAGTGCTGTTAGGGTTTTTCCTGATTTGAATATTGTTAGTTAATTTATATCCCCTTAGCATAAAATCCTGACCCATGGAATTTCTCTCTATATTTTTATGTATTAATAGTAAATTCATTAAAAGGCCTGCTACTAGATACCCACCAATGAGAGACCTGATCCCTATGCTCTTTCCAGGTACCACAGAATAATTTTTTGTTTTCACTCCCAGCTCTGAACTTAAGGTCTACTTGAAAGTATATTTTTACTACTTGAAAGCATATTTTTCCAACCCCAGATTTTGGAAAAACTTCAAGGGAATGTTGTGAAACCAAACTACCAAGTAAATCTCAGGAACATCACCCTGAGAGCCAGAACCTGAGAACCAGAGACTCCTCTCATTTTGACTTGGTCATGATTTAGCCAAAGACGGAGTGATTGCTGGCTTTATCCCCTCTGAGGTAGCTATGGCTAAAGCTCTAGCATTTAGTAGCTATTGACTTTGGGCAAATTACTCAGACTCTCTGAACTTCAGATTCCTCTTCTGTAAAGTGGGGAAAATAATATTTATATCATGTATTTGTATTTAATTTAATTAGGTAATATGTATATAAGGCACCTATCCAGTCACAGAGTTGGGGGCTCAACAGTGGCAGATATTGTTTCCTGCTCCACTTCTCAATTGTTCTTGTCATCATTATTTTTAGAAATTATTTGTTTCATTTTCTCATCTTTAAAATGAATATGTGATCATGAGGACCAAATGTAATGATCATTATGGAAGTTTTTTAAATTAATTCTTCAATACCTTCAAGTTGTGCAGTTTTAACATTTTCATCATTTTTACTAGTAAGTCATTTTGAGAAAACTCTAAGGAGATGTCTCAAATGAATCTCCAAAGTTGGAGGCAGTTTTGAGGGAGAAATGTGAGGGCACAATTAACATCAGCTCAAGAGTCATATCTGGTCAAACAGATAAGGAAAGAAAAGTGTGTATTCTTGTACTCTAGCCAAATGGAGTGGTGAATTCATAGCAGTCTTACAGAGGCTGTCCCCTGTGGGAGGTGACAGGAATAAGGGAAAAGACACTGACATCGTTGTTTTGGATCTGGAGTGTTACAGTGGGTTCTACTTTCTTTCTCCTCTTGTGTAGACACGGAGTATTAGGGGTCATGGTCACACCAGTGAACCTGGTATTCTCACCACATTATTGCACCCTCACAATTTATAGGAAAGAAAGCCAAAGAGCAGCCACAGAAAGATGTTAGAGCTCACCTGATCCTCTCACCCACTCCCATCAGATTCAGAACAGACAAAATGAGAACTTGTGATTTGCTCCCAGCTGCTAAGGCTTTTCAGAAATACTTTCCCTGTCATCCTAGAAAAGGTTGAAGCTGGGGAAAAACTACTTTGTTCTTAACTGCAGAAATTCTTGTTATTTTCATGAATTTCTTTTTATATTCCAGAGCCTAGAACATGGAACCAAAAGAAATCTTACCAAATAATAAGCCCAAGATTTTGCCCATGAGGCTGTGTGTTCCAAGAAATTTACTAAGACCCAAAAAATACTCCTTGTTTGGGATCCAAAGGGTGTCAAGTTGGTCGTCATCTTGGGACGGGTAATACAAACGCAAGAAGGTGCCCTGTTGAGGAAAGAAATCCAAGCACTTTTAGGTAAGTTTGTTTCTCAAGGAGATTCCAACAGCACATTTCATTTGTAGGGAACCGCTAATGGGTCTGTCACTCACAAAGAGGTCCAGATAACTTTTTTAGGTGCTGTGATAGATTGCATCCAGCCAAGAAAGAGAAGAGAAAAAACAGAACAACAACATGCTTTCTGAGTATAAAAATGTGAGCAGTCTGGCACAGCCACTAAGAAGAACATTTTGTTAAGAGTTTATAGGTTAATTAGGTGACAGCAAAAAATTAAGAACAGCAAAACTAGCAAAAGGTTTCATATGAACCAATACAAATGACAGAATGAGTCATTCTCAGGTGATTGCAAGGTTCAGTATCTACATCTTCTTGTGGGATGTAGCAATAGTCAATATAATTCTATAAGGATAATTTGTGTTCATTAAAACATTACCTCATCAGAGTAATCAAACATCAAGTCTGTACAACCAACAGAGTAAGATCCATTTCCTCTGGGGATTTTAGTTTGGCCAATGTTTGCAGCAGCCATAAATGTTTGTATTTTATTGATCCATGCTGAAAAACAGGTTAATATTATGTTATTTGTCATCCATTTTACCCAAACTTTATTATGCAAAGGAATTCCAAAGGAATCAAGTGACTCCCCATAGTTTCTGGCCTCTTTCATTTCTTAACTAACAAAATCCACTTAAGTCATCAAAGGCTTACTGGGTACAAAGCATTGTGGGGAGTAAAAGATGGAGGTAGACCATCTCCCAAGGACCATCCCTCCTGATATGTGCAGCCTCACCCCTACCTTCTACTTCGATCTAGAATATATAAAACATAACTTCCCAAATATCTTGTTTTCTAAACATGAACTATGTCTCACATTCCATATTTGTGTTTAATATGTCTCATTGAGCCATCTCAATCTGATATTATTACTATAGAAATGTTAAAGCCAGTGGTCCCAAATTAAACCAAATAACATTTCCCGTCTCATTTTTCTGACTTTCCAATACAAGGTCTACAACTCCAGAATTCCCTGTCTCATGAACCCCAAGCCAGAAACCTGCAAAACATTCTATTGTTCTACCTCTTCCTTAACAGTCTTTTATATTCAACCAATTTTCAGTTTGTAACATTTGTCCTTAGCTTAAAATTATCTCCCCAATACATATCTGACCCTCTTGCTCAACTGTCTCCTGACCTGGCAGTTGCCATCTCTCCCAACTGTCCTGTATTTCTAGGGTCTTGCCCCTTCAAACACATCCTTTATACAGCTCCTGGAGTGACTTAAAGCACAAATCTCACTAGACAATTCTTAACATTTTACAGTGGCTTCCCATTTCCAAGTAATTCTTCCTGAAGGGGGAATCTTTTTGGAAGATGCTTTGGGGAAGTATTTAAGTCTACATACATTATGCCACTTGAGGCACAAAATGGACTAGTCCCAGTGTTCTGGCGTTAGAATGTGTTCAGATTCACAAGTGCACATTTAAATCCCAAGTTCCTGGGCACAGTAAGAAAAGCCCTCCATGAGCTGGAGGCCCATTGCCTTGTATAGTTCTGTCACTTCCCTTAATCTCCCTTCCTTGTGCTCCGGCATTTCTGAGCTACACAGCTGGGCTGTTTGACACCTCTGCACCTTTGTAAATTCTACTGCCTATGCTTAAAACGCCCTTCTCAAACTCCCATTCAACCTTTGACATCTATCTAAATGGATGGTACACCTTCTCTGGAAGCATTCCTCTAGTCTCTCAGACAGAATTAATTCATTCATCCTCAGTATTAGATTAATTCCCCATATATTCAAAGGTCAGGGGAGTAGGTGTAGGGTTTTCAAAAAACGTTCAGGAAACATGTATATTATAAAAAAATTATCCATGGATTTCCAAATAATTTTTTTCTTTTTTAAGATATATTTATTTATTTATTTGGAAGTCAGAGTTATACACAGAGAGAAGGAAATGTAGATATAGAGAGAGGTCTTCCATCTACTGGTTCACTCCCCAACTGGCCACAATGGCCAGAGCTGCGTCAATCCTAAGCCAGGAGCCAGAAGATTCTTCTAGGTCTCCCACTTGGGTGCAGAGGCCCAAGGACTTGTGCCATCTTCTACTGCTTTCCAAGGCCATAACAGAGAGCTGGATTGGAAGTGGAGCAGCCTGGACTTGAACCAGCGCCCATAAGGGATGCCAGCTCTGCAAGCTGCAGCTTTACTTGTTATGCCACAGTACCAGCTCCCCAAAGAATTTTTTCACACCAAGACAAACTTATCTTTTAATTCTATTTTTCTACAAAGTTTTTGAAGTTCCCTTGTATGTACTGTGTGTGTATTCATTCTTCTTATCACATTCTATTAAAATTATGTGTTTTTATATTCTGTCTCCCACACTAGGCTATTCCTCAAGAGTCGTACTTTGGGGGTCAGCACTGGGACGTAGCAGGTAAAGCTACCACTTGCAGTGCCGGCATCCCAAATGGGCACCAGTTCAAGTCCTGGCTGCTCCACTTCCGATCCAACTCTCTGCTAAGGCCTGGGAAAGCACTGGAGGATGGCCCAGGTCCTTGGACCCCTGCACCTACATGGGAGACCTGGAAGAAGCTCCTGGCTTCGGATCGGCACAGCCCTGGCCATTACATCCAATTAGGGAGTGAACCAGACTTCTCTCTCTCTCTCTCTGCCTCTCCTTCTCTCTGTGTGGTTCTTTCAGATAAGTAAATAAATCTTTAAAAAAAAAAAGAATTGTACTTTTATCTTTGTATTCTCTGATCTTTATGCAGTATCTGGCATATAATTAGTACTCAATAAATACATAACTGTGAAAATGAGCTGAACTAAACTGAATTCCCACAGAACTTTCTTGTTCTTCTTTCAAACCTTTTGTTCTATGTGTACACTCTTTTACCCACCTATACCAAAAATTTCTGTTCTCCATTGAGTCAAAATCCTTCTGCATAACTGCTGTTTCATTGTTTTCTTCCTTTCTAAATCTCAATTTCACATGTAACTTCAAGATGTTGAGTCTAAATATCCACCTATCAGACTCTGCTCTTGATACATTAAGCCAGCCCACTAGTTCCCCTCCATTGGACTATGGGAGTTGGTGACTGTTTTGGATACCTTTTGTGTTTTCCATCACACTCTGACTCTGCCAGACACCATGCTAGGCATGGCACCTGTGCTGAAATCATAGAACAATGCCCAGAACGATTTTGAGTCACAGGAAGACATTCATTTACATCCTCCATGCTGGTGACTCAGGTGCAAAGCACCTGTAAGTGATGAAATCTTTCAATACATAAGGCCTCACTAACTCAAAGCAGATCTCTGGGCCAATGTCACTGGCTCCACTCAGACCTAGGAAATAGGGGCTCCTGGACATGGCTCCAATTCTACTTAATCAGGAAGGTGTGTCCATTAATAATGTAAGCAACCCGGGCTTACATACTAGTGAGATCTTCTGGCCTGGCAGACATGTGTAACTTCATGTTCAAGTAGTAGTAGTTAGTTCCTAGGAAGGTAGGGGGTGAGATGATCCCGCTGTGAGTATTAGATTTAGGTGATCCTATTTAAGAGTCCATCTTTGCATCTTAGAAGCCTTAATTCTCTGGCCTAGGGAATTACTCCCCTCTCTGAACCTTACTTATAAAGAGGGGACAAAAGCACTAGACCAGCAGGAGAGTTCTAAGAATGAAGTGATAATGTAGGTCAAGTACCTTGGAAGAAACACGGCACATAATAGACAGACAACTGTTAAGAGATTATTTGTCCTCTTCCCTGGAGTTAGTTAACTTGACTGGCCAAACGCATGTTGAAGTCCTTAGAAGAGTTTCTGCAGATCTAAACTATAGCAAAACCACTGCTTCTAGGAACAGGTTCAAATTGCCAAGAATTTCCCAGGGTATTTTTGTTTTGTTTTGTTTTAATTTTAAGTGGAACATTTCTGGGTCTGTTGAATTACAAAAGGCTCTTCCTCTCCTATTAAAGACCAGGTACTGAATGATGGCTTTGTGGTATTATTAGGAGATGGCAAGTCCAGAGGACAGTAAGGAGGTGATATCCGCCATCCCTGCACCCACAGCCAGCCACGGTGTGGCTATGCTGGGATTTGCAGGGGGAGGCCTCTGGCTCTTGCACCTCAGAGGATCCGTGCTGCCTTGGAGACACTACCTCTAGAATTGGGGATTTAGGCCTACAGCCACATGTCAATTCCACACTGCGAAAGGCTCCTCTTGTGATATCTCAATTTCACTGACGTCCTGGGAACTTTTTCCAATAACCCAGCTATCCAAAATCTGCACTACTGAGGACCACCCCCAACCCCAACTCAGCATTCAGGAGCCATGGTTGAGTGAGGCTAGAGGTCTGCCCAGTCCAGGACACCTGACCTGAGAATGTCTCAGGAGAGGCTTCGGCTGGGTCTGGTTTTGGGCTGGGCCTTCAGGGTCCATGGCTGGTCAGTGCCAAGTGACTGCAGTAAATGCTTAGGGCCTCGACTTCCCCTCTCTGACTACCCCCCAGGAATCAGCACAGAGAGAGGAGAGAGACTTGTCAAAGCCTCAAATGACCACTCCCTTGATGACATACTTTTGTGGGGCAGAATTTACAAATTTGTCTTCCTATTTTTCTTTAACATTTTTAATAGGCATTTTTGCAACCTATCCTATGCTACTAATCTTTTACATAATTTTAACAGTGGTCATTTGTTAAATATTCCTGATATTCAGTCTTGGGTTTGGGGATGAATCCTGTCCATTCTCAGAAAATCATATTCTCCGATATGGCTTTACACTTTCCAGTGGGGAAATACAATGTCTCTAGTCCATATGTGTAAGTTTTTATCTTCATAGCCATATTTTCTACGTATTTATTTACTAAGAAAATTATAGTGAATTATCTATTACTTCAATCTTTTATTTAATAAGCTATTTCTAATAATTTAAAAATATGTATGGACTCAATTTTAGACATTTAGAATGAGTAGGCATTGGGCTCAGTATGGGGACTGCAAAGATGAATATAGTAATATCCTTGTTCTCAAGTTTCTGCCAGTCCAGTGACAGCTTTCCAGTGATTTTTTAAACATAAGGGGGTGGAAAACATGTCTTGAAATTCTTACTGTGTACCAATAAAAAAAAATGCCTGACATAGATGCCTGCTTGATGATAATTTGCCCATTATGTAAATTGTTACCTATTTTCAATCTATGGAAAGACAATGGAAAAAATGAACTTAATTTCAACAACATTGTAGGCTCCTTGAATCTGACTTCAAGCTCTCTTAGTCACCAGTGTATCTCTGATGCCTTAGCTGATAAATGTGAGATGAACGGATCTGTGAGATAATTATTCCATTTCCTATGCAAATAGAGATACAAGATACAGTTCCTCTCCTACTACTGCATTCATTGCCCCATTTATAAAGTAGGGCAAAATTTATCTCCAAGTTACGGAGTTATGAAAGTCCTTCTGTGTGTGTTATGACAAGGAGTCACCCATCAAGCCTGAAGAACTAGGTCCAGGGTGACCACATCCATCCAGGTGCATGAGTGTGTGGGCACAGACACCATTCAGAAGCTGCCTACACTGCTCTCCATACAAGAATGAATACAGAAATCCATGCATCACAACCCCCCTGGGATGAGCAGGAGCTCACAAAATTCCAGAAGCCATCTCTTTGCCCTAAAGGTCTGTCTTGGTGAGGTTCTAGGTACCTGTCTAGAGATGCCATAAAGGTCTGTCTAGAGATGATTGCCTCCTGGGTTGATCTAAGCTGTCCTCTTCTTCCCTCCTTACCACAAGATAAGGAAGAACAGGTGATCATGTCCACCACCTCTGGAGTTCCTTAGTGCCAACTTGTCACCATTCTTCCCACCATTAGGTAGAACAGATCATTTCCCTTGGATCCTAAGATCCTAAATTATCATCTTCTCATTCCATCCTTCTCTGTTAATAAGGACTTCGCATGTTGATCAAGACACCTGCCTTTTCTTCAATTCCATGGAAGCAGGCTTTATGGTTGCCTTGGCATGAACTCTAGGGCAGGTCCATGAGTGTACTTGAGTGGGAGAGGAAGGGTTAGGGCAGAGAAGGGGTGGCATTGAGGAAGTTCTCCATGGTGTTTGCAAGTTAAGCTTCTAATGTATCTTAAAATCGTTCTGTCCTGCAGTCATGATATCAAAGAACACTTTAATTTTAGGCAGCAAGAGGAAAAAATGAGGCCCTTTCCTCTACACTGGGAAAATAGAGAGTCTCGAAAAGCATTTCTTAATGGGACTCACTTAGAAATCCATACATGCAAATGCTCTCAGGCCACTTGGAGTCTGGAGGCAGGTCAATTACTCAAGCCCTTAAACGAACATACCTCTTACCTGATGATTTAATATGGGCAACAGGATTTACGTCTTGCCAGTCAAGAGGATGAACCAGTGTGAGGCAGCTGCAGAGGCAGAAAAGCACATGCAATTTGGGTGGTGCCATCTCGGAAGGTGAGCAGTGGTTTCAGCTTAACCTTCTTTACAGCAGATATCAAAAGGAAAAAAAAAAAAACATGCAATGAAGAGGGCTTGAATAGGCTGACAAATCAGTGAGGCTGAGATAGTAGTAACATTTGGAAAAAAAGGAACATGCATTTTTTGGACTGGATTTCAGATTGGCCTTAGAATGGAAAAATCCTTAGTCCTGCTAGATTGCAGTGCCCAGAAATAATACTTTTAGACTATTATGTGAGGGTACTTCAAAAAGATCATGAAAAATTAGAGTCAGACAATAAGCTTATTTTGCTGCAAATATATTTTGACATCCATATCTAGTTTTTTCTCAGTACACATTTTCCCTGAATTTTAGAAGGCTCCCTCATATGCATGGATTTCCAGATGTTTTTATACCAATATAAATTTATCTTTTAATTCCATTTCCATCAATTTTTGGGAGCAGCTTCATATTTTTGGTCTATTCAAATAACTGGTTTGGTTATAAAGGCTAACATCAAAATATAAATTATAACCCCTATACATCGTCATCATCATCATCATCATCATCATTATATCCAAAGGTATGTCTAGCACATAATAAACAGTTAATACATTTTAGCTAATGTTGCTTTCCATCATAATTCCACGGTAATTATATCGCTGAGTGGTGACTGTTTCTGATGCTAAAGGTGCTATATTTTTGGTAATATTTATAATCCCACTATACAATAAACTTTTAAAAAGCAGAGGTCAGGTCTTAATTATTGCCATTCATGCCTAACAGAAAGCTTGGCAGGCAGCTGGTGTTGAACAAATGTTTGCTGAATCAACGAATGAAACAATATCAGATTCATGATAATCATCAACAGCATTACAATTAGGATGTAGGCTAATATCTCTAATATCTTATGAGCAAAAACTGCCTTGTATGTGTGTATCACTTTTGCCCTTTAAAATTCATCCTTCCAATTTTTGTGCAAAGGAAATGGCTCAAGCCACCACCATCTCTCACCTGAATTCTGCTCAGCTTCATAGCAGATAGCATCACAGTGGAATAGGATCATGTGTAGAAGAGATTATATGAAAGTCAGGGGCTAGGGAAGGGCCAGGATCACTATTACTCCCTCACATGTCCACAATGGTCAGGGCTGGACCAGGTCAAAGCTGAGAGCTGTGGGACCAGTCTTGTGCTATAGCAGATTAAACTGGCACTTGCTGGGAGGCATTCAGAATTAGAATGCCAGCTTGAGTCCTGGTTGCTCCACTTCCAATCTAGCTTTCCTGCTAATGCATTTGGGAAGGCAGCAGAAAACGGCCCAAGTACTTGGGCCCCTACCCACCATGAGGGAGACTAGGATGGAGTTCCTAGCTCCTGGCTTCAGCCTGGTCTACAGACTTGACTGTTGCAGCCATTTGGAGAATGATATTTCTTTCTATTTCTGTTTCTGTCTGTGTCCCTCCCTTTCTGCCTTTCTATTACATAACTAAATAAACATTGAGAAGAAGTAACTGGAAGCTGGAACGCAATCCAAGTCTCCCCTGTGAGTGGTGGGAACCCAATTACTGGAGTTGTCATCCTTGCCTCTCAGGGTTTGCATCAGCAGGAAAGAGTCAGGAGCTGGAGCTGGGCATCAGACCCAGAAACTCCGATATGGAGAGCAGGTGTCTCAACCTATATTTTAATCTGTAGGCCAAACAGTTCTCTCTATGCCCACTATTTTTATAACAATTCACTGGCTTGGGAATGAATCCACTCTGAGAAACCAGCATTATTCTCTTCCAAGGATAGAGCTCCTGTGACCTACTTTCCTCTAGGCCCACCCTCTACATTTCCACATTGGAGGCCGAGCTTTCAATACAGGCACCATAAGGAGGCACATTCAACTCAAACCACAGCCAAACCATAGCACTTACCTTGTATCAAGCATTTCTTACAGTTCCTGGTACAAAATACCCTATTTAACGATAGCCAAAAGAATCTGTGAGTAATGTTTAATTGTGCCCATTCAATTGCTGAGGAAATTGAGGTCAGGGAAGTTTAACTGACTTATCCAAATCACATAGCTAGCCAGCACTGGTAGTAAGGCTTGTACCACAATGTCTGAGTTTCTGTTTGTAACTGACACGAGACATTGTCTATTTCTGCTTGCTATAGAACTATAATCTCCTACAACCAACAGATACAACAATCATTAAAATGATGCTAAAGTAATTGGAAACTACTTTCTGGATCAAGACGATAGTTAAAGATTAGAATTTTTTCTCTAAAAAATGAGAGTGTCTCATTGTGTTGGTCCTATTTGGTGGTACTTTGTAAGTTCCTGGAAGAATAATATAAAAATAATTCACATTTTCCATAACCTTGTTGAAGACCCCTTGTATTATATTTGGGGCAGCATGCTGAGAACCTTGGAAACTAGAGGATTGTGTCTGCATCAAGAAATAGGTAGTGAGTTTTTTTTTTTTTTTTCCCAAAAAAATCAGTGGAAGAGGTTGAGCTGAAGCCAGGCTATCTGCTCACTAGCTTCCAGGACTATCGCTCTGTTATGCAATCACAGCTTGACTTTTCCTCAAATAACAGCATCCACAGAAAGTATCTACAGGACTATGAGCAGAGCCCTTCAGAAAACTCCACCCCTGATGTAAGTGTCACTCAGTCCATGTGGCTGGGGAGGAGGGAGGGGAAGGGAAGACAAAGTGGAACACGTAAGGATATTAACAGCAATTTGCTGGACCATTAGCCCAAAGGTTAGCTTGCTCACAGCCCTCTGGTATGCATCACAGCTTTCCTGTCAGTAACCCCAGGAAGAGATAGATGCCCACAACTAAGACTCCTCCTACCCTGGTCCTCTAAGCAGCACTGGGGTGCTCTGCCCTTCCCATGTTTTCTACTAAGTAGTGCCAGGGCCATCACGTCCAGCCCTCTTAGGGGAGCAGGGCAGAATGAAGGGCAGGAGCAATGGTATGGACTTCATGCATGCTACAGAAGCTCTTGGGAAGCCTTTGAACAGAAAGATTCCTGAGCCCCAGCCTGTCCCCCGTCTTCAGAAGGAAGACCCATGATTCTCCTTTGAGCTCTCTAGGAGCGTGATACAGCCAATTCCAGAAAGTAATGTTCAAAAATTGTTGGTACTTTTCTCACTGCCGTACCATACATGCTGTGTGATCTCATCTTCAAAGTAATAATCTTATTTATTTATTTGACAGGTAGAGTTACAAACAGTGAGAGAGAGAGACAGAGAGAAAGGTCTTCCTTTTCTGTTGTTTCACCCCCCAGTGGCCACTGCAGCCGGCGCTGCACCAATCCAAAGCTAGGAGCTAGGTGCTTCCTCCTGGTCTCCCATGCAGGTGCAGGGCCCAAGACCTTGGGCCATCCTCCACTGTCTTCCCGGGCCACAGCAGAGAGCTGGATTGGAAGAGGAGTAACCGTTACTAGAACCCGGAGTCCATATGGGATGCCAGTGCCGCAGGCAGAGGATTAATCAAGTGAGCCACAGCGTCGGCCCCAAAGTAATAATCTTATAAATAATTTAATGATGGGCTGACCCCTTCACTCATTTGTTCATTTGTTCCTTTACTTACTCTTAACATCGCCTATGTGTCATTCACTATATTTGGTATAAAAAGATTTTTAAATGGATGTGATTTTTGTCTGCAAAGTGCCCAGCAGTAAGAGAGACTTTCAAACAATTACACTGATAGCTGTGATAGAATATTTGCAAGATATAACAGGAATAATGAAAGATAAGCAAATTTAGCTAGCACTTCCACTTTTCATTTCAGGAAATGAAAATCAATCTGACACAGAAAGGCTACGCAACTCACTCAAGTTTGCGCAGCAAGCCTTGGAAGGACAGGATGAGGTGGAAGGCTGTCATCCCTTACCCCAGTGTACTTACTGATAGGAGAAACCACGTGAGCATCCTCTCTCCTCTCTCTTCCCCACCTTCCCAGTGCCACTGGGAAGTTCTCGCACTTCTCTGCTGCCTCTGTCTGGTGTGCTTGTCAGACTGCCCAAAATAATGCCAGACAATGTATTCTGAGCAGTGCAGTCAGGAAAGGAAGTCTCTTTAAGGCCTGGATCACCAACGGCACCTGCACAAGCAGAGGCTCTTCTCTCTGGGCACAGTCAGGCTGCTCTCGTGCTCTGGGGCATTCTCTACATGCTTCCATGTTGGGCACTGATTCCCCTAACTGCAAGGCTGTGTTCACAGAACTGCTCCATCCAGTAGCCTCTGAGTTCCTCCAGTCTCATTTGTGTTTTTATTACTACTACTCCACAAAGGGCATAGCATATGGAATATGCCAATAAATATTTCTTGAATGGAGATGATGGATCCTTTCTTTTTGGTTTGGGTCACCAAGTAGCCCAGAAACATGTGCCCAGGTGATCTCACACCAGGTTTTGACTTCAAGAAAGACCCTCGTGGATAGTGGTCAATTGTTGAGTCTTCAGCACTAAAATCTAACTGTTACAGTCTGAAACCAAGCCTGACACTCGTAGTATGACCTCCTGAAAACTCTGTAATCATTTTGTACCTTTTCTCTCACCTGTACAGTGCAGCTATGGATAATACTAGTGCCCGGGGCTAAATATATGTAAAAACAGTGTTGGGGCCAGCACTGTGGCTCACTTGGTTAATCCTCTGCCTGAGGCACCAGCATCCCTTATGGGTGCTGGTTCTAGTCCTGGTTGCTTCTCTTCCAGTCCAGTTCTCTGCTAAGGCCTGGGAGGGCAGTGGAGGATGGCCCAGGTGCTTGGGCCCCTGCACCTGCATGGGAGACCAGGAGGAGGCACCTGGCTCCTGGCTTCAGATCGGCATAGCTCCGGCTGTAGCGGCCATTTGGGAGGTAAACTAACAGAAGGAAGACCTTTCTCTCTGTCTCTCTCTCACTGTCTAACTCTGTCAAATAAAAAAGAAAATAGTGTTATTGCGCATAGCTAAATCCACATATCAGCATACTC